GTGCTTTTTCAAGTTTCCTCGAGGGTAGTTTTTCTCAGTCGCGACCGATTTGCAGAGGTGTTCAAGAAAACTCAACACGCATAAACGTGCATGTTGGTTTTCTTGAGAAAAAATCGAAAGAGAAAGTTTGCGAAATTGTCTGTTTAGACGATTTCGCAAACTTTCTCTTGTGTTTGATTTGTAAAAACCAGATACCTTCGATATCAAATTCAATTATTATCCTCTATGAATGTTTGAGTATTCACAATCAAATTTTGTATTTGTCTATAACAGTAAATGCCGGAAGTACTTAGCCGAAAAAAGCTGTAGGTACTTTTGAGATGAGTTTTTGTAAAACAATTCGTAACGTTTCTCTTTATTTTCTCTAAATCCTCTTATTCGAAAAATTGTACTATGGCCGTACAGTTATGAAATGCAAATAACAAATTAATAAACATCAGGTCCTATGACCGGTTGCCTTTGACCCAGATAAAAACCTGGATATAGGCTAAAACCTGAAATTGTAAATCTTTTATTACCTACTTACTTTGTAAGTCCATAGATTTGGAAACAGCCATGAACAATGTTTGAATTAAATAACCTAAATAAATTACCTCAATAAATTCCTGTGATATACTTGAATCAATGACTAATATTAGCGCTTTTTTATTTTTTTGTCCATTGAATCGGTGTTGATCGGTTCACGTTTTTATTTTTCGTTTGATTTCTGTCGATCGAATACATACCCTCTCGTTGCATGCAAAATACCAGTCTTTTTTTTTTTTTTTTTTAACTAAACAATTCGCCTTCTACTGCGTCTGCAGCAATTGTTGTTACGAATATGTTGTGCGTACTGATTCCAGCGCATTACATACTCGAATGTCTGAAGGCGTTTTATGCGCGCAAGTGGCGCGATCTGTCTGAGAATGAACGGAGTAGGGTTGAGCGATACATTCAATTTCACTTCTGTTGTTCCCAACAGGGTGCTCTACTTGCGCAAATTAAACGCCTTCAGAGAGTTGAGATCAGCACGCACAGCATAGGTATTCGAAACAACAATTGCTGCGGACGCAGCTGAAGGCGAATTGAAAAACAACAACAGTTTAATACACGTTGAAAAACATGTTGGCTCTTCAATGAATATTTATACTAATAGAGAGTTGTATTTTATAGTATTTTTATGGGAGATCCTCGAAAAACTTTTCAACATACCTAAACTAAGTTTAAACGCAAAGTAAAATATACCGCACTGAAAATTTTAAGTCTTGGCGGAATTTTACTTAGGAGCCAATCAACTGTGAAGTCCACTTTTCAAGAAGCCAAGAGCTTCGCTTCAGATAATAATTAAAAATGGAAATTAATGCAAAAATGAATTACATAAATAAGCTTCCTTCGGGAGGTTACCATGCAACTCAGGTACAATCTTAGTTGATCTTAGGCCCTGAATTTCATAAACACGTTGAAGACTTGCAGAGTTAATTATAACATTGTGATGTATTACAGATAATTCCTCTAAATTTATACAAATCGACGTCATGATAAGACAAGTAGAGGAAAGTTTCGAATTCAATGACTTTGGAAATGACTTTTTGGGATATCGGTCGGAGCAAAGTTATGGAATCTCCAAAAGTAAATTTTTGAAGCTCTGGGAACACTGCACGTTTGTAGCATCGCTTCGGCCCCTGCAAACCGTGTTTGGGTACATTTTTAAAGCATGTTCCTTTTGCTTCAAGGACACTGTGGTTTTGGCACTTGTTCAGTCTTGACAGAAAGTTTAGGCTAAACCTCCCGCCATATACGAAAATTCGTAGTGCGGTATATTTTATTTTGCATTTAAACTTAGTAAAGTTGAAAAGTTTTTCGAGAATCCCCCATAAAAAGACCATAAAACGGAACTCTGTTGGTAAAAATATCCATTAAGAAGCCAACATGTTTCTCAGCGAATTTCATGCGGTTGCTGTTTTCAACTCGCCTTCAGCTGCGTCCGCAGCAATTGTTGTTACGAATATGTTATGCGTGCTGATCTCAGCTCATTACATACTTGACTCTCTGAAGGCGTTTAATGTGCGAGAGTAGAGCACCCTGTTGGAAAAGAACAGAAGTGGGATTGAATGAATCGCTCAATCCCTACTTCGCCCATTCTCCTACAGATAGCGCTACTTGCGCACATAAAACGCCTTCAGACAGTCGAGTATGTAATGCGCTAAAATTAGCACGCACAACATATTCGTAACAACAATTGCTGCAGACGCAGCAGAAGGCGAATTGTTCTGTTAAAAAAAGAAGGGTCAAAAATGCACTTTTTGGCGGTTTCTCGGCTAATGAGGGGCTTGCCGGGTCTCGGGACCATGCGCAATCGACACTACGCCTCGAACCACGAAGGATTCGACTCAAATCGCGAAATTTTTTTCCCGTCCAAAGTGGTGAAAATCGACAGGGGTAGCATGGACTAAATTTTTAGGTACAGGGTCCAGGGCCGGATTCACCTACTTGCCGCCCATGGGCCGCCTGGACTTTTCCGCCCCCTTCTCATTTGTTTTGCAGAGGCGTGGCGTGAATTGCGATGTATCGATTGTTATGCCATTTAAACCTATGGTAAAGAATCGATTATTAAAGTGTTCGCTGCGAACACCCTGTTTATCGATCCATTTACATAATTTAAAATGGCATAACAATCGATATATCGCAATTCACGCCACGCCACTGTATGTTTTGAAACATCAATAGATCGTATTCGACAGTGGTTCGATGTTTCGTTTGGTTCAAAACAATAGAACATAGCCTCAAGCAAGAATTTAAGGATTTAATTAGGAAAAGCTGAAAATGAGAAAATTCCAAACAATTTCACTTTTCATTGCCATTTGGTACTCGAGAGAATAAAAATTCGATCACATAAGACCCGTTACCTCAGATTTCTGAATTGACTTTTGAGGTTGTGGTTACATATTGAACCAATCGATATCAACATTATCTCACCTGTGTGATCTGTCGAATACGATCTATAAAAACCATCAAGTGAACGTGCCGGTAGGGGAGGGGTGTACGAGATGCGTTTACTCGTGTTGGGCACATTTTTTGTAAAAGCCCTTTTAACACATACAAAAGTTCAGTTCCGTAAACCCGTCCCTGTTTGGACCTGTTTGTGTTGGCCTTCTATTTATAAAAAACGAACGAAAAAATTATGAGAGAACAATCATAAATGTAGTTAAAATTTTTAACTTCTACCGCTGCGCCGCGTCGTCGCTCATTTTGCCCAAAAATATGCATGAAAAAATTGGAGGCATTATGACCGGCCTCTCTCATTTTATATTCGTCTGGAACGATAAAGAATGGGACGCGATTGTTACGGCGCCTTGATACAACTACACAACCTCGACGGATGTCCGTATTGCGTTCAAAAACTTGAAGGCGTTTTGACTTCCTACGCATAATACCTGTAGTTGATTCGATCGGCAAACGCGTTGGTCGACGGTGACGCGGGGACTTGATGCAACTACTTAAGCTTGTTGGATGTCCGTATCGGTCCGACTGAAGTGCGAAACCACGTCTCTCCATTGCGGTGTTTCAAAATTTCCGTTCTTAATTCATCTCTTCTTTGTGAAACTATCTTAATTTACGACTTTAAATTTTGAACCAAATCTTCTGCCATCGAATACGAAAAATCCTGGATAATTTAAGTTTTATGTTGACCAGTTTCTCGAAAGAAAAATAAAATGTCTAAGGAAGTCTGCAACGTCGCAAATGGAGAAACGTTTCGCGCCGACCGCTTCTTGTTGGCGCAATGCGCGAAGTATTCATGCAGTCTCGTAGGCGCTATGCGTTTCATGCCCACCGCCGCGCCGCTCCGTTCCAGGTTAAATTGCGTGTTTGGCTTCTGTCTTAATTCGACTAATTAAAGGTGCTGTCTCTTGTATCACCGAAAGACGACAAAATTAGAAATTACTATACTTTTACTCTCAGGAAATGAGAGATTTTGTCTCCTTTTCTCGTTTGTAATTTATTTTCTGAATCCGGTTTTTTTCTCTCTTTTTTTGATACCTACATTCAAAAAGATTGCAAAATTTGCCGCCCCCTACATTTTGCCGCCATGGGCTTCGGCCCACGTGGCCACCCCCTTAATCCGGCCCTGACAGGGTCAAAATCGAAAGTTTTCCGATCGAACCAAAACCAAGCTAAACCGCTTGGAAATGACACGCAGAGTCCAATTTTTTGGTCAGAAAACCTCCACGAATCCGATGGAGTTCACAAATAAGCCTGTCAGTTGGTTTCATAAGGTCATTGAAAGCAAATCAATCAGAATCGATGCAAAATAGTGTAAATGCATTGATAGGTACTAGTAGACTGTTCTCATCCTTGAATTGAATGAGCATCATGATCCAACTACTGAAATAAACCCTCACTGCTCCAAAACAGTTCTTAAAAAGTTCTTAAACTTTCTGTCGAATCAAGCATTTATTAAAGGCGTGTTTTTAGATGCTGATTTCTTCTTGTGGAATGTACTTTTTTCTCCTGAATAGACTTGATTATGATCCTTGATTGGTCTGATCATGCCTTGATATTTATAAAAATTCCCCCACAAAATTCTCAGGTTCAGATTAAAAAAAAAAAAAAAAAAAAAAAAAAAAAAAAAAAAAAAGTTTAAAAATAATTTGTTCAACTTCACTGATCACACCTTACAAACATCGAATGTTGCAAGGATAAATGTAATTTTGTGACTGACCTCAGGGAAAGAAAAATTCATCAACAAAAGCTGAAAGATGAGCCATTGATACCAGAGCCTCGAAAAGGGTTCCAAAATCACATTGGGGTAAAAAAGAAAAAAGACTGAAAATGTGATATTAAACGAACGTAAAACATTTTGAAGTTCATTGTTAAAAAACGTAATCTTGAGCAAATCCAATGATAAAACCCATGTACAAAACTTACAGCAATGAAACCACCTCAATTGGGGCTCAAATTATCAGTGCTTGATTTAAGGCATTGTTAGAGATTTAGGACCAGAAAGAAGATAAGAAACCAAAAAGAATTCACAAAATTTACTAATTTATATTACATTTTATCAAACAAGACGAAATGGAAGAAACTAATGTATTTTCCCAATTAGTCTAGATCAATCTTAAAATTATTTACAAATTGAATTTTGCCGAGATGATGAAAAGTTAACAGAGATTTGGTTGTTAGTCCATGAAACTAATTCTGGATTCATCCACAAACAGTTAATATGATGGTTAAAAATTGTATTTCAGTGCTGCTTTCTTCCTCTGAGGATCTGCTCGTGATAAAAAACTTTGCCCGCTGTTTCCTGTCGAGTATTATAATGTCCTCTTTGTTTCAGGCATACTAAGCTCATGGAAAACTTAGCCATCATTCTTTTTACAATCAAGTCTCACTATTTTATATTAAAAATATCTCTTGTGCTAATTTTGATAGGTACCATATCATTCAGGACAAATTAATTAATCTGGATGAGGACCTTCAATGCTCCATGATTAATCTATCTGGAATCAAATCATAATTGCAGGGAAAATCAGCAACTGATAAAAAAAACGTTACAGAAACTGGCGCTGCTTAACATTATGACATGAACAGAGAAATATAAAGCTCCTGTATAAAGTGGTGCGATCTTATTACAGACCTTTCAAATTTTTTTAGAGAAATGATTCACTTTAACGGATCCTCTCAGTGAGTGCAATGAGATGAGACAGAAAAGAAGAGAACCTTCTACATGAAAACTAAAGTTAGCTAACTAATCATTACTCTGATGAGTAAATAATGTATCACAAAATTACAGGTACTAAATGCAAAAAAGCGACTGGGGATTGGGAAGTTGTGGTATTATTAACATAGTTTTCAGAAATTCTACCTCATGACTCTTAGAAACTAGTACACATTCATTCATCAAATTCCAAATATCAGCACGTTTATAGCAAGAAAATGCAAAGATTTTTAATAAATAGATGTGACCTGATCTTGGTTGTTTTTTCTTTACTGAAAATTAATTCCCTCTTCCTAATTTGAAGGGAGGAGGCTTTATTTCAGATCAATGAAATGCAGGCATAGATGATTTCACATGCACAAAGGCATCTCTTACCAAAATGCAGCATTTCCTATGCTTTAATTTCAATTCACAGACAAAATTACTAGAACGATTTTTCTGCGAGGGGAAAAGATTGTAACTTCTGATGAAATTAAAATTTTAGAGGTATTAGGTTAAATTTTCGACCAATCACATGTAAAATCAACAATAATATTATCAAAGCGTTAAAATGATAATATTTTTGTCTGCTACTTTCAATTTTCACTGATTATTTCAATAAAATATTTAAATAAAATAATCGATGTGTTGATAATAACAGTAGCTTTGGTAGTAAAATTTTCTGGTTATATGATAAAATTCTATCATGCTGTAGATTAAGGAAGTGTTGATGACCGACATTGAAAGGAATGCTAAAATTGGGAATTAGTATGAAATGTAATAGTTCATCAAGATTTTGTTGAAAATTTCGACTAAAATCGGCGCAATGATTCATAATAATACGAAGTACACATCGATGATGTATTCAAAACCTTCATCTGAAGGTTAAGGATATTAATTATAATTAAGTTCATTAAAAAAGCTAAGCTGACAGGCTTAAGTTTTCAACGTCAAGTACAATTTAAGAAACAATCCACCTCACTTTTCCTCCATTAGAAAAATGATCAAAAACTTAAAAAATTTAATTTGATTCAACCTTTATGAAACAAGCAACTATTCATGAAACTAAATAAACTTATCACCAAAACAAATAGGTTGTAATTTACAAATTATACAAAGTTACTCACTAACTAAGCAGTTTTTGCAACAGATATTTGGGGAATATTTTGAATCTGAACTGGAGCAATAGTTTAGAAAAATCATGCATTAAAAATTCAAAGAAATGATGAGAAAACATTGCTATGTACATTTTCACAATACCTAAAACGTAGAAGTGAAAAAAAAAAGGACTGAGATACAATTGTGACTACAATACTATTATTACAGAATATGATTCAGAGTCCTACATGCAAGCAAATTCATGAATATTCGAAGGTGCTCAGAAAGGAATAATGATTATGATGAAAGACTGCTAAAAGGTAGTAACAAAAAGGAAAAAACCCCACAAAGACACACAGTGTCTAAAATTAAAAATTCATGCTGTTCATTACAAATTAAGAGATATTAAAATTACCAAAGCTGTGAGTACATGACTACTGATTATAAAATTAATTAACTTGGGTCGATTAAAATGGTGTTTCTCAGTGCTGTAGTTTTGTTAGCTATTACCTGTTTTGAAATATTTTTCGGCAGAAAAAAAAAAGCTGATCCTATTAAAAAATTTCGTGCATTTCGATTTATGGCAGATCAAAATCAACTGAGCTATGTCCATTCCTGTGTGACGTCTTCTAAAAATTTCTTTGGGAAAGTACATTTCTGGCCTACAGATTTGTTCCTCCAGACACTCTATCCAGCATGTTTAGTCAACATCTATCAAATTGCACAGGATTTCGGAAAACAAATCAGTGAGCTAAGAGCCGGTTTTTTCACCTTTGGTAAAATCTGCTTGCTATGTAACCAGAGAATAAGGGTTTATCGTCTTGTCAAAAAAGAACCCCTTCTATCACCTCTTGTCAGCCACATTTATCCTCTGGTTAAAATTGTACTATTGTTTTGAAAAATATAGTGAAAAAATGCTGCTAACTGCAAAAACATTACCTCTAACACTTCAATTTACTCCATGCAAAAATCAGATGCAAACCACTTCCACCAGGTGTCGCGATATGTCATAAACAATTCATACGAGGAACAAAAGAAAAACAAGGAACTGATAGAGGAGCTTGCACAGCGGACTGCGACATCAACTGATCAGGGACCACAATTTAAATTCAACCTCTGGTTAAAGTATTTTACAGGTGGTCAAAGTACTTGTTAAATATTTTCCAAATTTTCCCTCTGTCGAGCTAAATTTGACTACGACTTGGTGGTGACGAGAGATGACAAAATGCTACTTTCATGCTAATCCTCTTGTCAAATGTAACCAGCAGTTTGACCAGAGATGATAGAACCGGCCAATAGTCATGGCAGAGGGAAATGCACAAATCAACAAAAAGAGCAATTCCGTGACCATTTACAGCAGGAAAAATCTTAATTTTTCATGTTTTTTAGGTGAAAAATATACTCCCTAAATTTCAAGATAGAATTTCATTCAGTTCCCTACTTAAAAAAAAAAAAAAAAAAAGAGAAGGAATGAAACCATCTAGGTACAGTATAATTCAGTTGATTCTGATCAGAGCCATTGGTATGATAGAATTTTGCCACAATATTTTCCATTGGAAGCACAGGAGAAAAATTTAGCATTTTAGTTTAAAAGTTGGCGTTTTTTGTCTGATTCAATAATTCCTGTACTTGCACAGCAAAGTACCTGTTCCAGAACACTGAACATAACTAACACATTTGGTTAACTTGCAATGGTTCAACAAAAGAGATAAAACAAGAGTAACAAAACTAAAGAAACAGCGGAACGAAAACACTACTTTACATATAAACAAAATCCTGGTTGTGAAAACAGCCATAAGTAAAACGCTGGCAGCTTCTCAAAAATGAGAAAACACGATAAAAACTATGACGATTATACAGTATGATGGTAATGATATGATACTGGTTATATAATGGTGAAAATATACAGAACCTATTAATATGAATGACTTAAAATGAAAATAACGATGATCAACTTTGTCAAGGAAAGTAAAAATAACTTAAAACGCAAGAAATTATGGCAATTTTCACAATTGTACTGGCCCACAAGTAATATGAGGGTAAAAATTTGGCTAGGGAACTATAGCGTGATGTTTTCTTAAACTTACTACATACAACTCAAAATGCGTAAAAAAATTATTTTACCTAGGCAGAACAAAAAGATGGAAACTTTCCCGGCAGTGCATTTGAATAAAACTTAACATGATTAATTCTAAAGACTGCACTCTGAGGAGAATAAGCCTGAACTGCTACAAATTATGGACCCATAGAAGAGGCAAGATTGCTCAGGAATAATTTCTATTTCTTTTATTTATGTGATGATAAATATTGAGATGAATTAAATTTCCATGGACACACAAGGAAAAACAAGCCTTTTGCCAGAAATATTGAAGATTGCAAAAATAGATGACGATGGTATATTTAAAAGTGGAAAAAAATAAAGAAAAAAATGTCAACTTGATAAAACCTCTATACAAGAAGAATAATAATTATGGTTTAAAATTAATATTACAGCAACTAAATCTAACAGAGGCGCAACCAGAACCACAAAAAAAAAAAAAAAAAAAAAAAACCCTTCCTTTAAAAAATCAGAAGAACAAGCTGCTGATTTCAAAGTGCAGTCGATTAGAGAATCTATTTTACACACTTGGAGCTTTGTATGAGTACATTGTAAATGCTATCATTGATCAGATGAGCGCAATTTAAGATGCATAAAAGTCAGTTTGAAATACATTCGAGTTAATTTCTTTTCTTTTCGGCTGTCTGAATTCGTCTTGAGTGCTAAAATGAAGAGACAAAATGTCATCAACTATTTACACAATAAGATCACACAACTGACAAACCTGCAGCTAATTTTGCTTACAATTTTCACAACAACAAAGAGGTCAGTCTTTTGGTGCTTAACATGAAGCATACAGGTAAGAAAAGTATAATCTGACAAGAAAACTGATCTAGGTATGTTAGCCCTGCAGTTAGCAGGTTGATAACCTGAGATTTTTACTCTCAATAAAACATAATTATGTACAGAAGTTGTCAAACTGACAGTTAGCATATATCAATGATTCCTTGAGTGCTGCTACCTGGATATGAAAGATTCCAGAAAAAACATTTTAAAGACTGACTCCAGTCCATCATCCAAAAATTACATATATGTTGCTAAGGTTTGAAAAATACTAAAATTGAATGGTCAGAACATGATGTCAAGGGGTAAACAGTAAGCAGACAAAAAAATCTCTGTGTAAAACTGACCATACTCATTCAGCAAAACACACAATTTTTAAAGAATAGGATTCTCAGTAGTGACTGAAAACAATTGACATTAGAAACCATTTTTACTTGTCAACTGTCACAGATCGACAAGACAGGCCGGTGCTTTGCCGGCCACAGCCGTCTGAATAGCTGACTTTATTGTTATCGGCAGTTAAAAACTTTCCCATCAAACCAGTTGGTCTCCCTCTCACTTTGGCTGCAATTTTGCATGAGTCGGCAGGGTTTGAGCAGAGGCACACAACTTGGATAGCCTTTACTGACTGTTTCTAACAGCTTTGGCTCAAGGAAAATGCTAACCTTTCACAGTCAATGTGCGAATGGATTCAGAAAACCCCCATACATCACAAGACGACCACTCATGTTTTTGATTCACATGATCTTCAAAGGCCTCTTGAGGAATTCATGGGCAATTTTCTTAAAAATTGAGATCAGATACTGCTCAAAGGGAGAACAGGGAGGCATTTGAGCTATCATTTTATATTGCTATGAAAATGACAGATATCAATTTTCTTTGGCAAAACTCTTCATGAAACAATAAAGCAACTACCGCAATCCATGAGTTTTACTTTAGAAAAAAAACATTCTTGTCATACTATACTACTGAGTTTGTGCAAAATTTACATTTCACCGCTGACCAATGACGCGTCATTAAAAAATTAGTGATAAAATCAAGGAATGATGAAAGAGAGAGACAATTCTGGTGTGGCTTTGCTTGGCTTCAAAAATAGTAAAAACTAGTAAAACTAGTCACAGGCAAAATAATTGGTAAGTAAGCTAGTTTCAACCCGAATTGAATGCAAAATGCTGGTAGCTTCATGTCACATTTAATTCATCTAAAACAATTTCTTATTGTGAAATTACATACAAACTGAAAAATGAGGAACAAAATAGTAATTTATATTTACTAACATGACCCATAAATTTGATGACAAGATTATAAAACTAAAAAAAGGTAAAATTGGTTGAATTTGTTGACTAGCTAATTCGTTTAATCAAGAAAAAATAAACTTAGGAGTTTTCTCTTTCCAATTCTTGGATTTTTTTGTTGTAATTATCTAACGTATCTTGAATGGTAGAAGTGGAATAGCGGCATGTTTTAGCTTTACAAGTACATGTAAAAGATTTGTACTTGATGATCCAGAATTTTTCACCATAGTCAAAGCTGTAGGGGCAAAAATACAACAGAGAAAAATTAGATGGATAGTATTAGAATGCTAGAATAGTACTGGGTCCACACTATTCTGCGGAGAAACTAAAGCTAGAAATATCAAAAATTAGAGCTGGATTTGTAGAATACTATTCTAAGGCTTAATTTTGTACTTTGTCCTTTGGTCTATTTCAACAAATGTGATTTGTTTTTCAATCTCAACAGCTTAGGTAAGCTGGATAATTCTAGGTAATGGTAATTCTGGATAATTTTAGGTAGTACTGAGAAGAAGAGACATGAAATACCTATAAAATACATAGAAAAAAAAAAGAGAGAAAAAAAAACATAATATTAAAAAATTGAACTCACCCTAATTCCTCGTACGGTTGAATATCTCGGTTGGCAAAGAATGCAATTCTTGGAAATCGTAGATCTTGGTGTCCGATAAAAACTCTGACAGGTTGCAAGTTTGGAACACAGCTGTGGTTGATGAATCGTGCGATATTTCCATAGCGCCGAGCATCTATGCAATAAGTCTCATCATCCTAAAACAAAGAACGAGTTTCATTTCAATGCCATCAAGAGAAGAAAAGGTTTTTTACACATCGACTACCACTGTGAAGACTGAGCATCTGCTTTTAAGTGTTATACTGTGCCCAAATCTGAATCCTGATCTTGTCGTTTTTATACATAATTTTGTCTAGGAATGACCTAGAGAGGTATTAAAGTGCAAAACCTAGCAACTCATGGTCGGTTTGGGGGCATGGGTGATCTTGGGACTCGGAACATACCAGGTCTTGACGCATCGCGTCAACTTTGAAAAATCATTACTCCGCTTCAAATGCTTACTCCCCAGGATGAACTTGTGCTTACTTTAAAGCTCCAACGGTCTACTTTAATAAGAAAATAGTTTTGTTAATTTTTGGTGCGATCCCCTCAACGCCACAGCTAAAAATGTGAAAAATTGAAAAGTTGAAGATAAAACAACAGGGCAACAAAAAATTCAATTTTCAAATTGGACCAATTTCGTAAAAGTCACCTGAAGGCTGATGAATTTTTCTAAATTTTGGGTCCAAGATCACCTCTCTACAACAAACCGTTCACGAGGTATGCCAGTTTAAAGTTTCAATTTTGATTCTCTCCCCTTCCCCACCTGATTTTAAGATTCCAAAATTAGTCAGTGTTTACGACTCGGGAAGTGATCCTCTATCAACCCTGAAAATATCTTGAGGATCAGGCCGAGGTTGAAGATGACCGATTTTGAATTAGGTCCTTTAAAAAGCTAACAACCATGATTGGATATGATCTCGTTTTTCAGTTGAATACACTGGCAATCTGAATTCTGCGGGTGAACGGGGTACACTGTGAAACACAGAGCACAATTTGGCGCAGTAGCCTTGTTGATTTTTTGTTAAAACTACTTCAACAGAGTTGGGTGTTTGTCAGATTTACTTCAATCGCACTGATTTTTTTTTGTTGAAAATTACGTCAATTGCACTTAACTTTGGTAAAATTTACTTCAACCACACTGATTTTTTGTCAAAATTGCTTTGAAAATGTGCGTTTTGCTAGTGAAAGCGTACACTGAGGAACTTTCAGCACCCTTGTGAATACATGCACATTTTATACACGAAGCTGCTAATTTAGAGACAAAAATGCTGAGGGCAGGTTACTGTTGTTTAATTTTTTTGGACGACTTATTCACTCTCTCTTTCTTCAATTCACCTTGGACCTAATGATGCAAACTGCTACCAACAAGATACATCTAAAATTGTGACTACAAGGAATTTTTGCTGTTGCAACACAAGTGAACACTGTCAACCGTATTCAATTGCAAAAATTTGGCTAACAAAAAATACAACTCTCTTCAAAATTCTACTTTCATGATGATTTATTCTAAATTCTAATTTACATATAAGAAGGCTTTTTAGCCTAAAACATGTTATTGAAATAAGGTTGGCTTTATAAGTAAAAACATGACACAAAAAACATAAAAAAGCGACTACTTACTCTATTATCAAGATCAAATAAATAGGAGTCATCTTCACGAGTGTCTGCCTCAAAGTCAGATATAATTTCTCCGATGTATCTGAAAGGAGAGATTAGTGGTTACTTTCAAGGACTTTTCGAGGCATTTTAAAGAGAGCAAGATCAAAGATTTCTTAACGTTCCATGGATCGCTGAAAATTTTTCTTCAATTTTTAGAAATTTACATGAACTATGTAAAGGCCTTGAAGTTCAAAAGAAAACTTTCCTCAACTTCAACTTCACTCTTGGCTACCACAGTAAGGCAGCTAAATTATGCATGAAAAACTCCATACAAAACTTTGGGAGCCTCTATCCCAAGAGAAAATGAAATGCATTCTTCAATTGGTCATAAACAAATTTACCAGATTAAATACTGTCACCACCCACATAACATGCACACATTTCCCCTGCAAAATGAGTTGAAAATAAACAAACCCAGCAAAATACGGTAATTGAAACTCAAAATAGATCACCTGAAGGTAGGAAACCACCAACTTTTGCACCACAACAAGATTGCTGTGTGCTTTAAGCCCTGTTATTGGCAAACAGCTGAGGCGAGAAACACACTGTCCAAATCATTTGACCTAGACTTTCCCTTTTTCTTGAAGTTTTTTCTTTCATCTTTATTTACCAATTACTTCATGCTTATAAATTGAGAGCAACAGAGGAATGTATTATACATGAACTTGTGGATTCATAGAAAATGAGAGAAACTAAAGAAATTAAATAGCGGTCAGGTATGAAAATTAGATAGACTAGGTCGGAACAATGGTCATTTTGCCTCCATTAAAATTTGCGAGTTTTGCTAAATTTTCAGTGTTGGGGGATACAATTTAGTGCCAATGTCTTCTAGAATACAAGGGATTCAAAAAGTCATTCTCTGCAAGAGGGCCTGTATAAAACCACAGATCTTTCACAAAGTCACAAGCTTTCTTGCATTTCCACAATTCCTGACTTTCCAAAGTTTTTCCAACTTTAAATTTTCTGATATTCCCTTGACTTTGCAGGAATGTTAAAGAAGAACTTTCTTCTTTAGTGAGTTTCAATTTTTTCTAACGGAGAGCATAAATGCAAGTTCTGGCTAGAGGACAAAATGTTAAGTTTTGACAGAGAAGTTTTCTGACTTTCCACATTTGAATACATTTCTTGACTTATCTAGGTTATTCTCAATCAATTAAAAACTCGCCATCTTGCTTCTGCGACTAACTCCTCAATTGTAGAAGAGCGTAAGTGACAGGAAATAGAACGTAAGAGATACTACATCTAGGGCAGAAAAGACTTACTCGCAAACATAAGTTCCCTTTGGTATTAAATTGAGTGTTATGACACCCCATCCTTTATTATCTTTAGTCCTGAAGAGTTGAAACCGGCCAGTGATTCCTTTCTGGACAACTCTGTTAGTGCAAAGAACCTTGTTACACTTGCATGCTTGATTACATTCGAATAACATAGGAGGGTCTGGAAAAAACAAAAATATGCATTTAGAGTGATTAAACAGTGGATAATTTTCAAGGCATAGAAACATCAGTTAGAACTTGGCTTGTCGAGATGGTAAAGGAAAATGATTGAAAATTTGGATTTGAAACTGACTGACAAAGACTTATCATTTTTGAATTTTTTATATTAGTGTAAGTAAAATATAGTGCCCTGTAGTTGTTCCTTTTTGTTCCATTTCTTAACTGTGTATGATGCATACATATAAAAAAAGCAGTACGTATTCACTCATTGGGAGGTAACAAAAACTGAGTCCGATGAAAGTGTTTGGTTGATTGAAAGGTCCAATAATGACATATTGATGGTACCACGGTTTTTTACAGTTTTGTTCTTACTGAGCAAAAAAAGTTTTGTTCTGAAAAAGAGGCCGGATGTACTGAGCCCGCAAAAAGGAAGAGAGGAAAGTTCTGGGACGTAAATAATTGACAATGCTTGCAGCTTAATTGAATAAAGCCTCTCATGTTTGTGAATGAGCCTTGCCTGGCTTTTCAGCAGAGGTACCGCAAGGAATTTCTGGGGAACTTTGCCAAGTATGTAAAAGCCTAAAATCTGAATGGGGAAAAGATAATTTTAAGACATACCTGTATAATTGAATTCAGGAGTTAGTCTGCCATCTTTGTCATACCAACACTGAAAACTAATTTTTCCACAGGCGCAGTCACCAGTTGAACAATCAGTACACGTACAAGACTGAAAAATACAAAGAACAATGAGTGAGTTGAGTAGCACAGGAACATTTGGGATCCTTCAGAATTACAGCTATTTTGAAAGAGTAAAAAGCGATTGATTTTTTGAGACTACTAAGGAGCAAATCAATTTATACGAGCTGTTGTTTGTATATTATATTAACACACTGAAAAAAACGATATGCGGAAGTGGCCTAAAGTGCTCAGGAAAATATTGTCGGAGCACATCAAGGGAATATATGAGAAGAGGCAGGCTGAGCTTTGTAAGGTTGATCAACCTAATGGTGAAAGGTTCCAGCAATCCAAGACTGAATAAGCAACCACCCATGAATTAAGCACAGAATTACCTTCCATCCTCCGAGTATAATTAATTTAAAATATTGGTAGGCCGACAGAAGGAGTTTACCCTCGTAAAAATGTTAGAGGCAGAAAAAAAATGAAACCTTTTGTCTGTGGCATTTACTCACCTGTAAAGAGGTTATTGTACGTACAACACTAATATTTGAGGTGAAACAATTTTCAGTCACATAAACATAATCTGTCGGCTCTGTTTCATCGTCCACTCCATTAGTGCACTGAATTGGATTTGTTTCATGCCCTCGAGTAATGTCACTGCAAAAAAAAGTTAAATTAAGTACTCAACAAAATGAGAAAAAAAAGTCTCACCCAAAACCAAGAAAAGCATATTCAAGCTGAAAGACTTAGAAATCTACTTGAAGACTTTCATTAGTTGACTTTCAATTCACTAATGAGAAAAAATATATCCAAGAATAATAAACATACTGATCCTTCTACTGAGAAAATTACTATCTATCTTTTACTGCTCAACTACAAACTTTCAGATTCCACATTAGTCACTCACATTGACTTAAGTCAGATACCCTGAGAGGGCCAAAGTTCTGGTACTTTTCTTTTTGATTTCTCGAATCATCCCCAAGTAGCAGAGGTTGCAACAACTTGCAACTTTGAAGTTGAAACATGTTTCAACTTCAAAGTATTGCTGGTTGCCTATCTTTAGATTTTAAACAACTTTGGTGCAGAAATTTTGCAATCTCAGGAGATTGCAACTTTGTCTTCCGATCATATCGCCGAAAATCGGCACTTATCGACCAAAAGTTGACCGAAAGTTGCAACTAATACCAATATTGTTTCAACTTTACGCAACTTTTACATTGAAAAATGCTACTTCGGTCAGAATCTTGGCACATTCTTTGCCCTGATATTTCAACACTTGATTCTTAACAAGGTGTAAAATACATGAAAAAAAACGGCCTTGGTATTACAGCAAATGGTTTATGCTGACAAAAAAAAAATCACAAAAGCACCCCTTCACAGAAATATTTTAAATACTATTACGGTAAAACTCGCTTATATAGTCCTATGCTTGTATCGGAAACTCGTTTTTATCAGAAGTTGCGCGCGGTCCCATTTTTTCGCCCATAAGAACAATGTAAAAAAACCCCGGGTGCATTGGAACTGCTCATAACAGAACCCGCTTACATTATGACACATTTTCGGTACGAAACCGATGTAAGGGGATTTTCCCCCAAAATGCTGCACAGAGTAACAAAACTTATGCTGTTGTATTGTCAGCGATTATTCAAAAGAATCAAGATAATGGAAATGCCGATCTGATCGGCTATTGTGTTTACATCGTGCAAAAAATGCAGACGCTGCGCTATCTGCGCACGCAGCCTGTTGCCCGATCCCCCCCTCCTCTCCGATCTGCGACAGAGAGGAGCAAGACTACACAAACACACTCCCAAGTTTTCCCCCTCCTATCATTCCACACCTCTTTTTCTCGTCCCGCAGTGCAGTACGTCAGTGAGTAGCGTGAAGTGTTGAAAGATATACTCGGTTCCCGCATGAGTAGAGGGGTTGGGGCATAGTCATTTGTGCCTGATACAAACAGACCTGTCGGCTGGGTAAAACCCATTATTTTTTTGAGTTTCGGGCAAAAAACATTGAAACTTACTTTACCGGATCCCGCTTACATAGGAAACGGCTTAGTAAGACTAGCGTGGGAAGTTTGTCTTAACTATAGATAGCCTTTTCATTCCTTAAAATTAACTGACAAATAGTGATAGCACTTACGTGGTTAGAATAACTTGAGTTCTCTCGCTCACTTTGGAGGTGAGTTCTTGCAATTTTGCATTAAGTTGTAACGCTTTATGAGTATTGCTCGGCTGAACCAGGCATGACTCGAGTACTGAATAGCCTGCTTTATTTTTTATGTTTGTCAGAGCACCTCGGGCCAACAGTAAAATCACACAGTCATAGTGATTTCTTCTAGCTGCAATGTGTCTGAAAAGAGATAAAATGTGTGAGAAAAGAATAGACGAAGTAAAGTTTACAAAATTTTAACCTCAAAAAAATTACTTTATACATGAAAATGAATAAATAAATTACAAGTTTTGCAGAACCACGCTGTAATTTTTTAATCTTGTAGATTATTCAAAAATAAAAAAATCTACCAATTTGTAGAGTTTCTGCGTTTAATATCATTGGAGATATTTCTATTCAATAAATAGTGGATGCAGAAAATATTAAGAGGGCAAACATGAGTGGGAAGAATGAAGGCAATGACCTTTCATTTTTGAAAGATTTCAGTATGTACGTAGCTAGAGATTAAAGTGGATAAGGAGAACCAAAGTTTCACTAATTTCTAGGCTTGAGTCTTTTCAAAATGAAAGGCTTACAATTAACATTAAAGACATAACTGATAGAGAAGTAATTCAAAGGATTACTTACAAAGGAGTATCACCGTGTATATTTGTACAATTTATCTCAGAGCCATAATTCAACAAAAGCTCAGCTATACTTGTTGTGCCTGAGTATGTGGCCCAATGGAGAGCAATATTTTGCTCTGCATCTCGAATGAGCAAGTCAGCATTTTTCTCCAATAAAAACCTGCAAATCAAATAGCTCAGTAAACAAAGTCGTATGGAATGAAGTGAACATAGGATTCGAATGATAGTCTGAGGGCTAAATAGATCTATTACTATACATATACGTCGATGATAAAAAATAGTGAGTCCATAAGAGAGGAAAAATTCGAAAAATAGATTCAGCCGTAAGAAGGGAAAAATTAAGAAGGGGACTTGGAAGTTTGAAAAAATAAAAAAATTCAAATATACTCAAGGACTTCTCGAGCATCACCAACAGGATGAGACCTGCACAGGCAGGAGCTTCAAGGATGGAGAAAAAAGATCATACCTCCCACATGATGGTAAATGAACACAAAGCTTGAGACAAAATTCCAGGAATTTCAAATGCATTTGTGCAACATGTACACAGCTCAGTATTTACATTTATTCATCATAACAGTTTAGGTTATCAGTAATCGTTAATCTATTTCTAGCTAATCGTGACGTTCTGCACAAGCCCTATCCAATGCATTAATGAAACTCTCCAAATTCAAGGAGATTCAAGGACTTTCCTCGGTGTCCAAAATACCAACACAAAAATTACAGAGCAGAGGGAATTCATGGGCAAAGTATATTCGACGGTGTAAGTCGGCAATCACATAACTCGGTTTGCGACGTTGCAGACTTCCTGTTATACTTTATTTTTTAAACGGAAAACTACTCAACGGCAATTCTTTAAAACTGCGGTGATTTTTCTTCTCTGTGTGAAGAAAATTCTGAAAAAACTTCAAGGAATGATGTCAATTTGTTCTCCTTTAAAAAAATAACATAGAGGCGGAGATTTTCAGACACCGCAAACGAGTTATGTGATTGCCGACTTACACCGTCGATATGTGTGTTTAAGGAAAGCATGATAAATATACCTGATGACGTGGGTGTGACTGTGTTCAGCAGCCCAAACCAGTGGAGTCCAGCCACCATCATCTGTAAGATTGATAAAATCAGAAGGAACTTTAGGGCTTGACAATAGATAATGACAGGCTTCAAGGTTCCCTGCTTTAGCTGCCAGATGGAGGGCTGTCATTCCATCCTCTCCTTTAAATGTTATAGAGGCCCCAGCTTTGACCAAGTATTTGACAACTTCATTTTGACCGTGGCCAGCGGCTAAGATTAAAGGCGTATTCTGATCTCGGTCTAGAACGTCCAGTTGAGCTCCAGCTTGGACGAGGATGTGGACTATTCCTATGTGGCCTCCAACACATGCACCGTGTAAAGCAGATCCCATCACCCATTCTCGAAACTGATGATTGGGGTTTAAACCAGCGCCTGAAAACATACCACTTATTGTTTATCACAACAATGAAAATGGATTACAAAAGTATAAGATATATTCACTTAACTTTTTCTTTTAACCGGGGTACAAAAATCTGCAAATGATTTGGCTGCACAAAAAGGAAAGAAAGAAAGAAAAAAAAAACGATTTGTTACATTGAATTTAATGATTGATACTTAAAAGTTACTTAACAATGATCTCATCTGTGCAAACGCCTGGTTTCTCCGTCCATCATCTACAGAGATTTCTCTCTTTGATTGATAATGACGGATTTCATTCACCGCAGCATGGATACAAAAAATACCTGATCTTGCTATCCTAAGACTAGGATCTCGACAGACTGAGTAGACCCTGGGCGTCAGCGGGCCGATTATTGAAATTTAAATCAGTCCGATAAGACATCAAATTGCGATATATTGCACATATATATGCGATTTATATGCTGACATAGTTTCAATAATCCGGCCGCAAGCAAGATTGTCCGACGGAACCAGTTGTCAACTTCTAAGAGCTATATGTAACGGTAAGCTTATACAGCTACCTACAGCTTTTCTAGCCATACTGTAAAGGATACCGCATTTTTCATGGGGGTTGTTTATTTTTGAGTTAATGAAATCCTGCTGAGAGTAAAACCACTATTGACTACCTTGATGAGAAATTTGAAAGATTCTTGTACTTATGGAACTGGGCAACCATCACAAGAATGAAAAAACATGAAAGTTTTGTAACATGAATGTTCCATGAGAGAAATTTTTAAGTTCTTTTTAACCAAAAAAAGATTATAAACTACATACCGAGAGCTGCAAGAACTTTTTCAGTTTCTCCATTCTTTGCTGCATTATACAGCATTCGGTACGTAATTCTGGAAAAAAGGAGAAACACAGTTAATGATAAACTTCATATCACACTGATAACAACTATAATTCTTGAGAAATAGGAACTTTAAACACTGTAGTATGAACACTACAACATGCATTTAAAATTTCAAGTTTTAATTATTTATTGCCTGATGGTAGAGCATTGACCCTGTAATGGACATCATGGAAAATTTTTACAGCGAGCCAGTTTCACGAGTAATATATTACTGTGTTATCACTATTCCCAAATGAGTTAAATCAAGGGCTAACCGCATGACTATGATATAGCAGAGTCAAAAACCCATATCAAATCTTCTTTTAGCCGGAATCTGGATTTTATGGTCCCTTCTTTGACTTTGGCCTAATTATTCTCACTACATGATGCTTAGCGAATATTGGAAGACAGCATGGCTTTGAAACAATGGTTTTCAATTTGATCATAGAAAATCATAATTACTTAATTATAAATATTAGTATAATTTAACAACTATGACTGATATGTTTGGTAAGAAATAGGATGATATCACTAAATTTCTCTCCAATCAACTTCCAAGCTCTAACAAGCTCGTAAAAATGAGGCTGTAATGAGGGCGACAACCTACAAAAGGGGTTCTGTTCAAACCAACTTTTCATACATAGGTAAGGCTGAATTTTTAGCATGGTTGACAAGACTGTGGGCTAAAAAATAGCATCCTGAAATTCAGAAGTCATCGAAAAAAGGAGAGATTTTGGTACAGTATTCATTTCTATTCTTTGATAAAAAGTTTGATTGAGAACAGAAGAACTAGAGAAAATGAGATCAGTATTAAAACTCATAGGTATCAAAGGTGTTGGGGGTATCGCCTCAATCACAACATCCACTTTCTTGAGCTTGAAAGTTTCTTTTAGGCGAAACCGGTGGCATCCCTGTGTTGCTACAAACATGCAACATCTCCGTTTTATGGAAAAATCATCACAGTTACATTGCATTGCTTCAATTATGTTGCCTACCAACGATAATTTAAACTTAATACCTTCTCTCTTTTAAAGAGGTGCTCAAAACTACAAGTAACAGAAACAACAGAATTAAGGCCCAGATACTCTTTTTTTTTCATGAAAATTCTTCTCATACTGCACAAAAATAGCTAAATAAATATTACTGTGCTGCTTACCACTCAACAAATGAGATCAAGAAGCAACTTGGGGCACTCAGAAAAAACGAAAGGTTTGAAAAAATAAATGCAAACATACCCATAATTTGACTGTCACAGCAAGAAAGCAAAATAAAATTTAAAACACATACAGGCATTGGATTTTGCTTTCATTAAAAATCTCCTATTTCTCGGGTTGAAAAAATTTGAAAAAAGACACCACTGTTCTCACACTTAGAGGTAAAATTCTTAGGAATAACCTTCTCTGTCTGAAGAGTAGCAAGGTGGAGAAATGGTGCTGGGTCCACACCATTTTGCGGGGAAAACAAAGCCAAGAAGTTCCAAAAATTACAATTTCAGTCAAAATTAATTTTTTTGTATTTTCCCAGTTCCAAATTCTTGGCTTTGTTTTCCCCGCAAAATGGTGTAGACCCAGCACCATTTCTCCGCCTTGTTCCATACAGTTCGGGCCACTTTATAGTGTTTTTTTTTTTTTTTTTCACCTGAAGAGTAGTTATGTTGTTTTTGTGGTAGGAGGCAATGTTGTTGACCCATAAAAGCTTCACAAAAGATTTTACATCTATGAAAATATTGTGAACATCTCTCCTATGAAAGCTCAACAATTTAGAAACAAAACAAAAACCCCAAATGATCACGGAAACGTAAAAAGTAAAAATCATAGTAGTTAAAAAAAGGAAATTTTTCTGAGAGACGATAGAAAAGCATGATAGTGATCTTCTCTTGATAAAACGGAACATCAAGCACAGTACACTGTCACTAAAAGCAGCTAACATAAAGTTCCCTACACTTTTCACCACTGATTTGGAATTTCAAGATGACTGACTGCGACTTTTGAGTTGGGGACATATTTTACCAAGTAACCTTACACTTCATTAATTTTTGTTCATCCACACGACATTATCTCATACAGAGATATATCTGTCATCCTCCTTGGTTACTGTTAGCAAATTTTTCACAAGAACAATTTTTGTCAACTTAGATAAAAATTTGGTGCTTGCGTTTCCAATTAAAAACTCTATAGTATCCTGAAAAGTTGCAAGCGGTCGAGTTAATTTGATGCTAATGATAACGACACGTGGAAATTGCATAATTGCCAAAGAATAATGGAACAAACCAAAACACTATTATAGGGTAACTTGACGAGAAACCTCATAATTCCGTGTCAGTTGCAGAACAACCTTGAGTATATTGCTATTGAAAGCGATCAGTTAATAGTGACACTACTTCAAATTGAAGTTTTTTGGTGCTAAAGTCACTACCTTTGTAGAAGATACAATTTTCAGATGTTGCCGCATGCATTCCACAAAATGTGAGTAGAACAGCAAAAAGCTACGGTGGAGTGTAAAAGAAAATAACAATTACTAAAAAAGATAAAATAAAAAAACAAAAAAACAGAGACACACCTAGCATCTAAACAACTACTCTGAGAAGCAGCATGCAACAATTCGTCTAACTTGTCCTTATCCAGAGACGGTGGCATTCCCTCCGATGTAATTTCTGTTCCACTGGGAAGAACCAATGAGGCAGCTGGCACAATGGGTGGAGGAGGAACTTCAAGTGGAGGTTGATACTGCGTGCGGGAATCTCCAATGCACATCCTTGCTGAAGGACTGTAACAGATCATAAATTCTCAAAAATTAAGAAGTGGCTTCATGATGGGATTCTGAACATTTTCTTGGCGCAGGTTTGTAAAATATTATCGGATCACGATTTAACGGAATCGGCTTCCAGTCCCTTGAAATCTGATAAATCAAGGTCTTACTGTAGTTGAAAGTGTATCTACTGTGTTATGACAGAAATCTATTTTTCAATATGTGCTTAGCAAAAAGAAAATTGAAAAGAGAGAAAAATAAGACCAGTTTAAATAAGAAAAGTAAAAGAAATGGTGATTGGTCAAGGGTTGCAAATCTCATTTACAGTTTGCCTTGTCTGTTGATGAGGAAGATGTTTTAAACATCCAATCAGGGCCTCACAAGTTGTTGCTAGACCGTTAAAATAATCTCTTGATTAATAAGTACACCAGTGTGATCCTGGGCAATATTGCAAAACTGCAGACGGTGGCCGAAAATTAACTTAAAGTTGGATGACGCTTGGTTTGGTGGAACAGGCTGGGCAATCCCTATTTAATCAAGGACAGGGGACAAAAATTTGTTTCATTGACAAAATTTTACATGAATTTTGATAAGTGTTAATGAATGAAAATTTGCTGATTATAAGTCCATTTTTCCATTCGTTAAGTTGTGATTCTGAGGAGAAGGACAAAAAATAAATTGAGTGCATACATTTTCCTTGATTTAAGTGGAATTTGTATGGAAACTTAAACCCCTTCATTTGCTGATGCAAATAAGAATATAATGCTTGTTTGACTTGTGATAATTTGGCTAAGCGGGGACTCCTCAAAGATTTTAAGCCTTGGAAAATGGGCTGCGAAACACACATGGACCCCCTGTATGGTTTGCAATGCTCTGATGGGGATAACTCCATACAATACACAAATATATATAGTGAATTACAATTAAATAACTTACACAACTTTAGGTGGCTTTTGAAAAGGGAAGAAAACAGGATTTTTATGTTCTCCTAAAGAGAGGAGAACATCGCTTTTTGGCGAATCTTGTCCACAATGGGGGCATGTTGGCTTGCCGTCCAGCATCAATTCACACTCACGATGATACTGATGGAATGATTCACACTGAACAAACCTCCCCTAAAACGAACACAAAAATATTGCATTAAAAGTTTGCCGACAATAACATGATGAAAAAATAATATAATAGGATAATTAGCGTAGTGTTACAATTTTTGTCCAAAAATAAGGTATTTATGTTTTTGTAGATTATTGAGGCAATCATACTATGGAAACTTTTACCTGCAGAAATTTTTTTCTTAAAACTTATCTTGCATACCATCAGGAATTTTTTTGCTTTTCAACGGTAGAAGAAAGAGTAGGGGGGTTTAGAAATGTCTCTGATCTTATTACCTATCCTTGATAGTTAAGGTAAGTACATTTTTTAAATATTTCGAAATGAAGAGTTTCACACAATTTTAAAAAAAAGATTGAAAAAAAATTAGCTGAAATTCAAATCAACAAAAGGTTTGATTTGATGGTAAAATATTTTGAATCAAATGGTTTTAGTTAGCAAAGTATACAGAGTATGTTTGGTAAAAATAATAAACAGATTAGCGAAATGCAAATACCGTCACCTTGTGCTATAACATTATTCCAGATACAACATTTGATTGTTCAAGTCATGGTTACTTTATCAATCAAGAAACCATGTCAATTTTTTAAATTAAAATGTTCACTGATATAATGCAATCGTGATACACTGCTTAAAAGTTTTCAATGCTGAGAGTAAAACACTGTATCAGGTATTTGGCACGGTGTATTGGGAACTGAGCAGAATTAATACTTGACATTATTTATTTTTTAGCTGAAAATACCAAAAGGAAGAAGTCAAAGAGAATTAGGTATCGATGAGGACTAAATTTCTATCAACCCTGTCTATTTTTATCCTTTAAATTCCTTCAGATCTACAGGTCAAAATAATCTTGGAGCATAAATTTCAAATAAAACATTGCAGAGCTTCATTTTTGCTCAATTTTTTAAACAACATTATAGATTCTGAGACATGTCATGGGTAGCGGTAGCCACCTCCAGTCAAAGTCTAAACTCGACCACAATGGTAGCAGCCTGAAGAAGAAAGGTGGCAGCTGACCATTTTGGAATGTCTTTTGTGATACGATGCCGATGTCCTATTTTTCAATTCACTTCAAAAATGTTAGGACAATATTCAACTATAGATATACAGACTACAAACCTGAGTGCAGAAGAGTCCACAACCTGGACAACAATTATGTCGAATCAAACGCTGAAAATGAACAGTGCACAGTAACTGATACGGAACACGCACGCTTGGTCTCAACATGACAGCTTCTTTATTTTCTTTATCCACAACGTTGCAGCATCCAATTTTTTGGGAATCAAGAGAATCAATTGCTTGACAATATATTTCTTTAGCTTCTTCTGCTACTTTTGGACTTACAAATACTCTTTCATTCACTTGACACAGACAAATTGCAGCTGTTCCGCCCTTAAAAAAGAACAAGAAAAACAGGATAACAGGTTTGAATTGAGAAAAGTTGCTCCTTAAACAGTATGTGTTGTGGGTCTGAAAAGAGAAGAGACCTATGATTTTTAGAGATCAGTTTTGGAAAAAAAAAAAAAAAAAAAAAAAAAAAAAAAAAAAAAACAGCTTTAGCTCCAACATTATGACAATCTGAGAGAAATTATTTTCCTCAGAAAAATAAATTTGATGGTCTCCATTAGGTTCCTCTTGAATTTTGGTTTCTCGTTACTATACTATGGCTGATTATCTACAAAAAATTAGAAAATGACTATTATGAAATAATAATGAAGTTGGTTGAATTTGAAGAATTTTATCAGCTTTACCAGCAAAAAAAACTTTTAGATAGCTAGAAAAAGTTAAAAAGTATTGGTCAAACAATATAGGTACTTACAGCCATAAAGTTACTCTACTCTTGGTTTGTAAAATTTTTTCTTTAATCAAATGCCAAGGACATTTTCGTTATTAGGAATGTATTTTGCCGTATGTATGCTTTTATAGGCCCAACAGGAGGGAGCAGACAGCATGGAACATTTTAAGAGTTGCGTGGGAAATATGCGCAAAAAACAGAAAATTACAGCACGAGCTTTCCACGTTAGAATCCCTTAAAAATTTTCTTGCTACCAAACTCTGCTGAACTTATTTAAGAAACTGCAGGAACCTTCCACAGTGAAACTCCTAAACAATGTACCTTGGTTGCTGCGTTTTAAAATTCCTGCTTCAATACTATTGTTTTTAGGAGGAGAAGTCAACATCATACTTTTGAGTTTTTACAGATTTTCTTTGCACCAAGAAGAAAAATCACAACGGCGTTAAAGATTTGCTGTTGAATAGTTTCCCATTTAAAAAACAAGGTACTTATGACAGAAAGTCTGCAATGTTGCGAATCAAGATGCGTTGTTTGGGAGTTCCATTGTCGTTACGCATTTGTCTAGAATAAATTATACCATGAGCCATTAGGATGAGGGTTCTACGTATCTATTGTTATGAAAATATATAAATACATTTTATATAGGTACTTAATTCACAATACTAATAAAAACACTTCCATGCCAGCAATTTTTCAGTGAAGTTTTAATGGGAGAACTGATTAAGGCCAGGATGGACCGTGGGTTGATTGATGAATGTTTCCACCGATGATTTGTGCGGATAGGTAGCTATGACCGAAGATGAGCCATTCAGCTGGTAACAAGTCTCCCAGTGCTTTCTCTGAATCAGAAATTTCTACTTTTAACTCTTTAGAAGCTACAACTTTGGTAAGAGAAAGGTGTTCTTTAACAGTGTGCTTTTCTCCCGCCTACAATTTGAGTGGAGTTTTGTGCCTTCAAGTTCAAACTGCTTTAAATGCTATTGATAAGATTTCTTCACATTACAAGAATGGAGAAATCTTCAGTAAGAGGCTTAACAAACAAGACCCAAGGCATTTTTATCGATTCTTACCCCAATTGAAATAGCAGATGACTCTGGAATGGCAGCAATATCAGAACCTTCCGCTGTACTTGGTGAGGGCACATCCATTCTTCGAACCTTTTCGACACCTAACAAACAAACAAAAAATAACGATTAGGTATTTGATGAAGTTTCATGATCTCAGAGAGAAAACGAGATAAAAGGTAACAGTGCAAATTCTGTTGAAACTTATCATGGCTAAGCTTAACTTTCTCCGCGTATGAAGTTCACCAGAAGCAAAGCAAGATTATGACCAAGTCAGACAAATACTAACCAATGAAATCTTCCCCATCATGTGAGGCCGATGGCAATTCTTCTCTATTTCTATGGTTACTTGACTTCTCATTTTAAAGCTGAAACATCTTTAACTTCAGATTACTTATTTGTTCCCGCATTTCTGGAATTTCCGATGACTGAAAATTCACAATATTTCGTTCTCTACATGCAACTCAGACGTCTGATAGCAGTTTTGTTAAAACAAATGTGATAATCTTATTATAAACACGCGTAGTGTCTGAAAACAAACTTACCGTTGACTTCATCTTCTCTTGGATCACAAGGGTATTTTCGTTTGGACACTGAACTTGAGCTTGAATCCAATGATGTCACTGACAATGAGCTTTCACAGACAGAATCTACAAAGTAATGCAATAAAATAAAACTGAGAGGAGCAATATTTTGTACTCGAAGGATTAAAGGATGTTTTTTTATTTCTTTAAATCCTGATGAGAGAAGAAAAGTCAAACAGGGTGTAAGAAATATTAAAATGAATAAATTATTAACCACCCCAAATGGCTAAACATAATTCAAGATCGAAGGCGCTATGAAAGTTGATTTTTTTCACACAGCAATGCGCCCGCGCTCCCCTCCCCCTCAATATTTTCAGTCTTTCAGATGCAAGAAAATTTTACAGAAAACAGTGTATGTACCTAATCTCATTTTAGAGAATTAATGTGTCACTTTTATTTACAGGCTGTCCAGCTTCTGATGTCTTCTGAGAATCCATGCTTTTCACTATTCAATATAATTTGCAAATTAACAACTGTAAGCTCCTTCACGAATAACTAAATAATACAGTATTCATTAGCAATCATATTTATTTCATGCATAATGTGCGATCATATATTGTTACATAATTGAGTAATAATTTCATTTAAAGATACAAAATGCATAAAAGATTGCTTTGTGACCGCTAGCATCAAATATTATACCCAAATAGCACAAACTGCAATTGCTTGGTAAAATTATCAAGACTGCATCAGGGCGTGGTGTAAGTTGCCTATCTATTGATGGAGAGGGCTCCTCTTAGTGCAATAAAATTGAAATAAATTGCAATATTTCTCTGCATTGCAAATTGCTGATCTTTTCATTACATGAAACTTACTTTGGTGCTTATTTAAAATTTTCATTTGTTGACCAAATGATATAAAAATATTGCAATTTCATGGTGAAAAAATTGCAATTTAATTTCATTTTTATTTCAATATTTCCATTGCACTGTGCTACATGTGTAGCTGAGTTGAGAGCAGGGATGCAGAAAATGCTTGACCGCACAAGCCCTAAAAGCTCACTGAGTTAAGGAATTTTTTAGCTCCAAGCGTACTTTGAACCTTTATGCAGAGTGAGGAAATTTTTCAAGAATAAGCAAATTTTTAAGTTGGAATTGCAACTAATACTTATTTGCTCCAAAGAGCTTTTCACATACCTGGCTAGGTATTGCTGAGATGGTGTAATGAGACAAGTATAATGAGAGAAACAAAAGAGAAACTCACCACAAGGCTCGGCTTTGAGAGATTCATTAGGTGAAACACTATCAGATGGCGTTGAGTCTTTCTGCTGATCTGGCATGCCATCACTTCTTGCTTTCTTTGGCCTGGCAACAAGTTTGGCAACACCGCTTTTAAGAGTATATCGAAATCCACGAAAATATCGTTTTCTTTTTCTATTTCTTCCACTACCATTACTGCTAATTGAATCCATCTCTGTCTTTGAATTTGATTCTGTTTTAATGCTGACTTCAGCTGTTTCCTCATCCTCATCATTCACTTTTTCTGGAACTGATGGCGCATTATCTGCTTCTTTGGAATCAGCTATAATTTGTGGGACCTCACTCACCTGATAACTAGTTTTATTACTATTTTGAGGGAATAAATCACAGACTACGACAGGCTTAAGCTCATCTGGAACATGAATGTTTGAATCTCCGCTTTTTCCTTCTGGTGATGTTTTATTGGCTTTGGACTTAGAGATCCTAGGACTCTGTCTCAAGTCAACGGTGCTGAAACGGCCTCGCTTGATTCGCTCATCAACACCGTTCAAGGTACCAAAAGATTTTTCTTTTCTGGCAATAGCAGTTTGTAATACTGATTCAAAAGAGAACTCTTTAGAAGTGCGTCTCGATGATCGCTTGATACTACTATCGTTTTCAAGTTTTTCTGTTTTGACAGTTTCTCTGTTTCGGAAGATTCGTCTACTTCTTCCTTCTTCAGCTTCTTCGTTACAGTTAGAGGGCTCTTCCGGGTTTTCAAGGATTTCCTCTTTAACAGATACAGAGTATTGAACTTCTTTCCTCTTGGTAGTTGATTCAGCTTTTGGGGGACTTGAAAGACCTTTCTTTCGTTCCTCCGTTGTCTTCAAAGTAAGAATGATCCGAGTTGTCGACTCGTTTGTCGGTTGGGAAGTGCGTTGAGTAGAAACATCACAGTTGTAAAATTCGGTGGATTGAGAATTCTCATGAGTTGATTTGGGCAGATTCTCTTCTTCCTTTTCAAGCTTGATACTTACAGGGGTTAATGATATAGAAGAACTCGTCTCATTATTACTAAACGATTTATCGATCAAGGTGGACTCTTTGTCCACTTGTGGGTCTTCGGTTGCTTCTTGATTGCCCAATTTGGTGCCAAGATCACACTCTGCACTAGAGTTTAATAATTTACTTTCCTCTGAAATTTCTGAGCTTTCAGTGCAGTTATTTTCCAAATTAGTATCATCTTTGTCTGTACTCCCAATGTTGGGAGATTTTACTTCAGATTCTTTAGAGCCTAGGTCAATATTTTGAGCATCTTCCGGCACAAAGGCACTGGAATCATCATTTTTGAGATCACAAGCTTGATTTGACGATGATTCTAAACTTGAAATTGAGATATTATTTTCATTACTACTAGTAGAAATTGGGGCTGGAACTTCTGCTGGTTCTATTTCACTTGGTGGTGTATCAGAGCAACTGTCGCTTGGTTTCTCACCAGCATTTAATTCTTCAGGTATTTCATTACTCATGATTGGGGAAATTTTACAGTCTCTTTCTACAGTTATATCCTCGAGGGTGACAGAATTTTCAGGATTAGATTCCACTGCATTGCCTTCAGATGGAGATATTTCTTTGGGTTCTTGTCCTAAAATTTCACTCTCCAGCATAGAGGAGGGGCTGTCTAGCTGTTTTTCTACCATGGAATTCTCGAGTTCAGAGGAGCTATCCAGCTCTTTTTCTACTTCCATTAGCTCAGATGTAGAGGAGCTTTCAGGCTCTTTTTCTATTTTCATATTATTAAGCGTAGAGATGATAGGGTTAAAAGGACTGTCATTTTTGTCGGAGGATTCTGGATCTAATTTTATTTCGTCACAGTTTGGTGCATTCAAACTGCATTTTCTTTCAGGTTTTCTTGGACTTGCAGAAATGGTTAAAGATTCAGAGGAAGATGCGATTTTTTCATCCACTTCTGACTCTACAGGTTCATCATCATTTTTAGTGGCAGATGAACTAGCTTTCTTCTCTTGAGAATTTTTTAGGCGCGTACTTTTGGGGACATCTGAAACTGACTTCATTTTCACACCTTTTTTGTTGGCTACGTTTGACTTTTTACTTTTAATAGGATCACTAGGGAGTTTATCAATACCTAAAAGTTCTTTTGTATTACTTTCTTCTACTTTGGCTGTTTGAAGGTCACCGTCAGCTCCAAGTCTGCTAGGAGAATTTCCTAAGTCACCGCTGTGGCTTTTTGAGCTGAACGATTTACTAGTTTCAGCGGTAGACTCAGAGGAGCTTTTCGAACGAGTACTTTTGGAAACTGATTTTCGACCAGATTCTTTGGTGTTTCTTTTATCACAGCTATTTGATCGTCCTTTTGTTGGAGTTTCAGAGGGAGAAGTGATATTCTCACCTGAGCGATTAAACTCATTTTTCATTTCACAAAGTATTTTTTCAATTAAGCTAGTATTGACACTGTCATTATCTGTACTTGTTGAATCTTGACTGATGGTGTCAACTGCAGTTTTGTCATCCTTCTTCTCATCCGAGTTACTCATGTCAGAGAAGAGGATGGAGAGGCAGACCAAATACAGGGACACAGTCTACTTTCCAGATAAGAAGATCCGATGATTAACCATGAAGACCGAAGAGAGATGAAAGAGAACCCATAGCTTGACTTTCCACTCCGAAATCCATGGATCCTGAGGAACAGGAGGAAATAACATAAATATATTGTAGGCACAGAAAAGAGGAGATATTAAGGAAAAAGTAAAAAAGAAGGATCAAGATTTTTAAATTTTCTTTAAGATTAAGAATTGAACGTTAAGATGCCTTGTCCCAGGGTCTTGGTGTAACAATGCTATTAAAATTACCATGTTGCCTTTCCCCCACCATGTTCAAGATTTATCAGAAACATTTGCTACACACCTGGAGGAGAAAATGTTCCTGAATGGGTGTTCTTCTGAATAATGAAAAAAATCTTTTCGCCTAGTGCTCAGCTGATGATCAAATAATTATCAGAAATTTCGGGTGACTTTTAACTTGTTTTTTACTTTGTTTGACGTACAGTTTAAAACTGAACTAAGAACTCTAGGAATTAATTTACAGTGGTCGATGACAGAATATCAGGGGGTGATAAAACCCCAAAAGTAGGTAAATTTTTTAATTTGCAATGTAGGAGATTTCCAAACTTATTTGTTTTCTCCAATAAATCCTAGCAGCAATAGGGATAGAAAATTGGGGCAACTTCTTTTGATTGCGCCAAGATTGATTTTAAAAAGGTTGATGAGAAGAGTTGTCCAGTTTTCTTTGTAAAAAATAGTTGCGAGCAAAAATTTGGAAACACTTATACCTGCCAGAATGAGCACTTGCATAAACTATCTATACACTAAGATGACCGGAACGGTAGATAATTCATTGTTTTAAAAAACGTATGATTTCTTTAGTGCATGACAAGACAGCATACCAAAAGTGTCGCTACAGAGTGACATGGATGAGAGCATACTATTCAATTACCTACACTGATACCAATAGCCTGTGAAGAGTTACTTTTATGAATTTTTGGCGAATATTTACCGTCAAACATAATCTAAACTATTCGATTCTTTCAGCGAGGCAGTTGAGACATCAAATAAAATTAAGTGCAGGTACACTTCCGTCTATTACCATGAATAGTTGACGCAGGGAACTTCTGTTGCTACGTACCTACCAAACACATTTACCATTTGAAGTATCAAAGATTCCTGTGAGTGCATATTCAAAGAAAAATGCAAAGGCAAAACAAAGTAAGCTGATCACAGAAATGGATGGGGGCTGGAAAAACGTAACTGGGAGGTACTAAGACTGAATTCCGTGTTTGTACAGTGCACTAGGACCCTGAGGAAAATGTTCATGGACTGCCATTTAACCTCAAAACTAAAACACAAACATCAGATGAAATTATGAACTGAAATCAAGTGCCTTAAACCGCACGTAGACATCAAGAATCATGAGAGAAAACTAAGGTCAACGTAGAAAACAATTGTTTAATGAGAACAGGAAATGATTAGGCAATACTGGTGATAAGAATAATCAATGGATACGAAGATTCTTCCCAGTAGATCCTACTTGTCTGTGAGATTAGGAGTAAGAGCGTTGTTCAAAAACACACGATGGACGAAGCTCCCAGTTGCTTCAGTGCAGCAAAACTCAGAAAACACGCAGAAAAGGGAAATTCCATTGATAAATGCAACGCACTGCGATGAGAAATCTGATTTTATAAGTACCTGTCTTCGTCGGCTATCCAAGTAAGTAGGGGAGGGTAGTCGCATGAAGATGGTGACAGCTTCGGTAGAGCTTATCAACGGGAGGATCGCATCGCAACTGGCGTTTCCACGAAAAACTCAACAAAACAATCACTAAATACGTCAGAATAATAAAAATTAATTGATAGATAGATTCGTAAATAAGGTGGTCTCCTTCCGGACGGTGATGGTGACGGTTTCAAGCCACACAACACAACGAGGGCACACTTCGCGGACGGGCCGACGGGCGGGCTTACAGTGAGGTGAGGTTCTCAACGAGGCGGCCCGCTAATCAACCAAGATCTTCGACTTCGGACGATATGGAAGAACAACATTTTGGATAAAGTTTACCAAAATAGCCATAAACCGCTCCCAATTCTCTTTTCCTCTGGCCAAATAAATCGCTGAAATGACGTTTTAGAAATCGCAAATTACCTCTCCGATGCCGGTGAATTTCTTAGTACTTCTTCAGTATCAAGACAGGCGCACCGGAAGATGTGAGGGTCACGCGGTTATGAATATTTACCTTTGACCTTTGTACCGCTGTATTTCTACAGGATTTGCTCCCTGAAAATTCCAACAACTGTTTGGACTGTCTCTGTCGGTATGCAAGTTTTTTCAGATTCGAATTTCGAATAGCATTCAGTACTTGCGTGGGCTGAAGAAAAGCGCCATCGACCCCCCTCTCCCCCCTCGACTAAATCACCGTATCACCTTATCAATGCACAAATTTAGTAATTGAGACAAACACATTTTGTGTGCGAACTACATTCCTATTTTGAATATGACCGTGAGCGCATTTCGAGTAAGACAGAGTGTCTTCATATCCTAAAGAGTCAGTACTGTTGAGAAAAAAAGGCTTTCTGCGCCTCTTTTGAGGAGCGCAGGGGTTTTCATTCAAATCCACAAACAAAACCATTATGATGAGACAATGCTCCAGTGAAAGTTTTAGCTTGAGTCCATAGCTTGGTTTGGCACTACAGGATTGCAAAGTGCGCATTTTTTAATATTAAAAATGCTAATATTTTGAAGTTCAGCAACGCGTTAAAAAAATAGTGTTGAAAGTAACGCCTGAATGATACAACTATTCGTGCTCTGTGGACGCGCGTGTTGCATATCAAAAAGTGGAAGGCGCTCCGGTCACTCTCTGGTTCTGGTTCATTCTGGACCGGATAAGCTGGTCGAAACTATTTATCACTAAATATCGCTGAGTTTTGAGAAGATTCTAAAATCAGTACTTCTTTTTAAGTGATAATATGCACAGTTTAGCCGCCAAACACATCATTTGACGATTTCAGGGGAGTTCAAGGAGGAGAAAGTTCCCCCAAAAAAATAGCCTTTAAAAAGACGAAAAGTATTGTAATTAAAAGCGGTGCATGTTAGAAAAATTATACATACCTAAAGTAAATTTTTGCCAGTGATAAAAAAAGTTTATAGATTTCGAATACTTTTCATATTCGTTTTTCGAAAACAAAAAATAAATAAACAAAAAATTAAAATTGAGGTTTTGGTCCGGTAGGTAATAAAGACCAGACCTAACTCGAGGAGTGTATCCAACGAATGACAAGATGCACTTCTCTGATAAAAACTAAGGAGAAAGACTGAAAATGTCATTTTCACAAATCAGGATATTATATCCCCCCGCCATACCGCGAGAGTGAGACACAGCGTGCCGCTGCGAGCTTTTCTCCGTGGGCTAAAGTGACGAGAGCGCCTTCAATTATTAGGATGCAACACTGATATCCATAGAGCACGAATAGTTGCATTATTTGCATCAAGGCGTTATTACCGGTATCATTGACCTCTGCCTGGATGTCAATACCGAAGCGTTAAGATGAAAACGTCGCATGAAGACCGAGCGTTGACAAATCCCGATTGATAATTTAAATTTCCTAGAAAACTTGAGAGCGATGTTATTTTTTAATGTGTTACCGAATTTGCTGGGCAATTCTATCTAATGATTCTGAAAATTTTAAGAAAATACCTACCTACATTTCCTATCCTTTCGTCAAAAAATGGCTTTGGTCAGAAAAAGTATGGCCACGTAGAGATGTTATCATACCTACGACGTTTTTCTTGCAAACTTGCTTTAGCGGCAGCCAAACCTGGCTCGGCTGTTCTGAGACTGTGAACACCTAGGTAGTCTAACTTTGCAAAGCTCAAGATCACTGATAGTTATCGATCGAAGTGTCAACAACAGTACTTACCCGAGTGACGATATAATTATTGAAATCGGGCCCCAGAAACTATGAAAAAGGTCGATTAAAGTTGTTTTTTTACCAAAAAACTTCAAAATATTATTAGTTTTTATATAATCGTATGAAAAATGCAAAAGTTGCCAAAACGAGCTTAGACTCGAAGTTTCAACTTTTGTTGGAGGATTATCTCATCATAAGGTTTCGGTTGAAATAGATTTAAATAAGAGAATAATGAAAAAAAAAGTGGCACTTTCCTGACAGGCTCTTTCAGGCATCAAAAATAAGAGCCTCATTACACAGGGTGCGTCCCAGGATTAAGTACGAATATTGAAGGAGTCGATTCTTTGGGTCAAAAAAAGACGTTTTTGTGATAAAACTTTTTTTTCCAAAAACGATTTCTCTGAGGGCCACCCCCTTCGCGCCCACCCGCGCTCCATTTCAGTCCCTATTATCTCGAAAACGATGATTCATAGCGAAAAAACGCAAGACACAATGTGTCCGGGCCGGATTAAGGGGGTGGCCACATGGGCCGCGGCCCATGGCGGCAAATTTAGGGGGGCGGCAACTGTTGTAATTTTTTCCAATGTCTAGGTATCAAGAAAAAAATCTGATTCAGAACAAAAATTACAAACGAGAAAAGGCGAAAAAAGCTCTCATTTCCTGACAGTTAAAGTATAGTAATTTCTAATTTGTTCGTCTTTCGGTGATACAAGAGACAGAAGTTGAGAGAGAATCCATAAACACGCAATTTCGCCCGGAGCGGCGCGGCGCTGAGAGCAATGATGACGAGGACTTGAGATGGAAAGGAGAAGCCCTCGGCGCGCCGGTCAGCATGAAACACGCAGTAGCGCCTACAAGACTGCATGAATACTTCACGCATTGCGTCAAACGTGGTGCGGTCAACAGCGATCGGCGCGCGGCGCGTGAAACGCATAGCGCCTACAATACTGTAGAGATACTTCATGCATTGCGCCAAACACAGTGCGGTTGGCGCGGTGGCGGAAATTAAAAATTATTAAACCACATTCATGCATGTTTATTCTTTCATAATTTTTTTGTTCTTTTCTTATAAATGAAAGGCCTCGTCCACACAGAGATAGGTTTACGGAACTTAATTTTCGTGCAAAGTTCCGTGAAATTTTGCTAGTGTTGACAGAGTTTTCACCAAAAATGTGCCCAACGCGAGTAAACGCGTCTTATGCACCCCTCCTCCGGCACGTCCACTTGATGGTTTGTATCGGTGTTTCAAAACGAATGAGAAGGGGCGGCAAAATGAAGGCGGCCCATGGGCGGCAAGTAGGTAAATCCGGCCCTGAGACACATCACCATATTATTTTTCAACGCGGAATCAAGTGGTGCCGTCAAAACTCAATTTTTTTCGCTGGAAACATTAATTTTGGCCACTTATAGGTTTGATACCCTCCTAAACCCCTCTTCAAAGTGTGTTTTCCTCCTTCTGGAAGTCAAAAATAAAAAAAAGCGCTGAAAATTTTACACACTTAACGATTTTCATTAATATTGGTTGATAAACATCGTCACAGTGTTAGAGAGACGATTTCTTTTCTCCAACTTTGGGGGGCCGTGGCCCCGAGGGTAACCGTTTTTGGGAAAAAAGTTATACAACAAAAACGTCTTCTTCAGACCCAAAGAATCGACTCCTCCAATATTCGTACTTATCCTGGGACACCCTGTATTATTACTAAGTATCCACTAATATTTTTTTGGCTATGCTGCATGTGGTCTATAATTGGCGCGAGAAATAACAGGCCAGTTTCAGATTCCAGGGAGAATGTCTGAATTTTTATTCTGAACGTGAATCGAAGTTGTTTTTTGAAGTGCCGGAGCGCAATGCGTTGGAAAAAGTTAGTTCAACCTGCGGCTTATCGACCTCCGCGTCACAGCACCCGTACAATTAAAAAAGGAGCGCGTTAGATAACCGTGTACCGGCCATCGTATGCGGCGGGGGGTCATTGACCCTGCCCGACCTAATTTTCTCACAATAGACTATACCTAGACAGAGGGATTCTTTCGTGATCCGATTTATTCAGCGCCGTTCGAAGAAAAACGGACACAGTACCAAAAGGGCCATGTATGAGGTGTATCAGGGGTATGGATGGTGTCTTACTGCCACCCCCCCCTTATAAGAAATAAAACTTTGGTGCGATTTCTTGACTGAGATCCGGGTCAAGTTGAACTTCCGGTGGGGACAATGAAGTGCTTGATGAAAAGTTGGAATGAGTTCATTTGAGGAAAAAGTTCTCAGGCCGAGTTGTTGAAACCAATCACTTTAATCAAGAATCAACATTGTATCCTGAGGCCTTGTCTCCACGGGACGTTTCATGGGATTTGTCCCAGGGAAAAATCTCACTTGCGAAGTTCAAAATCTAGTTTTTGGTGTGCCAATTTTGAGAAATCAGGGCTGAAAAGATTAATTTTTCAGCATTTTTACCCACAATATTAGTAGAAATGTTGAAACATCCGAATGATGATCTAACAGAGCTTTTGTTTCCTAGAAGACCAGGAAGATAAGACAGCCAAAAAATTCCTTCGAATGATAACAGGCTGTGGCAAGCGTTCACACACAGCTAGAAACAAATTTTAGCCAGTGCCAAATTTCTTGGTATTTCGTGTGTAGTCCTTTTCTGCATTTCTTGGAGTTTTCAATTAAAATATCCTGATTGAAATCTTCATCCTTCCTCAGTCGCTTATAGCCCTAAAATCTGCCCTTAATTAAAGAATATTTACGTTTCTCTTGGATGAAAAAATAGTTTTAGTAATAAGTGTAACATACGAAATAAAGAACAAAGATGATATCAATAGCCAATATAAAAAAATTATATTTGAAACTAAATAAATATTACAAATATATTGCAAAAAAAATTTTCTAATCAAAATAATGTATATGATGTAGATAAAAAAGAGAAGAAAACTGAACAATTCAGAGCACTACCTACAAAAAAATCGGCTCTGATCATACAAATACAATTTCAAAAATTTTAAAAAGTCTCCTTTGAGCACAGTCTTAAAAACTTTCTTGTAATTCAAAACATTCATGAGAATTCCAGTTGCCTATCAAATGTGACCAAAAAATACCTGTGACCAGGTTCCGAGCTACTCGGAAAATTCCTACCAAAAAAAAATCTTAAAAATGAGTGCTTACCCCTGATTTGAAAAGTTTGAGGTTACTAAAGCGATACATGGATAAATCATAACGGGATCCTAGTTGGAGGAACTTATAATCTAGATATTTTTTTTCTTCTTGAGGTGGAAAAATTAGACTGCCTCTTAATGCTACATCCCTAGTCCAATGCAATTTTGGTTTGTTCAGTCAAGTTTGTTACTTTAAGGGTAACATCACAGTATGACACAACCTCTTTTTGTTCAAGTTCTTTTCAGAATGCTTAAGAGGTTAAAAAATGTAGGTCATTTACTAGAGGAGAGTAAAGATATTTATTGAATGAACCTCCTTAGACAGGACTTCAAGAGAGAAGGAAAAAATCTAGACTGAAGAAGGTTTGATTCAAGAAATTAAATGTTTAAAATACAAAAATAAAGAAAGACAAGCGCATATTCATACATGAGAAATAGGACAACACTGCCAGCACCAGCTCACATGAACATTTATTCTTTTATTTGACAGAATATTTGCAAATAACTTGCCATTGGAGCAGGGATAGGTCAGTTTGTAGCTAAAAAGACAGGAAATATTGTTCATGAATTAAGGTCAATAATTGAATCATTAACTTAACATAAAATTGATATTGAAGGATTGAATTAGGCTAGTAATGATTGAAACTGGGTAGTATTAACAGAGCCTGCCTTTCAAATTACTCTATGGGTAAAGGAAATCGTTGAAACACCATATATCCCACCTCACAGAGGGAGGTGATTCTGTCCAGAGAATAGTCCAACAAAAGAAATTATCTTAGTCCTGTGGGCCAATCAATCACTTTCCTCTGCTATATTGGCTAATTATAACAGTGAAGTGCATGGTAAGAGACAGCTGCATGGAAAATTATACTGACAGCGCTCAAATGACTAAAATTACATATAATCACCACAGAGAAAACTTAAGAATGATCTGCCAATCTTATTAAAAGAATCACCCGATTGTTTCGAACAACATTAAATTCTGTTAAATAACTCAATTTAGTAACTTGTAAAGCAAACAGTGAGACCCATCATTCACAGTCTTAAAAAACTGACAGTTATAATTGTTGAAATCAGCAATGCTAGATTAGAAACCTGTTGGATGCCAGGCCGAATTTTTTGCAGAGCTTTCTTCCTAAATATGTAATATTATGCCTTGTAACTGACACTTCAATAAACTTTTTCTCAGCTATGTAAGTGCCCACATTTTTCTGGATAGAGCATAAAAACCATTTAGACAGAATTTAAGGCATGGCATTACTTGAAGGGCTTGGTACTACCAAATTTCCTGCATTACCTGTTGCACAAATTTATTTGACAAATGTTCAAAATGTGGCATTAATTTAAACCTTTGGTAAATCCTAAATGATGTGGAACTAAAAACGAAAAATGCCGAGAGCATGAACTGTTCACAATAAATAGATGTTTTAAAATTTGAAGATATGAGATGCAGAAAAGCAAATAAACTTTCAAATTTAGGCATCTAGAGACGGAAACAATGCATTTTTTTGCAATAAAATTTATAAAAAGTGCAAGGAAGTAAACATATTATTCCGTACAATGATAATAATGATAAAAAAACCTATAAGAAAAAACTGCAGAATAGATACTAATAACTGATAAAAATGATATTCATAATGATAATAACATTTGCTGCTGAAGTGTAATAATCAACGAACTTACATGCTAATGATTTTCTGGCACATCATTTGCCTGATACAAATGATGATCTACAGACACAAAATACTTTCACAAGTTCAACACATACTTTACAATTCATTACAATTTTTACAAGAGAACTTTACAGCTAATAACCAAACGCTACCTCAAATGAACTGAGTTTAGAGAAAAGTAACCGAGTCACATTAAGTCATGATACCAAGAGCGGGTGGGAGGAGATTCTGCCTTAATAAGACTCAACGTAAAAAATGAACCGTTTGGGACACTAACATTTCCTCAAAGACTTCAATTTGTTGAAGAAGGAAAGTAAGACACTGGTCAAGCTTTACATCTTTCACACAAATGTGATTTGATTTGTTTCTGCTAAACTCAGTTCAAAGGAGAAACAGTAACAACAATGTAAGTATATTCAAATTATTCTGCTGATACAGAAATATGCTAAAGTTTGCATCAGAGGAATAATCATGGCGAATCTACTTGAAATATATGGCCAACTTCGAATGAGTGTAATTCAAGCCACATAAGTTAAAATGGTGGAACGATAGTTAGGGGCAGGAGAGGACTATATTGATAGTAACTGAGAAGAAATAAAAAGAGAGAAATCATGCAAAATATGAAAAAATCATCCACACTTAAGCTGTGGTCAATTAATGATTTATTAATGCTCTGACATTTTAAGACAAAAATAACTTGAATTATAGTAGAGCAGAGGATCAGCTTAATGGTGTCACTTTTTATGCATTAAATGTATTTGCATGTATAACTATTTGAAAACCACAACATTTTGATCAGATTTTTCACGATTTTTTGTTTTGTCATAATTATGCCTTGGACTTCAGGGCTCATTGAAAGAGCCTGCAAATTGGGCGTGTTTTTGCTAAAAGGAACTGTGTGCATGAGGTTTGTATGCAAAATAGTTCCTTTTAGCATAAATACCTTCAATTACAAAGGATTTTTTTCTCGAAAACAATCCAAAAAATTTCTCAATGATACGTTTCAGCGACCTTAAAAATACACTGAATGACTAATATGGCTTCTTTTTCAACGATCCTGGAATGTATTGCACTATAATCCATTTTCAGTTCAGCCTTTCATCTTTCTGTGTAAGAGAGACATGTAGGTATACATCCGCTTTTGGATTCTAGTTTACAATCACAACCAAGAGGAATATCTAGGTTTCCTTCCCTATTCATTGAACATAAGACATTTTGTGTGTCTTCAACACGATGAAAAAATCATGCTGAACAGTCATGGAAAAAAGAGATTCAACTGTTACATCAATGAGTTATGAGTAATATAAATTAAACAATTTTGATTTGAGATAAATTTTGATTCACAACTGTTTAATTGAGATAAGATCTGATTCTTAAGCAATAAATGAGAGCAATCATGTGACATCCTGAGGTAAAAGCATACCAATGACTTGCAAAGTTTACCAAAACTATGGCTAAAATCTATGAATGTGATGATTTAGATTGCTTTAATACACCTTGGGCATTTGTTTACATTTTAATTTGAGTAAAATTGTCGGCACGCATATTGAAGCAAAACAGATTTTTACTGTTTCACTACTCTGTCAAACTTGTGATATTGAAGAATGGACCACTATTCAGGGTGGCGATGGAGGCTTTGCAAGACATATTTCCAGAAAATTTTTACACAGAACACATTGTACAGATTGAAATTTCCAGGAGCGATTCATGAGTAAGACAATAATGTTTATAGTTCGCGTTCAAGTCAGTCTCATCAAACTTTCTACTCATGGAAAAACTAAGAGACAAAAAAATCGAATCTGCCGGTGAGAACCAAAAAGTAGATTTTAAAATGAAACATGCTGAGTCAAGCAGCATTTAATGCTGATAGAATTTTAAAAAAATAGCTGATACACTGCTACTTTTTATGATTTGCCAACGAATATAACTTTGAAGGTCTTTGGGCCTTTCAGCTGAACTGAGTCATCATTAGAGGGAAATGATGTCTGAATTCTGAGAAAGTACAAAACTCTGACTATTAGAGGATCCCGGAAAACTCTTATAGGAATGTTTACCATCATCGATTTTCCATTTTTATTTGGCATATAACTCGTCTATAGATCTGATCAAAAGTCACAGTTGCACCTACTTTCTGTAAGCTGCTGTTGTCGCACAATCCGCTCGGAAGTTTTAATAATTCTGTGAATTAAAGGAGGCAGTGTGGCGATGAAGAGTCAACAAGACCCCTCTTTCTTTCAAAACTCGAGAATGTTCAAGACAAAATAAGGAAAAATAGTGTATTTCCTTCAGAAAATACACTAAAACTCAGCCAGTGAGAAGTAAGGGGGAGAGTGGGAGAGATAGAGAGCAACGATTTAGATGGTCTAGCGAAAAGGCATGCAGAATCTGAGATGAGATTGCCGCTCGGGTTTTCCTGCTTTCCTTATTGACACACAGCCGACCGTACTCTAATGCTAAAATGAGGGCTCTTTTTGACTCTTAATCGCCGCACTGCTTCCTCTCATTCAATGAATTATTGAAACTTCCTGGCGGATTGTGCAAAAACGGTAACTCGTAGAAAGTTGGCGCAATGATGACTTTTGATCAGCATCCATAGACGAGTTTAATGCATTAAAAACTGAGAGACCTCCTCTATTGCAAAACAGGCTGAATTTCTTTTAGAGCCCAATAGACCCAAGCAGACTTTCATTTTTTTGCAAACGGGAAGTTTGAATTGACAAACACCAAACACTTATTTCTAATCAAGAGTTGAAATTGACAAATTTTGACATACCGACCCAGTTCAACGAAGTACATTTTTAAAAGCAAACATATTTTGTATTATTTTGTTGTTTCACTTGATTTTTATCCTCACCAGGGGGCCAATTATTGAAGATTTGTGTTTGTAGGGCGGGCATAGATGACATAGGTTAAATGGCGTAGCATGATTCGTCAGCTATGTTTTATCGCTGCTTCATCATGCTATTTATATGTCTGGTAGAAAGAATGAGATACTGTCGGAAACTCAAGAGGTGCCTCTAGCTTGTCATGAATTCCACCTGACATAGGCACAACAAACACGCTACACTATTTAAGCTATGTCATCTATATCCGCTGGACAAACACAAAATTTCAATCGTCAACCTCAAAATCTAAGTCTAAACTGCAAATGAACAAGTGATCAAAGTGTGAATGTTTGGCAGCAACTTTTTGGTGACTGCACAAATTTTCCTTAGTTAAAGGCAAAAAATACGCCAACTCATCAAATATTATTTTTCAAGCAGATGTCACTAATGCAACCTTCATACAAGGTTTCCAGAAAGAATGCTTATTCTTTGTTTAAATGAAACTGACGAGATGTGAGAATGAAACAATAATACATAATACAAAGGGAAATAGCATGAAATTGCTTCAATGAGAAGTTTTTAAAATGCTTGGTTCTTCAGATCAAGTTCTATGTTTGGAAAAACAAAGAAACTAGTAATACAAGTTATGCTGGAGGCACGAATTTGTGGATGATATTTTCTTATGTAAAGAGGAGAAAAGAACAGGAAGAAAAAGTCCGTCAACAATTATTCTTTAAGAGAGCAAAGAGAAGATCCAAGAGGCTTGGCAAAATTCCCAAGGGTTGAAGTTTCACAACTTGGTCTCAGTATAAAATATTCACAACAAGATCAAAGAAGAGAGAGGTTGAGGATGAGCATTTTTGGTGTATCGTAAAATGCTCAAGATTTTGTCTCAGTCATTTTTTATACAATAACTATAAAAACTACGGCTCAAAAAATTAGATACGTCGTGATTCTCTGCAGTAAGCAATACTACGTACACAGAAAACAAAAATATTTACAGATTCAAAATTGATAGTGTGCTTTCTTAGGTCACAAATAACTTTTGGAAGATAAGATAAAAAAGGAATATCTTGGTCAATATTTGCAATATAAGTTCAAAATTGGAACAACTAAAAGCAGCTAAGACTAAGGCTAAGAGACAACACAAAAGTATTCAGGAAAATAGAAAAACAATTACCACATTACCGAATTTAAGAAGAAATTAATTGGTTGGTTCCAATAATGAGGAGAGAGAGAATATGAAAAGAAATCCTCATTAAAAAATTGTGATCGGAAAATACACTAAAAATTAAGAGATAATCGACATCAAATCGCAAAAGATTTGGTAGGAATGCAATGAAAATATGAGAGCACAATGCTATGTTCATTTGCCTCGTTTAAACTTACAGTTTGCTAAGAGTGGCAATTTCACTGAATTTAAATTCAGAATAAAATGAAATGAACTGTGATTTGAATTCCATGCATGGAGCAAAGCATCACCAAAGCTCTCGAAATGGAAAAGACATTCGAAATTTGAGAAAAAGAGGTAAAAAAGCAACTAATGTTTACAACAAAAATCAGTAGGAGATAATAAAAGGCTGATAACTAAGACAGAAAAGTGAAGACCTTCCCACAATCATAAAAAATAAAAATATTTTAAAAGCAAATAATGCACAAAGTCAATAACAAAATATAATGTAGTCAACTTAAAATACAGTAAATGCCAACAAAATAACATAGTAACAGCAGTAAATTACTAAACGTTGCTTATATTTTGATTTATATTTTTCAACTTGCATAAAAATAACAGATGCCAACAAAATCAGATTCAAACTCATTCTTGTTTAAAAAAAAAAAGAAAAAAAAAGAGAAAAAAAATTAATAATGATAAATAATAATAATACAAAAAGATGTACTCAAAATTTCTTGCTTGATTAGGGGTGCGTAAATTAAAGAAGTCAAGTAGCAGTTCCTTTCAATAATTAGCAATGCAACCTGTGATATCATATAAGAGAATTTTACATTGTTCCTCAAGGGTTGATATCATAACTGGTAATGCAATTTCAATTAAATGGATTGGCAGTTTCCGAATGCAGATAAGAGCATTTAAGGAGTTTTCAACTTTGCATTTAAGGAAAATCAGATTTTCACTTGCCAATTTGGCAAAGACGCATTTACATACTGCACAATAAACATGAATTTGAAAAAAAAAAGAAAAAAAAAAAAAAATTACAGGCGAATTTTTCAATTTGTGAAAGAAACTGCATTGAAAGTTTTGGGCCAGCAATAGGACAAAAGCTGAGAGCTTTATTATCCCATCAAACCAAACTGAATCTCTGAATGAAAGCTCTTTGCATTGGAAGGCTGGTTTCTACTGCTTCAAATTAAACACTTAATTTTCTGATACAACCACAATATTATGTGATAAAAAATGTGGAGGCAATTAATACAAACTTGCGTAAATTCAAAAGGGGAAAATTTGACATTTCTCAGAACCAGACTAGAAAAAAAGGAGGGACTTGCATCCACAAAAACAAGTCCCAACATACGTGTAAAAATGACACTGATGATAAAATGACTAAAATTATAAAATGTCATGTATATTTTGGATATTTTGCAGATCTAAGGTGGAAAAAATTTCTGAATCTGTTAGCTGAGGCCCATCTGTTTGGTCTAAAAAGTCCAAATTGAACTCATTTGGTATTAGATTAGGAGTTGAGTTGTTTATCATATTCTGCGACTGATAATTCAGATCATTTGCAGTGGTATAAACAGACATAGAATTTTGATTACTACTAAGACAGTTATTGCTAGAGTACGGATTGTTTTGTGATATACTTAGATTGTTTTGTTGGCGCTGTTGATTCAAGTTGTAGTTTCCAGGTTGTTGGCCAATCATGTTATTGTTGTTGGGTAAACTGCTGCTGTTCATTGATTGATGCATTTGAAGGTTTACAGACATCTGCAAACAAGTAGAAAAAAATGGGTGATGTAAAAATTGAATAGTTCATATTCTAATATTGGGTATTACTGAAGAAGAGGTGAGGGAATTTTGTCAACATTTTCAGCAGTCCCAGTTTTAAGTTGAAAAAAAGAAAACGAAAAAAAAAGCACAGGGTGCATGAAAAGAAATCACTTTCTGAGAATGGTCTACCACCTGGAAGTCTCCAGTTGATGCATCAGTGAATGACTGATCGACAATAAATTAATTACATTTTACTTTGTAGTACAATATCCTCTCAAGTAATGCCACTCAATACTATATTATCGTTACTTTGATCAAAATTGACAGACTAGCTATTTCCACTAGCAAAAACATGGTCATCATATCTCAAACAGCATCAAAAACGTCGGTGGATATTATTGGAGTCAAGTTGGATAAAGACAATATAAAAAACCAACTGCATCAAACTATGTTTTAAACATCTAAAGTATTTACAGGTAATGATGAGCATTTTCAGATTTTTCAATGACTAATAGCTAACTTCGCATTAGTTTTGGCTGTTTTGCTGATCTTATATGAGAACACAAAAGTCTGGAGGAAAATTATGTGACAGGATCTGTGAAAAGGGATCTTATCTTCTAAACATTTGAAATCGTGTTGTTGGAGTACCACTGCATAGAAGAAGAAAATTTGGACATTTTGATGCAAGTTTGACCCTGAGAGCTCAAAAGCTGAGGGAGATATAGCTTGTTGAAGTTTCGGGACAAAAATTCTTGAATTTTAGGTTAAATTAATTTTGAGATGCATACAGAAAAGGAGCAGGTAGCGCCCTTTATGGTACGTAAATTAAACTAACACCGCGCATAGCTTATTACCGAGGCTTCTAGAGAACGTTTTCTTTTGAGAACTGAAAATTGCCAACTTTAACCTGTTCCCCTGATTTCAGCTATCCTGGACAATTTGCTCCCAAAAGATACACCGAAAAAAATAATATGCTGTTTTAGCACCTAGGATGTTAAAAATGTGTCTGGTGATCCGGAGTTGTTGTCCTTACTGGCCTCGCAGTTAACTTTACATCCTGTGAATGCAACTTTATCTCTGGAGGCAGTTAAGGCAGCATCTTGAGATCACCAGACACATTTTTAGCATCCTAGGTGCTAAAACAGCATATTATTTTTTTCGGTGTAAGGTCCCTTTGCAGAGATCCTGTCACATTTATATGTTCTGAAGGTCTTACCATCTGATTAGCCATTATTTGGTGGTGAGGCATCATTGCACTTCTGTGTTGCATTTGCTGCATTTGTCCAACTACCATTTGAGAATTATCATTTCCTGATGAGAAAGCAACTCCTGGAAAATGAAAAATACAGAACCATGAGATGATTGATAACATTCTTAGGAAAAATGACATAATAGTTACTTTGATAGTTTTAGCTTGTTATCACTAAGATACAGATGATTCAGTTTAAATGGAGTAGATATTTAATAGAGGTGATGATTTCAACACCCATGTGCTATTTTTTGTAAGAAATTTTAATAAATGAACTTCTTAAGCGGTGGAAAAATCTCTTGCTGCAAATCCAACGTTTAATAGATCTATAATGAATTGAACAGTTGAACTTTAATTGAACAGTTGAACTTTAATTGAACAGTTGAACTTGAATTGAAATTTTTTTCAACTTAATTCAACCTGCAATTTTTAATGACTTACATGAGAGAGAGAGAGAAGTTTATTTCGTGATTTTCCCCAAAAAATAATGCATCTAAAAATACTAATCTTTACTGCTATGTTTCAAATTTCAAGACTTCCATATCTTTTAAACAAGATATAAATAATTATATTGCTTTTCTATGCGTGTTCTTTTCACAGAATATTGTGGTTAAAGCAGAGGAGAATAATTGGAAATTTCAAGAAATAATAATAGAAGTTCTCTATCATGAGGGTAGAAAGTAACATATCAATAGTGTCAGAAACAGAGATAAATCTTTTTTAAAGTCAGTCATAGAAAAGATACAATTTGATCTGTAGTATAAACTTGAAAATATCTTATAGTATCGTAGAAATCTTCTGCAATATTGAGAAAAGATAATGATTCATTTTCTAAATTTTTAACTGAAGCAAAGTGGAGACAGGTAACTTTGTATGCTTTATTATTGAAGTTCTTCTGAGTGTAGGTACCAAAAGGGTTGCGTCTAGGTCCGCTGTATCTCATAATTTTTGTAAATGATGTAAAGTTTGCTATCAAGATGTGCAAATTCTTGTAGTTCACAGATGATTTAAAGCTTCATAAGTGTATTTACTCCTTTGGCTGTATAAACTTCATTACAGTGGACCTCCTAGCCTTAAATACTTAGTATTTTGATTACCGACGTTCTATACATGTCACCAATAGTCTGTGACTTCATCTATTCTGAAGGCAATGTATCTGACAGTAGCTAAAATTTTTGATTGAGAGAAACCATAGATAAAAGTTGTAAGCAATATGGTTGTCTATTGTGACCTAAATCTAAGGAGTCGCAGACAATTTATACAGGCTGATTCCCTGCCAGACATTTTATCGTCAGCTGTCGACTGTTTGTCGCCAAATGATTCCACAGGTTGACTAGTCTTCACAAGACTATTCATTTTCATTAGAGAATTCAAGAGAGGGTGGTTGAAAATAAATTCTTTATCGATGGTCATTTCATACCTCAGTGAAAGCTAAATCTTAAACAGGGGCAATTATTAGGTGCTCTGTCATGTTTGACCTGTTCTGCTATCATTGTCTTCAACAATGCATTTTTGGCAGAAAACTTGAAAAGTCTAGAGTAACTTTCTTTCATATTTCTATGTTCACGGTATGAGTAGATGTTCACCTAACTGACAAATCTCTTCATTGTTCAATAACTTCCATACTCTAAACTTTAGCAGCTTGAAGAAGTTAATTGTGGTCTGCCAGTAACTTGTCCAGTTTTCTTTTACATGGGCTTTAGAATAACGGTGAACATTTTTTTGCCAATGGTTCTACCACTTTCAAAGGAATTTGGGTCAGATCTTTTCCCGCAAGAAATATCAGTAGCATTTGTGCAACAGCATGTCTTATCTCTTTTCATTCCTTTATTTTGACTTTACCCTTTGGTTAATCTAAATCCACACCTCCACACGACATGATTAACAATATACAACACTCCAAGTACAACCTGTATTTATTGTGCTCTGCGCATGCAGTAAAACTAAAAGCAGTTGAGCAGGGGGCAGGGAAAGGAAGTTACTTTTTGGTTGGGCAATCAGCAATCTTGCTGCATTAGTAATTTACAGATGCTGTCAGCTTCAGAGATACAGCACCAACTAAGTACCTGAAACAATACCACTGCCTGCACAGCTAATTATTACGCCTAAGGGCTTGTAGCAATCACACTTATACATGACCTACAAAATTTTTAAAACAATCCCCAATGCAGGCCTCAAATTTACGGTTTTCTCCTGGGTCCATCTCATTTCTGATTTCCCCTGTCATTTAATACCCTGAAAGATGTAATGCAAGATTTGTTGAGACCAACCAGGTAGATAACTGCAGACGCTTTTCGTGTCTAGTTGGACCCATAATCAGCGAATGAGTGATTCAGTGGACCAACACCTGGACTACATATTGCAATTGGGAGCCACTTTTACTGACTCACCCATAAAAGCACATATCTCATCAGGTAATTGATGGTGTATGTGCTGTTTCTAAAATGAGCCGGAAATGGTGGTTCCAAACCGCAGAGTATAGTTCATACATGGTTCTATGAAAGTCTCCTGATGTAAAATAGTTTCAGTTTGACTAGAACTATCATTAAATGAAGATACCTAATTTACCTTGAGTCTGCCTGAATGCTGCTCTGAACTGTTGTTGCCGTTGTTGTTGCTGCTGTTGTTGCTGCTGCTGTTGTTGCTGCTGTTGTTGCTGCTGCTGTTGTTGTTGTTGATGCTGCTGTTGCTGATGGTACTGCTGTTGTTGATGGTGTTGCTGCTGTTGATGATGTTGCTGCTGCTGCTGCTGCTGTTGTTGCTGCTGCTGTTGTTGCTGTTGTTGGTGGTGCATCATTTGCCGCCATTCCGGGCTCATCATCTCAGGCGTTGGCATACGCTGGGGTCGCTGTGCAAATGGCATTCGCTGAGGAACCATGTGGGGATTTGCCATATTCATGAAACCCACATTTGGTCTCATCATGGGACCTGCAAGCGAATGATGAATTTAACAATTTAAGGTGAAAAGTATCCCAGATAAAAGAGAAATGCTGAGCTTATTGATTCTTTTAACAAGCGTTAAAAGAAACGTAATAAGGATCATTATAAGAACCGTAATTGGTCGATAATGTTACACTGGATATACCTAGTCTGAAAAAAAAAAAAAAAATCTTTGTCCTTGCCTAAGCGAACAGTCTTGTTTTGCTACAACAAAGCACTATTATAGCAATCAAGATGTTTCCTTCTGCTAGACTAATTCATTTTCTTTGGATCACCAGGTCTGTGCTCAAAAATTGCTCACCTCTCGTTAACTTTTTGTGATTTACTAAAGTAATCGAAAATCTTTTCACTTTAATACACCGTTCGGAACTCAGATCCACCACTGTTTCTCTACTCTTTTTACAAAGTTGGTCTTAAAAAAGAGACTTGTTCATGGATAGCCTTCTTCAGTTCCTATACAGACATGTTCAGTAGCCCAAAAACACGTAAAAAAATGTGAAAAAATGAGAAAGGAGTGAGGAACAAGAAAACGCTTGCAACATGTGCTTTTTTCCGCATTATCTTGAAGGCTGTATATGCTTCTGGATGTAGAAATTAGAAAACTCTGTTAGCATCTTGGTTTCCTTTATGCAGGGATTCAGAAAGCTCTTCACTTTCACACGGTTAAATTGCTTTCTCAGTCAGTATCCAAGCACCATGGAGTTATGCAAGAAAAATCACATTCTTTCACAGGAGTTTGCAACTCTTACCATTACCCTCCTTGGCTTTCTTAATTTTCCCTGTTCCGAGACAATCGGAGGTTAAACAATAGATGTCAACGAAAGCAACCTCATTGTTAAAACAAAACATACCAGATGGTGGCATTGGTTGTTGTACAACTCTCCTTTGTTGTTGTTGCTGCTGTGGCATGGTAGACGCAAAACGCTGGTTAAGTAAAGCAGAAGGCACTCCTGAACTGTTGTGAGGGTTGAGAGGTCCAGGACCTCCTTGACTTGGGGAGACCTTATATTCTGGAGGTGGGGGCCTTATGCCTATTTGCTGCTGCTGCTGTGATATCATCTGTGAAATACCAACATTTATTTAAAAAAACAGAATAGGAAAAACTTGTTTTATCATGATTGATTATGAAGCTTAACTCTCTCTAAATGAGCAAACTTGTTAGTAAAATTAACGCAGAATTTTTAAAACAGCACAACTTCACCTTATAATTCAGGAGTCTGAGTAAAGTTCGGAAACATTTTTCATACTTGACAGAAGAAAGGGATAGTTCAATGAGTGAGTAAATACCTATTTGTTCTCTTTTTTGAAGGGGGGGGGGGACCTCCTTGTGAGAAAAAGAGTCAAAATTAAGTCACGTCAATGGCAATAATTATAGTGCCTCCATGATTCTTTGAAAAATAAAAATGAATGAACTCCACCATCAATTTCAAAATTCCAGCAGGGTTTCTTTTATCAGGGAAGAGTTAGGTATGTTCATACTTAAAAAATGGGGCTATGAAATGAAATGAAGAGAACACTGAGGTGAATCTTGCTTTGTAGAAATGAAATACTTGCTGCCGAGAGATATTGTTATTATGAATCTTTTAAAAAAAAAAGAAGTAAGACTCCTTATACGGTTGTACATTCCTATCAAACAGTGTTAAAAATACGTAAAAATTGGCAGGCACTATTTCAAAGAATTTGCATGATTTTTCTTCGTCCAGTCAAGAGAGTTGTGTACAAATAATATGTAAATAAGCCATTGTATAAAAAATGGTGAATGAAAGCAAAATTCAAGACTAGCCACTTGACAAGAAGTACCTTCTCTTTGAGTGTGACTTTTGATGCGATGAAGGATTTGAAACATTGTTAGATAGTAAGTCTTGGAACTAACCTGGATAGATTGTCCTTGAGATTGAGATATATGCAACTGCTGCGACTGGTTGATTTGGAGAGTTGATGAACTTGGGCAAGATGGAGGCCTGGGTGGAGGGACAGTAGATCCTGCTGAGGCTCGATTGGAATACTGAGGACTACCGTGTCCAGGACTACTGTAAGGCGAATATTGCTGCTTGTAAGGCGGTGTGCTCAAAGAAGGTCTAGGTGGAGTTTGTTTGTTACCAGGACTAAATTCTTGCTTAATATTGTCAATGAATGGTCCACCAGGCGTTGGAACCATATTTTGCTTATAACTAGATTGGTTATTAACTGAATTATTGATAAAATCAGGATTGCTCGAGTTATTAAATTGGTAATCAGCAAACGGAGATTTAACGGCAGTGTTGACATTACTTCTATTTGTTTGATTATAATTTATGCCCATCTGCTGTGTTTTGTGCTGGTGATGTTCAGCCATTTGTTTCAGCGTTTGAGCAGCTGGCCTTAACTCTGGTAACGATTGGAACTGCAATCTCTGCTGCTGTTGCACATTGACGGAATTGTGATGCTGGTTTTGTTGAGGTTGTTGCTGCAGCTTTTGCTGTTGTACTGGTTGCTGCTGCTGCTGCGATGGTTGCTGGGAATGGTGATCAAAAACGTTGTTTTGCTGCAACATTGTTGCTGCTGTGGAAGTGGGAGGTTTACAATGCTGAGGTAATTGCTTGTGTTGAGATTGCTGGTTATTTTTAGAATGAACATTTGTTGGTATATTGCTATCTTCTATTTTGAATTGCTGTGACTGCTGAGAATCCAAATTTAATTTAGTTTCCTCAAAATCGAAAATATCCGACGGTATACAAGATATTTCAGAAATGAGATCCTTAAAAGCATCAGGGGGTATATCGCCAGATTCATCACCTATTAGATCGGGGAAACCGGGGAAAGAGGAGCCACCATTCACAGCATCCTTCGCGAGAGCTGCGGCACATTCTTCCAAATCTACAAATTCTGAGTGTTCAGGCTCTTGTTTACATTCAACATCACTTGGTGCTACTGTAGCTGATGATATTGGCGACTGCGGATTATTTGGTTTATTACCACTAGGTGAGGAAGAAGGTGTTTGACCATCACACTTTACACTAGTATTGAATGTTTTTACGGTAACATTTGTTGAGATCTGAGAATTTGTGGTTGTCGTTGTAAATTCTAGTTGTTGTACTATTTCTACAGAGAACTTAGTTAGATTTTCTTGGCTATTAGAACCAGGAGGAGCAGGTGGTTGGCTTTTGGGTGGTGGTCCTCCAGCGTACGAATTACTTTCGCCATCCAGATCATCAGAGGCACTTCTCTTCGTACGAAATTTCTGCTGAAAAGTCAAACAAACAATGAATATTAATCGAAATTAGAATTTAAAAAAATTTAGCACTGATATAATAAAATAACTAAAACTTAAGAAAAAAACAACTGAAATTTACAAAATACTAGGGTGTGGTAAATAAGATTATCATTTTTTATTGACTTTGCATTTTTTGAATTCACTCACTGTTTTCATAGCTGTCATTCTCAAAGTAAAACTTTCCTGTCTTTCAGAGGCTTCATCTCGAATAAGACAACAATGCACGCATTCAATTAACTGTGCTAAATAATCGACTTGTGGGAACTGATCATCAATTTGTCTAGGGATTAATCTGCCGACAAATTAAAGGAGTGAGAAAAGGTATTTTTTATTCGATAACTTTGAGGTTGAGCCCTGATAAGGAGGTTGGATTGCCAGCTGAATGCTATTATTTCTGTTAGGTTTAATACATTTTCAGATCAGCTAACTGATATTCTTGCTAAAAATTTACTAACAGCGCATTTTGAAGATAAAAAAAGGGTTTACCAAAAGGAATCAACTTCTAAGGGCTATTGCAGATCTTGCCAAGCTTATGTTTTACTGAGTCCCGACCTAGTACATAAATATTTGATGAGACAGAATTCAATACTCAGATCTACATAGACGCATTTAGTGTGATGTCACGTCTCGTTATAATTTCAATACCTGGAAAGTCGAAACGTGCCCCAATAAAAGAACATGGAGGAATCTGCGGGATATAGGCAGGGGAGTAGGGGGATTCGCTTGATGACTGTCTATGATATTACGAGCATATTATACAATCAATTCCTGTGATTGTGATCTCGAACGTTTTTGTAAATGGCTAGCTTTCATAATTTTAAAGTCCTATGGATTAATTGTTTAGTTTCAGGCTAGTTTTAGCATTATTTTGTCAATTATTCATTTTGGAGGTTATGCTTGTTTGTTGGGGCACATTTCGACTTTCGAGATATCAAACCAACAATATCGCTAGTAACCCAGTACCGCAGAAACGTCACTACTAAATGCGTCTATTGTTAGGAGGCAGTTGAGGAAGACCTGGTAGGGTGCGTCTGTACTAGTTGTGAGTGCCGATTGTGAACTGTCTTTTACATTAAAGCATGAAACCTGCAGATAGATTGGATAAGGGATCAAAGTCATAAGAGCACTGATGCGCTGTGGAGTTACTTTTGTAGGTCTGGTTTAGAGCTCCTCAGATTGGTGTGTGCCAACACAAAGATGCAGAGAGTTCTCAGCCTTCCTCCTTTGAAAACCCTATTTTCATCAGAAATTTCAAAATGACGATTTTCATATGGCTCTTTGGGTATAAATTGCCGAGCCTTTGAAAAAAATACACAGTTTTGCTGCCAATCCCTTTTGATGACATTGTATCAGGAGCCTTCCTATTTTAACATGCAACTTGTCTGATCGCATGGTCAGGAAGTTTCTGCACCCCTGCATTAGGAGTTCGGAACCACTAATATTTACACTTGCTTCATAGACTTATGACACAATCTAAACCACGCACTAGGCCCGACTTAAGACAGGAGAGGCAAGACGGCTAGGGAGGTAAAGACGCCCCTTCACCTGAGTTGATACAGCCTAGTATGCATGTAGTGCTGCACGACGCCCATTGTAGGAGTGCAGCCACGTGTCTAAATTGCCCGAGGATGGTTTGCATTTGGTAGAAATTCAATGGCACTCAAAGCTGCCGGCAGCATGGCTGGACGCTACTACACGCAATCTGGGTTGCCTTTTGTCTTGCCGAGGTATCCTAAAGCACAGGCTGGATTGTGTGATATGTATATGATGTAGCAGAGTTGAGCCTAAAGCTGCTCTCCACTTCTTCCCTACTTCAGAACCAATTTTCGGTGTACTTATGCTCATAATTTGACGCTCGAGGGTTATCCCCAGGGGTGTGCAGGCAAGTGCTAGCGTGAATTTGATGTACTCTATAGAAGGGCTTTTCTTTTACAGGGATCGCGATGAACATCAGTATTTTTTTATTCCGTTCCTCAGCATGATCCAAGCGTTCCAGGTGGATCAGGGTGGAACGCTGGATCGCTCTTTAGAGAAGAGCGAGCTCGTGATCCACTGTGATCCTAACCTAATGCAAGGAAGTTGCTGTCCCCAAAGCATCAAAACAATAACAAATCGAACCAAATTCCAAGTTTGGATTTTTCTATCACTTGGAACACTTGGATCGGTCCGGATCGCTCAGGATTCCGATCCAGTGCGTTCCACTGCGATCCACCCTGATCCGCGATAAAAAAAAGCCCTAAAATAACAGCAACAATTTTGAATCATTAGGAAATGGAGAGTACCAAACTTTAGTGGAAGAGACTAGAAAATCTGGAATGGAGCCTGCAAGCATGGTTCAGCCCACGCAGAGCAAAGCAATCTACCGAGACAACTCACCGGAGCAGGGTGCAAACTGTTAGGCATGGAATTTTCAGTTTGCTTCTTCTCAGTCTTCTTTTGCCGCTTGCCTTTGGTCTCCAGATATTTCTGCTTCAAAATCATGGTTTGCTCATAATTTTGCTCGGCATGACCACTGAAAGCTTTGGAAAATCGTGGTTCACTGTTGTTATGATGACGTCTGTAGCCCTCGATCCGACGCAGGAAACGTTCGTCCATCACTTGCTTCTTTTGACTCATCCGATTCGCGACGTCCACATCCATAACATCAGCCATCGCGGGGGTGGTATTATGTGGAATTAATCCACAACCACCCCCTTTACCGACACTTTGCTCCACTGTATTGAAAAATTATTATTATCAGTAAAAACCGTTTGTTATGGTCAGGAAGTTCGGAGAAGTTTGGTTATGATCCCGATAACATGACGACGGAATGTGGCTTCCGGCACGAATTAGCACAACTTCCAGGCGCGAAACGAACACTAGGGATAATAGACACCAAAATTTGGCTAAAAATTACAAAATAGTGAGAGATTCATCTTGAAGTATGATAAAAGATGGAATACACATACACGCACACTCACACTCACACAATTACGTCTTTGTCCACTCCACAGTCACTTCTCATGGATGCAGCTGACAAAGCGAAAAATTCTCTGAATGTACTCTCAAATTCCCATCGGTTGCTCTTGCCCAATTGATTCAACCGTATTGTATTCTTACTCAAGCCGTGTTTGAGACATAATTTATGGAGAGGCAAGAGGGCTGCATGGATTCTTAGATTTCATTTGGCAAATCGTCTGAGCTAGCTTCCTTGAAATTGTTACTTTTTGAACAATCAATATTTTCTCCATTTTCTCCCTGACTCGCACCAGTCGCACCCCCGTAACCGTCTCCCGCTCACCCTTCTCACCCCTCTGGCGCCGTGTACCCCTCTCCAATCCAATCACCATCACAAAATTTGGTAGCAGAGTTGCAATATTTCCATAAAAATTGAAAATTTACCGAGGTCCTTGAAGTTCCATCCAAAAATTTGTACAATTTGCAGAGGAACACTCTTAATTTTGTTGAAATTCGTGGAATGCATTCCATTCAAATAGAGACTTAAAAATTCACGAGAGATATCTTTAAAAATGCATAATTCTATATTTCGCATAACTATTGCAACCCTGCTGTTGCTGGCAGAGGTCGTCACTCTTGTTGTGAATGTTCAAACCTAACCTCAAACCTGCAAACGCTAGCTAATGTCCATCTCCAATTTTGCAGTGAAGTTCTAGTTCATCTTTTCAGTCATATCGTTTGAAAACCTTGTAAATGACTGTGTAAGTCAGTAGCTATACAAGTGGTAACTAATTTTAGACCCTAGAGGTGCTATTAGCGTGTAAACTACCTTTACACAGCTCCTACAAAATGTCCGACATGCAAATTGGTGCACATTCAACCAATAAGGATCCTAATGTATTGCTACTGCCCGATCCAGAAAGACAAGTGACCTGGCTTCACGACAAGTATCTTCCAATATTTGGAGCTGTCATTGGATATGGAGGATCTTGTTTCAGAAACTACTTTCACGACATGCCTTTACATGCAGGTTCGTATAGCTCTTGAATCAGTGGTTTTTTCCCATAGAGTACAATAGAGTCGCAAAGTACTGGATCGCCGATGAAGTCACTTTTCAAGGCTGTTTTGTCCAGTTCTCCGGAGACTAGTGTGCGGCGACTAGCGATGACGCATACGCAGAGACTCGCGCTCAGCGCTCCCCACTCCCGACAGTCCCGACTCGGCTCCGTTCGTCGGCTAGACACACACTGAACCAGCTAAAATAAGTAGGCCGGTATTAAGTCTGAAATTGAGTCCATATATGAATATTATCTCGGAGTAACATACATTAATGGATTCATTATGGCTTTGAATATCTATTTCAAGCAAAATTTGCACAAATTAATACCGATGGAATTAAAAAAAGTCGAAAAAACACAAGCAGTCGTTGATTTCTCCATAAGCCACCGTGTAAAAAAATGCCGGTTGGTTCACACTTGGTATAAGTCAGAAATTAAATTCCTATATGAATTTTATCCAGGAGTAATATACATCAATGGATTCATTATGACTTTGACTATCTAATTATAGCAAAATTTGCACAAATTAATATCGATGGAATTAAAAAATGTCGAAAAAACACGGGCAGTCGTTGCTTTTCCCGTAAGCCGCCGTGATAAGAAATGCCGGTTGGTTTACACTTGGTATAAGTCAGAAATTAAATCCCAATATGAATATTATCCAGGAGTAATATACATCAATGGATTCATTATGGCTTTGACTACCTTTAAATAGCAAAATTTGCAAAAATTAATGCTGATTGAATTATAAAATACCTAAAAAACACAAGCAGTTCTTGATTTCTCCATAAGCCGCCGTGTTACAAAATGCCGTTGGGTTCGCAAATGGTTCACTATTTTCGGAGCACACGCGGCTCGGAAACGCCTGTTCATGGATTGGCTTCATCGCCGCTCCAGTACTTTGCGACTCTATTGTACTCTATGTTTTTTCCTCCTCATCTCTGGAATATAATGATTACCTATTGGGCCGGTTGCAAACTTTTGCTAGAGCATAAGTTAGAGTTGTTACTCACGGAAATTGGCTCAAAAATCACGATGCGCACATCGTTGAAGTCTGAAATGCACTCCTTACTTCACAATTCGCATGAGAAATTTGTGTTTTTTCGAGCTTCCCGCTCTAAAATCGATACAACGGAACAGGTGAATATTATGTTAGAGGAGTCATTCCATCCAACCCCTGCTCACAAGGATACTACGCAATATTCAACATGGCCGACGCCAATCTGCCGAAACACATGTGATAGGATGATGATTATAACCACCCTGATAACAATCAACGTGGTTACATTCACATTTTTCTCCTGTTAATAGATATCCGCCTTGATTGACCTTGTGCTCTCCTCAACTTGCGCGCGGAAGTGTCGGCCATGTTGAGCAGGAAATGAATGGAACGACTCTTCTAACGAAATGTTCACCTATGCTGTATTATCCTTTATGAGGCGGGAAGATTAAAAAACGCAAATTTCTAACAAAGATTGTGAAGTTAAAAGTGCATTTCAGAGTTTGCCGATGTACTCATCGTGATTTTTGAGACAATATCTATAAGGAACAACTCTTATTTTTGCTCTAGCAAAAGTTTGCAACAGGCTCATTGATCAGCTGGCCCGAAGGGTTTTTTGAAATAATGGGCATTACCACCAACAACCAAGTTGAGCCCCTGCTGGCGCGTCTCTTTTCAAGCCAGCGCTTGTGAATTTGGTACCACCCTGGCAGAATAGGACGTATTTCTGTCAAACGGAACCATGTGCATTATGACAAGAGCCCTGTTAAGCATTTACCTTATTGGTCTCAGGGCTCATGTCTTAATGCACATAGTTCTGTTTGGTAGAAATACGTTCAATACACACATGGAAGAGGCTTGCTGGTATTCAATTAATGTGAGAAGGTGAAGCTCAACTGCGACTGTAGAGAAAGACAAGAGGAAAGAGTTGATACTGGTGAGAACTTCTTCAGCGCCAGTGGTGGCATTTGTATAGTGTAGAGCTAACTGGACTTGTGGCGGGATATTCAAATACTTAGGATCGTCAAAACTAAACTTAGCCAAGTAACTGTTGAATTCATATTATTGCATATCCTTGACAGAACTCATTTTTGGGTTTTTTAATTAAATTTTTTTGTTTAGGAATCTGGCGACACATACTTCTTACTGCAGTACTTGTACCGGCTGGATATTATTGGAACATATACAGAGAAAGAAAAATGGGAGAATATGATGCATTGTTGCATTGGTACATCACTCAACACCCCGAAGAATTTCCAGCTCCAGGTAAGTTCTGAACAGGATTAAGTTTCCTTATGATCCCTTAACCTGCTATGGCATAGCGTCAATTACGAATTTGTAACAATGTATTTTGGGAATTTTTAAAAATTGAATCTTTCTCCTGTGGCATGATTTTGCAAATTTCTATTAGTCCTTTATCATTTTGAATAACTGATTCCCAGGAGATTTCCATAGAGTACAATAGAGTCGCAATGTACTGGAGCGCCGATGAAGCCACTTTTGGAGGCTGTTTTGTCCAGTACTCCGGAGACTAGTGTGCGGCGACTAGCGATGACGCATGCGCGACTCGCGCTCAGCGCTCCCCACTTCCGACTCGGCTCTGCAACAGCAGAACGTCTCTGTCAGGTCCACACACATTGAACCAGCTAAGTAGGCCAGTAATAAGTCTAAAATTGAGTCCATATATGAATATTATCTAGGAGTAACATACAATAATGGATTCATTATGGCTTTGAATATCTATTTCAAGCAAAATTTGCACAAATTAATATCGATGGAATTGAAACAAGTCAAAAAAACACACGCAGTCGTTGATTTCTCCATAAGCCACCGTGTTAAAAAATGCCGGTTGGTTCACACTTGGTATAAGTCAGAAATTAAATTCCTATATGAATATTATCCAGGAGTAACATACATCAATGGATTCATTATGGCTTTGACTATCTTATTATGGCAAAATTTGCACAAATTAACATCGATTGAATTAAAAAATGTCGAAAAAACACAAGCAGTCGTTGCTTTTCCCGTAAGCCGCCGTGATAAATAATGCCGGTCAGTTCACACTTGGTTTAAGTCTTAAATTACGTTCATTTTTTAATATTATTCAGGAGTATGATACATAAATGGATTCACTATGGCTTTGACTACCTGTTAATAGCAAAATTTGCAAAAATTAATGCTGACCCATTAAAAAATTTCGAAAAAACACAAGCAGTTCTTAATTTCTCCCCAAGGCACCGTGATAATAAGTGCCGTTAGGTTCACACTTTTCGGAGCACAAGCGGCTTGGAAAGGCCCGTTCATGGATTGACCTCATTGGCGCTCCAGTAAAATGCGACTCGATTGTACTCTATGGAGATTTCCTACCTCTCATTAAATTGATGCACTTCTGCCAGGGGACAAAAGGCCAATTATTGAAAATGGGCGACAAAGCTTAATCGACTCCATGTTGTGTCGATTGGGTTAGCTCAGAGTGATGTTTGAACTTCTTGGGTCCAACACGGCAAGACATACTGTCTAATCGACAGGCACGACATAGCAGCAACGTTGCAATGGTCAGCAACTGACAATGGTCAGTTGCACAATTACCAAATTTTTAAATGCCTTTCAACCAATCAAAATGCTTGACGGCCTGTGATCATGTAGAACGCGTTGCTTGAGTCATTAATTGAAGTCAGCAAAATGACGTCAGTCTGCCATTTTTACTTACCCACTTATTGACAAAAGTTTATCAGACTGAACCATCAGATACTCACCACTCGGCAATATGGACTTTACAAAAGCTTCTGTATTTGTTGTGATGAGTCTCAAGTAAAAAGTTGCATTTTTCACTGAATCATACTAGAAGAACTCAAGGTTATTCATCGACTAAGCCTTTCTCAGGTGCTCTGGAGGTGCCTTTATTCCTTCAGCTTGTTGGCCCTATGTCGCCTCTTTGTCCATGAATTGATAAGACATAAATTCCAAAAATTGTACTTTTCACTTACTTGATCGCAGGACACGACAAAATGGCAACATAGAGTTGATACTATTTCAATAATCGCTCCGCTTGTGACCTTTGAAGATGACCCAAAGTCTATTTGAAGCTGAATGAGAAAACTAGATTTCTTAAATCAGCATCTGCTCTTCAGTGCTACCTAGAAATCAAATATTTATTATATTTATTGCTTCCCTGTCGGTATTTCCTTTCTTTTTGCTTAATTATATTTTCACTTTTCTTCTTTATTTCAGAGAGACATAAACTTCGAGACATGATGAAACCATGGCTCCCTATACGTTAATCTGCCAGTAGCCACTTTGAATTTTTCTTGTGTAGTGATAGCAGCAGACAAAATTTTTCTGAACAACCGGCATTGAATGCAATGTATCTCTTCTCGGAGATTCATTTCCTCTAAAATTGGAAAAAGTTGCAATTTTAAGAAAATGAATCCCCCCCCCTCGCCCCCCCATGGAAAGGACTTATACTTTCTCTTACTACTCACATACCTATTTCTAGCTTGTCTTGGGTTAAATTTTGATGCCCCTTTGTGTGAAGTAATTTTTTTTCGTAAGTAGCTCATAAGAAAATTATAGCAGAGGAAGTTTTGATCCAGAAAGATGCAACTAAACACCGTCCTTGTTGATTCCTCATTGTGATCACCATCATCTTAACTGAATATATTTATATTTCCCCTTTATATGATGAATGTTCATAATAAAGCTGTTGATTTTAAAAATTTCCCTTTGACTTATTTCAATTGAACATTAATATGAAAGATTTTTTCAATAGCTCATGTTTTTTTTTTTTTTTTTTTTTTTTTTTTTTATTCAATTGAATATGCATGGAACGTATCTAGAGATCTTCTAATTAGTTTTTCCATTAATATTTAAAGAGTTCTTATAAAGTAGGTGAAACATTTAATTATATGTATGAATTCTGAACACATTAGTAAGTAGTGCTTATTAACCAAAATGGTAGTTCTTTGTTGCATAGAAATCAATTCATAAATAAAAAAAATATTAAAGCTGGAGGAAGTGCGGATCATTTAGGTGACATGTGGAAAAAGTATCCTAAGCTCAAAGGTTGGACGATAGAAGGAAGTGTTAGGCTGCTCTTTTTGATTTTTCGGCTATGTTCACCCTCAGAACTTCACAGAAAGATGCGCATTTCACAAGCACCATTAAGTGAAAAAGAAATCAATTGTGTCTGTCAATGTCTTACAGATTACCTGTGGAATGAGGTATCACAAGAGCGAATTTTCATACTAGAAATTAAGTATTTACCTTTCAAGCTTTTATTGATTAAAGTCGAAGTATTCAACATCGATGGGCTGAATTTTTAGTAGCATGGAATAAAATGTTTAGCCGCCTCAAATCAGCCAATAGAGAATTTGCATGCACATTTTTTATTGCTTCATTCTAAAGTGCTTAAAGAGCTGATTTCACAATATGTTGTATAATATTTTTCTGACATGGGAAATAGTGTAAAAATAGATTTAAAAGTGAGAAAATGCACCGCCTGGTGACGTCATCTGGCGGCATTTCCCATTGAAACACACGTATTTTAGCAGATTAGATAATTTTGTCATATCTTTTCCAATAATTGTTCAATTCATGAACCAGGGGTATTCTCGTGTTCAATTGACTCAGTAGTTTCCAATTAAACACGAAATTCATAAAATTTCAGACACCTGCAAATTCTTTTTTGTGTTTGCAGAGAATGAAATCACACCGATTACAAAATAGCGTGCGTTTCCTCTGGGTAAACGTGTGAAAAAGTTTCAAAATTTTGCTCTGAGGTACTATATTCATTACAAGCTAGGAGCAGTGTTTAGGAACTTTTCCTAAATATTAAGGGTGATCACAAAAAATTTTAGGGAGCTTCTTTTCTTACAGCTATCTTGTAGCATCAAAAAAATCATAATGTCTATTTCACAAAGACTTGAAAGCGCAGGCCAAGTCTGAAATTTTTAAATTTTCTAGTTGGTATAATCCATGGTTAACATCAATGGGTCATTCTGAAAATGTTGTACGATGGCATGGTAAGTTAATGAGTAGGTACATTCGTCTGCTCATACTGTATTTCTCCCTCTCTTTACAACACCTTTGTTAAAAATTCATGTAAACCCCAAGGACCAATTTGTAACGAAAACAGTATGTTGGGCTACAGCTAAATTAAAAAAAGGAAAAATGTCATGATTGCTTAAACAAAGCAAAAATAATAAATCAAGTGGGTCACCAAACCATGAACGAATTTTGACAAACAACATAAAACATTTTTTTTTTTTACTTTTAAATACATTTTTCTGAACATAAATGGTGCGTAGAACGTGATGTGCACATTAAAAATGCAATAAAGTAGATCAGAAATCGGGATTTACACAGTTCAGAAGGCGCAACTTTTCCGCAAAATTACAGCGCCCCGTTTTCGCGCCAAACCAAATATTGTCAACCGGCACCAACCAGAAGCGAGCATGAGTCTCTCTACGACTTCCGTCAAATATCTTCCTGCTACTTGTACATGAAAAAAATAGGAAAGTTGAGACCATATCTTCAGAATCAAAGAATCTAATCTCATTCATGTTATCTGTAGTTAGCAAGCAACAGTTTCATATTGAAATACTGTTTTTTTTAAACAATCATCAGTGGAAAACGAGAGGAAATAGCGATTTGACTGCTGTAGAGCAACATTTCCATAATTTTTCTTCCATTTTGGCTTGATTGATATTTCCTTGAGTCTTTGGATTTTAAATAGCCGGCTCATCCGAGATTTTGGCCTAAGAATATGCAATAAATCGCCATGTAATCTACTCACACCGTACTTTCAGATAATTAAATAAAAACAGAAGGCTCAGTGCCCCACTGAGGAGCTTGGAGGACAAGGTGCATACCAAGTTCAGTTTTTGAAAAAATTGAGATATTAATAATTTTGACTAAAACTAGTCTTAAGGTATATTCAGTGAAAAAATTATTGACTAAAATCCAATTTTCAAGCATCAACAAAAAGTGAGTTTGAACTTTCTTTCAGCCATAAGGCTCCATGTAATTTTGAAACTTTGAATGCACATTACTTGAAATAGTAAAAACTGCACTTATGGGCTTTGTCCTTCAATAAACTCCAGCAACATACTAATAAAGAACAATCGAAGCAGATTCATGCAAATTCAGTGATATCATGTAGAAATAATTTAAAAATAAGGAGATAGTCAACAACATAATCTTGGTATAAAATGTAACATTTAATTTCACAGGAAAAGGCAACAAATCAATACAACAAAATAAAGTGAGGGGAAAAATTACTCCGCTTACAAGGGCAGATTTGGATCAAAGTTTTGAAAGGTCAAATCAAAATATTCATCAAAGCATAGAGGAAATTTGAAATTTAAGTGGTTGAAATTCTTCATGGTTGAAGTAGTGGCAACCATACATGGGATATAAAAATTAAGAAACATATTTCCAAACTAGATTTTACTTTAATAAACTATCGGAATAAGGACAGTCTTTTACTGCTGGGCATTCTTCCATTCGCATCTTGAAGACCTGCTTGGACAGCTTCAAGTGACGGCAATGTTGCAATATTACCTCGAGCAGCCACTGAAGGCTGAGCACGGAGTAATCTTTGAGCAACCCGCTGGATATCAACCTCCGTAATATTTTCTGGGGAAAAAATGAACGTACAAAGATAAGATTTCAGAGCAACTTCCAGGTCAACTTTTAAGAAGCAGTTTCTACAGTTGAAAATTGGACTATCTTCCTATTATTATTAATTTTTTGTTTTAAATCCATGCAATTTCGGAGCCATTAAACTTCGATAGATTTTAGATAAATTTCTCAATAGAAACTGCAAGGTCTCTCGAAGGTCTACTACCTAAAAGGTAATGCAAGATATTCCACTGTGATACTTTCCTACCGAATTCAACAGACCTTAAAATCATTTTAGTAATACAATAGGTTTGTTCAGAAATTTTTCATTCGTGCATTTCTGAAAAGTAAAAAGTGCGCTTACCTCACAGTAACGATTTTTCTGAACATTAACAACCCACAAAAAACAAGTTCACTGTTACGTATTTGGAGCCTCCATCTGAATGCACATTGCCGAGACAGCCAAGATGAAAATATCTGTTCTGCCTTGGACACACTTTTGAACCACGCAGCTCTCCTGCCACGATTTATAGTCCATGCACCTACTATAAATGCATGACCACCCGGACAAGAAATTGCGGCAGAGGGATAGAGCGGTCGCGCCTCTGAAAGTGTGCCTCAGGACGAAGGCATATTTTTGTGTGCCATCTTGGCTTTTTCAGTGATGTGCTTTTAAATGCACGGAAAAAAAAAATTGCTGATTCAGCAATTCAATTGCTAAAAACAGTAAGTGCAATGTTTCAACGCAGATTTTACAACAAAAAAATGCTACTTTAACCACCCCCGTGGTTAAATTAGTATACAATGTGGTTAAAGTAGCATTTTTTTGTTGTAAAATCTGCGTTGAAACATTGCACTCACTGTTTTCAGCAATTGAATTGTTGAATCAGCAATTTTTTTTTCCCGTGTGGAAGCTCAATATTTCATCTTAGTTGTTCATGGGATGTTATCATTCACTAAAGTCCAGGAAACTTCCTGTGAGCTAAAAGCACTCCCTTGTTTTCAAAACTACAAAAATGGGCTTGTTGCAGGCAAGAGATACAGCCAAATAAATATACTCTTGGCAGGTAAAATCGCTTGAAAATCATGTTCCGCACGTAAAAAAGGACTGAAATATATTCCTTAGCGCGCAATCTGCATAGTTTTATAACGTGCTTCTTCAAGTTTCCTGCGTTTGTGGACAATTCTTCTCAGTCACTGCCAACCAGGTTTGCACAGGCAGAGGAGTGTGAGAGACTAACTTGAGTAAACAAACGATTTCACTAACTATTTCTACTGTATGATTTCAATCAGTTTCAAGCGTTTCCTCCCTTTTTCTTTCTTCATTTTACTAAAACAAAAGCTTTGAATCAAGTGAAATCTTAGGCAAGGAAGGTTTATAACAGTTTAGGAGATGGTTTGTTTATTCATGTTAGACAAACCTGACTGCCAGCTACCAAGCAAAACTGCTCACAAACGGAGTAAATTTGATAAAGAGTGTTACAAACTACAGAGATTGCGAGCTAAGGAGTGGATTTTAGACGTTTTTTATGGGCCTAGCGTCATTTTTGAGCAAATTTACTCTAAGAAGCTGTATTCAGTTGGCTGTATCTCTTGCGAGCATCAGACCCATTAAATGAATATTACAAGAGAAGCTCATTATTTTGCATTAAATTAGCATAAAGTACATGGAATCTGGGTCTGTCTTGAGAGAGGGAGTGGGTCATGAAAATGTTTTAAAATAAAAGGAGAAAAATCTGAAGATTACCCTTTTAATGTTTGTCACACCAATGTTCTCTCACATAATAATTAAAATCTTGGCACAGCCCTTGACGAAAGATAGTTAGGCTGATCTGAAGATTGGGAAACAATTTAACATTTTTGAAATACTAGCTAATTTAAGAGAAAATTAAAATCCTCCTCCTTGGTCAGGAAATTGAGGAACTAGTTCTTTATGTGTGAAAAAAAAATAAAAAAATTACCAAATTCTTGATGGCATTGATATACGAGGGGCGTTCAATAAGTAAGTATCCCCCCTCCAAAATCTGTAAGAATGGACTAATTTTGAAAAACTTGGTCTTAAAATCTTCTTGAGGATATACAGAGTTCAACAAAATGAACCACAACAAAATCTGACCATGTAAAGCAGAACGCGCCGAGGTGCGCAACACTCAAGTCTGATCAGCATCTATTGCAGCTAGTTGTTTTGCTATTATCTTTTGGAGGTAATGATTTGAATTTTCCCTGCGAGTGGTACAAACAATCTGCATTGATCATAAAATCACGGTGAACACAGATTACAATATAATATGGAGGGTTCATTGATAATGATGCCTTGGCATTATGGGTTCCTAAAAATAATTGGGCCAGTGGCAGTGTTTTTCACGTGTTTATCATGGAGTTACCGCTTCAAATTGTTCAAGATCGTTGGGCATCTTTTAAATCCGAAGTATTTCCACATCCTCTCTGCTCTCCTGATTTGGCACCGTCAGATTATTATTTATTCCCGTATCGGAAAGCTAAACTTGGGGGAGTTCATTTTGAATCAGTGGAAGAGGTCAAACATGCCGTCCTACACTTTCTTCACCAGTCAGGTGAAGGACCTCTATGTGCGTGGCATCCATAAGCTGTCCTCTCAGTGCCAGACCTGCTTGGAACGAGCTGTTGACTATGTGAAGAAGTGGGGTAAGCCCCTTACCCTGCATATAACATCTTTGATTTTTCGCAAGGATGAACGACTGAAGCTTTGGCAAAGAAGTTCCTCTTCTGTCGCGGACATAGAATCCCCACGGATTGGGCGGGGACGGTCCTCGGTGCCTTCAAACGGCTCACGTTTGGCAGCACATGGTTTGATTTTGTTGTGGTTTGTTTTTCTGCACTCAGTATATCCTAAGGAAGAATTTGAGCCCAAGTTTTTTTTAAAATTGGCCATTTCTACAGATTTTAGAAGGGGAGGATACTTACTTATTGGACAGCCCTCGCACATTCAATATTAAAGAAATGTCGCCCAAAATTGAAATTGGCGCCGAAAATAGGTCTAATTACTTATTTTACATGCCCTAGTCGCTGATAAAGGGACATTTTGCGATTGGATATGTAAATTGACCATGGAATCCACCTTTCTTCTGTATACATTTCTTTTCAGCTTTGCAATTTTTTTAAGATTATTTACTTTTTCAACGAGAGTTCTTACCTATTTGTTCAATGTAGTGTTCAGGTCGTTTCCTGTGGCCTGTGGCTAAGACCTGACGAGCAATATCTTCAAAAACGACTGGACGAGCTTCAAGATTCATCAGCAGCATGGATTGGAGCTGTGTTTTTGCTCGCTGAAACAGAAAAAAGGTTGTAAAATAACTTCCATGTGCAAACTGACAGGAAAATTTGCCGAGCAATAGGTAAAAATGACATGACAATTCAAAAGTATCATGAACAAAATTATTATATAGCTTTGAGATATAATGATGCCAAGTATAACTCTTTACAGTGAATACTTTATGGCATCGTTTAATATAATTATGTCAAGTTACATTATTGACTTAATATTTAATATGCTTCAATTTGATCTATGAGTTAACAGTTAAATTTCATCACGAGCTTCAATGTGATTTAATTTTAATTTTTTTTTCTTTTTTAAAACCGAGAGGAAAATTGGCTCTAAGCTGAATCGAATGCAGCCACCAAACAAGCCAACCTGAATACCAGAGCAGCATGAATAGCCAGCAAGAGGCATCCGAAGTCTCAGGTCCAGGTTTTTTTCAAAATCACAAAAACTTTATTTAACTCTTCTATTTTTTATACAACTTTCAATCATAGTGGCAGCGATCATTGCCATCATTTGCGTACTTCAGAGTTCTTGCCAAATAAATTCTCACTCTTTTAAAGATGGACAGAAGATCAGTTTTCTTCCGTTTACCATCAAATATAAATGCAGCTATCAAGATAGTGGATCTTCTATCTCACTCCAAAAGTGAATGAACTCATTTAGTAAAGACTCTATTTTTAAAGCAAAGGAAGACTTCTAGAGATGTACTTCAAGCTGATTGTTTGTCTCTCCTTCCTTGCAGGAAGTTTACTAGGAAATTTTGTTATGAAAAGAATCTCTCAAAATCAAAGGCCAAATTATATGCTGGCTTCCCAATTAAGTTGAAGCAATTGGTAAAAATCGCTGAAAATTCTGCAAAGATAGGTCAATTCTACCTTTCAACTATCTCTTTGGAGACACAAAAACATTTGTATACCCTCTTGATGTATGTAAAAAATATAAAAATGCAGAAATTTTGACCAAATCAAGCGATTTGGTGTAATGGTCCCTAATTTACCCCTCCCCCCCTCCATCCAAAAATAGATTAGTCCTCTATTTTTGTCTAGCTTTTCTACAGGCATGTAGGGACTAACCAAATTATTTTGATCCAAAAACTATTTATCACGCCTTTGAGTACGTTTCTACTCCAAAAATGAGGGCTTTGGCTGATTACCAAATGCTTAAAAAATCCAGTCAAATCGGCACAAAACCTATGAATTGAAAAAGGAATTTTTAAAAAAGTGAAGAGTAGAATCTCAGGTAGGCTTTGAGGTGATACTAGTATGAAACTTACATGCACACTTCCATTTTGAATTTTGAAGAAGGCCGTTTCCTGGCCACTCTTGGCCAACAGCTTTGAGCAGAGGCAGACAGTCCTACTCCTAGATTCATTTTATACTAAGTCAACTACAGTGTTCGTTCCATGGCACAAAGAATAGTACTGCCATTAATTCATTTTTCTTAAAAATCTCACTTCAGAGGTATTTATAGGTGAAATTATAGGGCTTACTGATCTACGTGCATACTGAAGAACAAATGAGAAGAGAGTCGAATAAAACAAGGATACCAGATAAGATCAAAATAATAGCAGAAAACACAAACCCTTAATTCATCTGCTTGTACAGATCCTCCCATTGTCACCATTTCCTCTACTAATACTTTGACTATATCTCGGACGTAAGAAGGTGGTGCACTTGCATGAATGCAGAATAACCCAGTGTCCGAGTATGAATTGTTATAGGCTGTAGCATTAAACATCCAATGGTATCTATGGACAAAAAACATAGGGCAGTGATACAAATAAAAAAAATAAGGATGATTTGCTACAACATCACAAACACCAAAGTCCAGCTTCAGAAAGATTCAGAAAAGGATATCGGCGGTGTAAGTCAGCAATCACATAACTCGGTTAGCTATGTCGCAGACTTCCTGTCATAAATTATTTTTTAAACAGAAAACTACTCAACGGCAATTCCTTAAAACCGCCATGTTTTTCTTCTCTGTGCGAAGAAAATTCTGCAAGGAGTGATGTCACTTTGTTCTCCTTTAAAAAAATAACATAGAGGCGGAGATTTTCAGACACCGCAAACGAGATATGTGATTGCGGACTTACGCCGTTGAAATGCTTCCGATCAATATGAAAGTAAAATAGCTTAAAATTGCTTTTCTGAACTGAAGCAAAACAGGTAAAGGCGCATCAAAATTATTTGAAGCGAGACAAATTACAGAAACCAACCATCTCAAAACTGACTTGTGGTTGCCTCACTTTAAAACATGAACCAACCAATGAAATTAAAGTTTTCTAATTCAGTGGTCTTTACACTCCAGGGAGCATTATTGACTAAAAAGTTGAAGGGACCAGAATAATAAGTCTCTGCAGAGGATCGATGATAAAATATACTCTGAGGAAAATCACAGGATCGAAACAGCAACTGGTCTTTAACTAACAACTTAGACAAAGAAAAAGAAGAAAATAAAAAATTGAAAAAAAAAAAAATCTAGAGCTGCATGGCCAATTAAAGTTACCAGTATTGTTACCAATTTAAGTTGTATTTTACAAATAAGCTTATCCTTTTAATTCACATCTATATTTGTGTGTTACAGACACTAGGAATGATCTTAATAAGTAAAATTGTTTATTTGCAGCTATTTTTTTTTTTTAAGGAGTTCCTATAGAGGGAACGAATTAATTTTCTTCATCACACAGATGGTTTCTATTATCTCCTTTCCAAAAAGATATATTTAAATGGTCAGTAGTGAGCACAGAAAAATGAAAGACTTTAAATCTAATGCCTTACGAATCTTCTTTTTTTCTTTTTTAATATACCTATATATTTTTTAAAATAAAATATCCTGGGATTAATTTCTTAATAATCCAATTTAACATACCGATTTAGGACATTAGTGTACAGACGGGTGTACATCCCTTTTCCTGGACCACCAGCACTGAATGAACCTCCGCCTCCCATCATCATGTTTAGAACACATATAGCAACGAAGTCAGAATCTTGATGAGAACATCCTTCAAGGCCTATCATTACGTGTGCTAACTCTGGTAAGCCTGATGGCCCCGCAAATTGAGGAATCTCACATTCTTCCTAAAGGCACATTCAACAACCTTAAAATAATTACCATGGATTTATACATTTAAATAGTTTTAAAATCTTAACTTGGCTACTGTCTGAGAAGTTGTTTTACTGTCTTCTAGTGAAATTATACAACCTTAAAACAAAAATTTGACCTTCACGACATTTATTTTAAGTGTACATATTGAAGTTTGAACACAATAAAAAAAAATGCCAGGGAGCTAAAAGTGGAGAATCAGGGATCACATTACAGAAAACAAGGGATATTAGGAAAGTCGGGACTCCTCTCCTTCCCCCTAAATTTTAACGAGCATAATTAAACAACATAATTTTGCAAGAAGACCTTGCAACAGCGATTTGGAAAACATTTTTTTTTTTTTTTTTTTTTTTTTTTTTTTTTTTAATTTTGGTGATTTCTCTATGTACTTAGGAGCATTTCCAAATCTTTATTTTCGGATTATTTTCAAGGAAAAGTCCTTTTTATCACACTGGGATTGATTTCAAAGCTGTTGCTACAACTTAAGACAGTATCTGGCCCCAAAGATAACTTGGAAAAGTTCCAAATCTACTTGAAAGACATTGATTTCTTGAAGAGAACTTTCAGCAGACAGTGGAGCCCGTATATAACGAACTAGCTTTTAACAAAGTTTCTGATAAAACGAAGTAATTTTCGTTTTCCTAGTTCCTCCATATACACTCAATAGTAGAAAAGCCCGCCTTTAACGAAGTCCCAGCAGTGACACCCAGCGTATAACGAAGTAATTTGCCGCCATTTCCGCTACAGTGTTCGGTATTTTCTGCTCTCTAGAAGAGTTCCGCTTGCTTACAGTAATACATGTGGTAGACGCGGAGTCACAAAGTTACGAATAAAAGAGAGTGAGCGATAACGAAATGAGCACTCACTGCGCAGCCTGCCGCACATGTCTCACACCTCACTCTCTCACACTTGCACGCGTCTGCGATGGAGGGGAGGGGGGAGTCCGGCAGCGCGCCGATTCATCCCATGTCCCCAGTTAGCAGGATTCATCTTCGTCATTTTTCTCCAGGAGCCTCTCCAGAAAGCTTTCCGGGAGAGGCGTTGTATTCGCGTTTGAGAGGATTCTTGGATACAAATGCTGAAAGCAGGTAGGATCCGGATTCTACCGCCACTCGTAACCGGGTTTTACGCAACTCCTGAGGCGTTTCATGGAGTTAGGTTCTGCACTGCAAGGAGCGCAATCATTGAGTATTTCCTAGAGCTGCCGCACATGAGCGCCCGAGCGTCTCGTTGACGTCGGTCACTTTCGTAGGTTAGGGTTTGTCCGTTTGTTTATACAGTTTACGAGTCCGCTTTTAACGAAGTTCTGGATATAGCGAGGTTTTTCTGGGAACCGTGAACTTCGTTGTATACGGGCTCCACTGTATATTCTTGCACATTTGAAGCATGCTGAAATGTCTTTTTAATTTTCAGTGCTGCTTCAGTAAAATACTTCGCACCTTTTTGCACAGTTCATGCACACTGAGATACAGGTTGATGTTCAGACAGCAAGAGCTTTTTGCCTTTGTGCAAAGCTCAAGCACAGTACTGGTCCATTTAGTCGATGTTTACATCTTACCTTTTTGAAAACAAGGGAGAGTAAGGAAAGCAAATCTTAGGATCTTGAGTGAGTTAGGAGGGAAAATGTTTTTAAATCCCAGACAAGATGTCCGCTCGGCGATCTAGTATAATTTACTCCCTGGAAAGCTCCATCATTATTAATATGAAAGAGCTTCAGATGCCATTCCTCTACCTTTTTTTGACAATCAAAGAATGAAAAAGTTTTGTACCTGCACCAAACCACCAGTATATTGTGCTATCGACTGATCGACTCCATAAGATTCACCTGGTATAACAAGACTTTTATCTTCCTCCCAAATGGGTTTCTCTTCAACGAAGTATCTGTAACATGGAAATTGACATGAACTACAGGATCATTAAAGGGCTATGTGATATAATTTGTTATCTCTTCAAAGTTTCACAAGAAAAACGAATCACACGACCGAAAGTCTCAAAATCAACACCTAAAAAAGAAATAAACGTTTGCAATTAACATACATGAAACAACAACAATGCAAATGACTTTATTTGTATAATTTAACTTCCACTCGATCTGTGTTGCAGATATTTGTTAATTTTTTGTTGGGGCTTGATTTCTGAACTTTCCGTTGTGTGAATTGTTTCCTGCTTTAGATTTTGAAGAGAAAACATGTGAGGATTATTTCTAGATCAGGCTTTGTCCATTATGATGATGCTTCTAAAAAAAAAATAAGGCTGTTAAGTTGATTGAACCCAGGTTACTAGAATTAAATTTACTTTTACAGTGAAAATCATGATCAACAAGACTAGAGATATGCCCAAATTTTACATTAAACAAAAGTTATGTGTTTTGAGGTTAAAATCAAGAGAGAACAAAATTCAAAATGTCATAAAAATTTGTACCAGTGGAGTTTTAGCATCAGTAATCTGTAGCTATGACTTTGGTCAAACTTAGCCGGTAAAACACAAAAATACATTAGAGCTTGAAGCATTTCATTACCTTACATTGCAATGAGTGGGATTTTCAAAAGATTAAATCTGAATTGCAACTTACTTGTTTACACTTTCCAAAAGTGCATCATGCTCTACTCCAACTCCAGCGACAACCATACGACTTGGAGTATAATGGTTCTTAATGTATGTGAACAATACTGAGCGATCAATTTTCTCAATGTTGCTTTCAGGGCAAATTTTTGGTAGACCTAATGTATTGTTTCTGTACGCTGCCTAAAAAAACAGAGTAAATGTTTGGTCAGAAACCATAAAGTGATACATATTATTTTCATATCATTTTAAGGAGACATTATCAATAGAATAATTTAATATAAACTTTGTTCTATAAGGAGGAATATACATAATCAAACAAGTTGGTTTCTGAATTGTAGAATTTTATTCAAGTACTGAGCATCATTAGTCTGGTCTATGAAAGAAGTTTAAAGGTTTTCTCTGCAGAAATTAAAGGACTCTTATCCAGAACCTTTTTGATGCTTCCAAATAATATCAAAATGAGCTTCTTGTATGTTAAAGAGTAGAGATTATTTTCTATAATTACCGATTAGTTTTTCATTGTCCGCACAGGCTACTATCTTTTCGGTTTAAAAGTTTTAATCTCGAGAATTTTTGTGAAAAACTAAACTAAGCAGAAATAAAGAGATAATTACAAAAAAGTAAGAGGTTGTATAAGTCTCACTTGACGTATTTTGCCCCTTTTAAGAAACCTTCAACCTCTGTCTAAAATATATGCTCTTCAGGCATTGTTTTTTAAATAATGTAACCCCTTCTCTTAATTTTATACATTGTATGGTTTATCTCCAAGTGCTCTCTTAGGGAATAGGTGTTTTAGCTGTTTAAATGCCGCACTAGAATGACTGCTCATGCAGTGATTCGGAAGTTGATGAGAATTATTAAACTTTTAACATTGACAACTTAAAATAATATTATATAACTAGAAGTAAACGTACAGCATGAATCATATCCATTAGCAGCAGCTCTTGCTCAGGGCGAGTTCTGAGATTTTCAAGTTCAAAACTGATGGCTTGTCTCGTCATAGAAATCTAGAAAGACAGGAAAAATTATCAAGTAAATTTTTTAAACAATGAGGTTTGGGTAGAACTGAATTGCACTAAGGTACAATGAGTGGCTCATTTATCTGGTTCTTGAACACAAACTCACCAACACTTCTTAATTCAATGAACTCTAACATAGAGTAGATCTCGAATCCTTTTAATATTACAAATTAAAATATTTAAGTAAATCCATTCATTTTTAACAAACATATTTCAATCTGCACTGGCAGCAAACTCGTGTCAGGAGTAATCAAACTAAATTTCCCAAGAGCTATCTAAATTGAACAAGAAGCACTTTTAATATTTTTCACTTTTGATCACTATGCTGCATAAGTACTGCCCATAGTTTTGGCTGAAGGAATTTGATAAAAATACACTCTGGAAATTTGCTTACTTCTTCCGATGAAATTAAAGGCCGTAGAATGATCTCTCCTAAAACTTGTACGACAGGATCTAGCCCTCTTCTGTCTGCTGAAGCTGCATAGACAAAAGTATCCCTGTAAAAATTTTATAAAAAACACTGATAGTTCAAGCATTCAGAAAACAAGAAACGAGGTTTTCTAGGGATGAAATGCAACAAAAACAAAGGACTTTTCTGACTTCGTGGGTTGTTATCTAGTTTTCAATAGTAATTTTAGTACAATAAAGAATGCGTTGAGTGTGATCTACTAAACATGGGCAATATGGATGCACAAAATTTGATTGAAGGGGAGGAGGAGTATGGGTTTACATACTGTTTTGGTTCTGATTCATCCAATACCTGCCAAAATGTTAACTATCTAAAATTTTTGATGCCAAAAAGCAATTTGAAATTCATATGAAAGTAAACGAGTGCTAAATTCCACATGGAAATGAATGCATTTTCACACTAGCATAGTGTAATCAGGGCTGGCTCAAGAACGAAATAAAACAAATTTAATTAAATCGCAGTACATACTTATTTTAAGGAGCTGTTTGTAAAAATTTCTATTTTAAAAATAAAACATTAAAGGATAAAAATGCCAAGACGTAAAATATGGGTGAATGGTAGATAATAGAACAACTTTCAAAAAAGAAATCAAGAGTGTAAAATCTCCTTGATCATGTAATCCTAGGATCTCAATCCTTGGATGTTGGCAGTCAAACACAGGCTGCAACAGATGCACTAATTTTTAAATTTTCAACAGCTTGAGCATAACAGTATCCTCACTTCAGCTGCACGGGCTGAATACTTGAAGTACACCTAGTTTTGCAAACACAACACGCTTTCCACACCAGCACTCCTATATTCAATATTAGCCCTAGTATTTACACTTTATCTAAGGTTCAAGGAGACGGCATTTCTCGACAGCATTGTCTCTGAGAGACCACTCACCATGACAGGTGCATCTGCACATTACCTAAATGCACACAATTAAAAGACTGTAACCACATCAATGGTTGAAGATGAGGGAAAATCCTTCAAATATTTCCACATACTTAAAACCGCATTCTTTCAAAGTCTTCAGACATTGCAAGAAAACACTGGACTTTCAACATTTTGGTGCAGAAAGTTCCCTTTCTTTAATTGAAAGTCGATAAAGTCTGACTACTACTTAAGTCACTGTTAAGTTTAAAGTATATTAAGGGACTATAAAATCAGAAGAGCTCGATCTCATATAAATTAACACATTGAGTGCGAGTGTCATTGAAAGTCATTGAATTAAAAATAAGAAGGGAAAGAGGAAGGGGAGAAGTCTATCATCTCTGTAATAAAAAATTTCAAGGCCTGTATGCACAATGTTTTCAATTATTTCTAATGAAGAATCTAGCAATAATACGGATTGCAAAGGTGTAAAGATCATTCATATTTACCTGGAAGACTGACAGTCACAAATTCCTCCATGCTTTTCCAATGTTAGTAAAATTTTGTCTTTGTCAGCATACTGAGAAGTTGACTAGGAGAATAGAGGGAAAAATAATTAATAATGAGAAACATCATTTTGAAAATTTCTAAGAATCTATCAGGCAGAATCTTAACACTTAAGAAAAAACAGGTTCAGCCTACTCAAGCAATCAGGTCATTGCTACACAAGTCGATGTTGACAGGTTATTAAGCTTTTTTGTGTCTAGGAGTAATCAAAATAATTAAGATGGAAATACATTTGTTAAAATTGCAAGCAGACTGTTGAAATTTTGGGTTTGTAAGTAAGATGAGGCAAGACTGAGGTTGATTAGAGCTTCCTGATTACTCAGTTGTGTGAGCCATATGACTTGGATTTGGTTATGACCCCTTCAGTTGAGAGGAAATATAGTAAACTTAGGTCACATAATACTGTCAAATGACACAATAAAAGAAGTAACTCAACTGGCCCATTGGGTAGCTATATTCTCTCTACTACTTCTTCTACATTACTTCTTGCCCTACCTTGTCAGATAGACAAACAGAGGGCTTCATCAATCATCTTACTGAGCTAATAAGAGCCTTTGCAACAGAGGGATCAGTAAATCTGGCACTGCTCTCAAACGAGAGGGCATATTACATTTTATTTTTATTATTACTTGCTTTGAATGTTGGCTCTGCTGTTTCAAGAGATAAAAAAAATTGAAGTTTGCGTTCTTCAGAGTTGTTAGTTTAAGTGATGGGATAATCTTACATGCTTTGATGAAATACTGCTGTTATTCTGACTGTTAAAGAGATAGCAAAAACGTATTTCACTTACCTTGCAGACATTTTTGCACAAAAAAATTCAAGGGAAACGACTGAAAGAAACTTACATTGAAAGCCAACTTTTCTAAAAAATGAGAAATTCCACTTGGATATGGTAGCTCATATCTTGATCCAGAATCAATTACCACTGAAAGAGAGATTGAACGTAACATAAGAGACAGAATATAAAATAAAATGCATAATAAATTCTTTTTGCTCTCAAGAATTTTCTTCAGTGTTTATTCGCAGCAAAATTAGTTACCTAGGATGTATTGATAGCTAAACTTGAAAAGGACATATATTGACTTGCAACAGGGTAGACTTTCGTAAGATTTCATGCTTAAAAAACTCATTGACATAATTTCTTAAAAAATCTCAATGATTTTGCTTCTCTGTTTGAAGGATAATGTCCATAAATTGGCTTTTTCCGTTTTGAAAAATACAATACCGTTGATAAATTTTGAAATACCAAATTTCTCCTGTTACATCTCTGGTGTGTGGCTCTCGGACTGAGCAACTTGTAATCCTCCTTCCATTAAAACCTCAACTTCCAGAAAAGTGCAATGAGGACAAAAATTGAGAGCATGCCTAGCAAGTTAAGAAAAATGAAAAACACTCAGTTACCTCCAACAGTACAAAATTGCCCGAAACGATTTTCAGAAGCAACCCTTAGGCCATTCGGTAACGTTGTGATTTTTGTGCCTCGTTCGTCATCACTGGCTGAGGCATAAATAGCTTTGGGTAGGCCAGGCAGTGGCTCAGAAAGTGGGGGTTGCTTAAAAGCACATGTGAGATTCTGATTGACTGTTGAGCCATCATCAACACTGGTTGAAAAGCTTTTCCAAGGTTTCTGTTTCTTGGACCTGTAACAAATCAAGTGGGGATGAATTTTATTTTAGAAAGATCCTATGAATTGCTGACCATTTTATGTGATGATAAGATGGTGCCTGATGATACCACTGGTGGTGGTTTTTCTTTGGCTCAGGGTGTTCAAAATAAACCTTAAAAAAAAAGAGACCTCTAGAAGGACACATTGAAATTGAAAGGAGTTATATCCATTCTGACCCAAGCCCTGCAATCCATAAGAGTACATGCATGATAGGGCGCAGGTCAAAATGGATATACTTCCATTTGTTTTAAATACGTCCAGAAGTTTGACGGATTGACCAGGATTAGTCCCAGTGGATCCAACAATTGCCTCGTTTTCTTTGATGTTTAGTGTTTAAAGAGGGAACTAATTCTTTATGATTTAAAGAAATTTACAGAGACTTTGAGGGAGTGGTTCATTTCTCTTCGATAAAATACAACAGAAGAGAAAATTAGGCAATGTGAAACAGGCATGTGTGTTAGGCATGTGTGTAGGTAATGTGTGTGTGTGTAGTTAGGCTGGTCTGATTAAATCTGCCCAATTATTATGTAAGATAATTTTTCAGTAGTATGAGGTGGGCGAGGTAAATCAGTTTCATTCTTCAATCTACCTTACTCGAGAGTCACTGAATTAGGAGCGATGATAATTCCAAGATGGAGTGGTGGATATGAATAGAGCATGAACGGCTACAGTTTTCAGCACTTGCTTAACAGAACCTCGCCTGATAGGGAACCAAACGCCACAGAATACTGTACTGCCAAATGATTAAACAAGCCATCCAGAGAAATCATCAAGTCCTCTAATTTGCAAACAGAATGACGCAAGTCAGTTAAGAAAGAGAGCGTGTGAAAGAATACCCCTCTTGTACATAGGTACCATGGAGTACAATAAGGTTGTAATGTACTGGAACGCCGATGAGGTCAATCTATGAATGAACCATTCCGAGCCCCTTGTTTGCCAGAAAGTGTGAAACCAAACGGCTTTTTTCAACACAGCGGCTCGTGTGAGAATCGCAGGCCACGGGTGGTTTCCCGGGATTTACTCATTAATAGCTACAATTATTTTTGTGAATTTTGCCATATTATGCTGAACAAAGTCATAATAAATTCAATAATGTATGAAACTCTAAGTTTTCATGAAATATATTCTGTACCTGTAAGCCCAGAGGTGGGACTCCACGCATATGTCACAGCCAGTCGCTCCACACTACTCTCAGGTTGTTAGACAAAATAGTGACTTCATCAGCGCTCCTGCAGCCCGATTGTTGAGATTGAAAGACAAAGGAGAAATAAGAAGTATGGACTGATCCTATTGGTCAAAATGGTTGGTTGTCATAGACTAGGGGAGAAACTTATGGACTGACTATAGGGTCTCTCATGGGGTGCCGTTAAGTAGTCTATTACCTACCTACATTGTCCATTACTACCACCCCCTTCCATCAATAGGATTCCTCCGTATCCTTTTCGTTTTCTTTGTCTATCGCTTTGTCCACCAATTTCAATAATCAGCCAGTGGAACATTGCAACTCTATAATACTCAATGATAGGTACATTATAAACTCTCTCTCGGAGGTTGACTACTGAGTTACGCAGACAAGTAATATTACATTGAAGTGTGCAAAAACAGCCATCAATGCATCTAAGACAGAAAAATGCTAAATCTAAGTCTAACAGATCTGGTCAAAACTTAGCCTGTAGAAAATCTCAAATTCTTTGACATATCGCAAGAGAGCTTCATCGCGTGTTGCATCAGAGCATGTTGCATCCATTAGTGATTAAACAGTGCTCATACAATAAGGTAAAACAAAATGCTGGGCGAAAATGAGCTAATGAAGTCAAAAGAGTTAGAGTGGAAATACTTAGGAGTCGAAATACACCTGGATTCATCGAAAATGTGAGTAATGTGACAAATGTAGAGGTTAGGTGATTGACTTACAATTGTTTGGTGAAGAACACGGAACCTTTACGGTTTAGTTGAAATGCTTTGCCTGCCATTTCAAGAACTATAGACGGTTCATGATAACGAGAAAAATTAACACAGAATTTAAAAAAACGGTGATGAAGTAATCTTCCGGAGAATTGAACGATTGAACCGTGCACGACAATGTTTACAAAATTATGCAATTGATAATTGATGAATGATACATTTCGAGCCACTTAACGTTGGCAAAATCTGATGGTTGATGAAGTAAAGAAAATCCCGCGGATTTTCTTTTTGGGAGATTTGTTTTGATTTTGAAGCATGGGTTTGGTTTATCACTAACTTATCAGTCATCAGCCTCTTTTTAAATTATCATTAAGATTATCGTAAGTATTCCGCTTTAAATCACGTACTTTTGTTTTCAATAATTAACTTTGTTACTCTGTCATCTATATTTTCTCTCAGTAAGTCTGTTCTGCGCTGGATTCGTGTAAATTATTAAAGTAATCATTCGACCATTGCATGCTGGTAAGTATGAATAACAATAACTTGGAATTCAGTTTTTGTTTCTTTTATAAGTAAGTGTCAATATGGGACGGAATTTATTATTCAGAACCTATTCTTATAACCTTGTCTATTCTGGAGCAATAGGAAATACATTTGACCGTTACGTATCGGCTGAAATGACATGGCATTCTCTGTCCAACGTTGTACCCTACTTGGACAAAGAGCTCAATTAGTTTTGATAGACTACTGCATGCTACCCTTAATCATATTTAAGTACCCTCTTCATTGGTACATATTACTGTTTAAAATAATGTTTTCTTTCAATTTTTGTTTTTCAGCCGAAAATGTCACCTAGTATAGCGGACATGGATGCTTCCGGTGAAGTGAAGAGATTGGATTGCGAATACAAAGATTTGTCAGCGCCTTTTCGGCTCCAAGAAAGAGATTATTATCGCCAGTTCTTTAATCTGTATGCTGTTCGTTTAAATAAAATGAGGGAATGGCTCCTAGCTTGTGTTGAAAAAAAATGGGGTAAGCTTTCCATCTTGTACAAAATATGACGTCTGTTCTTGATTTTAGGCGATATAAAGTAACCCCTACAATTGTTTATAAAAGATATAAAGTGAATCACCTCACGTTATAATTTCAAATGTATGAGCATCGCTCCTCAGGTCCATAGGTCCATTTCTCTTTAGATTTTAGCAAGTTATCATTTCAAACTCTGATAGAAGTGTTTTTAATGCCAAAAGCTGAGATCCAGAAAATCAAATCAAATCAAATCTTGACATGTCACTGTAGACCTTCAGCAGAAATATATTCAAGCTTTATCATTTTCATTAATTTTTATGTCTTCATTTTACAGGAAAGAAGTATGCAGTGAAGCGACTTACTGATCTGAAAGAAGGCGATGATAGTTGCATTTGTGTAGGCACTCTATTTAAACATCAGGAACTAAAACCGAGTATCCTCAAAGAAATTAGTGAAGATGTAGGTACCAAGTGGATATGCTTTATTTTTCTTTCTTTTAATTTTTTTAATGTATTTCAAATTTCTGCTCCTCTGCATCGAAAAATGTGACTTATTCTGTAAGTATCAACGTTATGTTTCATTGTAAAACCATCTTTGGCTATTTTAAAACCAAATTTCAGTGCACTTGATTTCTAGAGTGCAAGTCAAATAATGTAACCCAATTTTGAATTCAGAGTGAAATAATTTTTGCAAACTTGTTTCTTGCAATCATTAAAGTTGAGGCATATTGATGGTTGAAGTACAAAACCACGCATCTCCATCTGCAACGTTGTAGACCTCTTGTCATACTTTATTTTCTCTTCAAAAACTATTCCATATAATTTTTTGAAAACTTCCTTGATTTGTCTTCTCTGTTAGCAGAATATGTTGTATACATTTCAAGCTCAAAAGTCGACTTGTTTCTCCATGAAAAAATAAAATAGAAGTGAAAATTTTAAAACACTGCAATGGAGACTTATAGTTTTGTACTTTTGCTTTATATTATGTCTAGTTTTCTAAAAGATTCTCAGCTTATTGTGCATGAACTACCTATTTCCATGAGACGTTTAGATTGATCAAAGGCCCAAAATACCATAATTAAATGAACACAAACTGCATGAAATTAACAGAAAATTGGTAAAAGAAACATTCAGATAGTAAAATAAGGGTGACATGTGATACCTGTTGATCCAAGATTTTTGCCGTAAGGCATTTGAAGTAGTTCCTAAATTAAAAGTGGTAGTCTACTAGCTGTTACTTTGCTTTAGACAGCAGAGTAAAATATTCAATCCTAACACTCCAGTTTCTTGAGAAACTTAAATTCATTTTTAATAATTGACTAACGCTTGTATCAAATTATAAGGAAAAATCAGGTACTAGGTATGTATTTACAAACGTAGTATTAAAGGAAAAATCTTTAAAAAAAACCTCCAATTTCTTCTTGTAAAGGTGAGATTCTAAATCATTTTAAACATATATTGTTGAAAAAATAACCTACCCGGAAATGAAAAGTGAACTCAAGATTTTAAAATATGATGAGAATTTTCAAAATGTGCAAATGAATACCTATTTTCAATTTTTTCTCCTCTTCTGTTTTTAGAACCAATTGATGCCTCTACCAAAGCGGACTCACTTTGTATCGGATGAAGACAAATTAATTTTGGAAGATGAATTACAACGAATGCCCCTTATAGGGAGTCTAAATGTTCACGAACTTGTAACAGGTTGCGTCGTGGCTGTTCTTGGCAAGCCGTCTACCGGTGGCAAGTTTCAAGTGGAGGATGTATGCTGGCCCTCTCCCACAAATCCTATTTATTCAACTCCTCGCGTTCAAAATGATAGGTGAGCATTAATTAGAAGCTAGGGTTGTCGACTTAAAAAGTGGGAGCTGAAGAATTGAGACAGGTGCTTACCTCCATTGTTTCAGTGTCCCTAGTCCATCGATGGAGGATTTAAGGGATGGCGCCTAAGACATCATATGTGTGCCGACGAAGTAAGCTCTTCTACAATCCATCTCAATGGTACAAATTAGGCGTGGCCTCTAAAGCTTCAATTTCTGTGCTGTCAGTCCAATATGGACTGTCTGCTCTGATGCAATGACTTAGTTAGCTACTTGTTTGTCTTAAGGTCTGAACCTTCATATGCATGTAAATGTTCCAAGACTTGCTAAAACCATACTCAAACAAAAGTTGGAGTGACTGAAGCTGTGAACAAAATTTGGTTGGCAACTCAAGCGAATTAAGAATGTATGAAAACCTCAGGATGACTTTCATTAAATAAAGTCTGGAAACTAATTGTTGATCCGAGTTGCTTTGAAATGTATAACTTTGTCGTTTTCTGATTACAGTTGTCCTTTGAGCAATTTTTTGAAGATGTGGAAGTTCTGTTTTAAATTTTTGTGAAGTATGTTGCCCTTTCTATCTTTTTAAAGTGGTTTCTCCTGTAATCTTTTACTTTTCATTTTTTCCGTGCCTAAGAGAAAATTCATTTCTTTCTTTCAGATTGTTAGTTTTAGTCAGTGGTTTTGATCTGGTAGGTTCATCAGACTCGGTCTTTCCGATTGAATTGTTTATAGACTGGGCCACTGGTCTAATTGGGAACCCTGCTGATCAAAGTAGAATTGTTCGAGTGATTGTAGCAGGTATGTTTTCCACCTCAAATCTTCCATTTTCAAGAGCTAAAATATTTGCATCCTTAAATTCACAGGAAACCCTTTAAGTCTTTTACATTGTTTTTTTACAAAAGAGGTTGAAATACATTTTTCACATAATTAAATTAATGACATTTTTTGATTGCCGGTAATAATTATAAGATCCTCAGTTGTATCTGTTGTTTAGCAGTCAGAAAGTTCATACTTAGATTTTTCAGTGATATTAAACTAAAGGTAAACAATTTAAAAATGAAGATAAGGGAGGAAAGGAGCAGTCTTTATGAGCAATGCCAATTAATCCCAGAGTATTTTCCAGCTAGTCTGAAAGCTGCAAGTCTTAGGGGTACATTGGTGAGGCAAAAAATAGGAGAGACTATTCCTTGACAAAATAAGTAAAAATTGAGTAGGATTATTTTGGGCCTACTTACATAATTTTCAGAAAAAATATTCTACAGTAAGGAAAGTTCCCTGTTCATTCTTTGGTTACATTTTTCTTTCGCTGAATGGTGATTTTTTTCTCCTTTTTTTTTCCATATGTATTGATAAACAATTATACCGCCATCATTGGACATTTTAAGGTTTTGTCTGTGGAAGATGACAGGCAAAAATGATTCCTAGAACTCGTCTCTAAATAATCGACCGTACACCTCACTATTTTTTTTCTGATTCAATCATATGTATGATCCTCATGAAGTAATGAACCTTATCACACAATTATTTTCAACCTGCTCATCAGCTCATCCGTTCTTTTTCATATTTTCAGGAAATTCTTTTCGTTCACAGTCAGAACCTGAAGCAGACATTTTTGCAAAATTTGGAAACACAACTCAAAAAGATAATATTAATGCGAATCTTCTTGCCGCTCGACAATTAGATGATATATTAAACCAATTATCGGTATGTTCGTTCAGATTTTATTTATGATCTCTTAAGTTTGTAGGCATGGCAGTACAATTTATAATTTTAGGGCTTTTATTGGGTAATGAGTGTCAGTATTAACAAAGGGAAATAACAGTAATAAGGGACAAAAGGGTCATAATAAGAGCAAAAAGACCGCAAGAATACAAACAGGAACAAACTAAATAAAATAAAATGAATAATGAGCTAAACGACAGTAAAGAAGCGCATACAACGTTGGATAGATAATGTCAGAGGTGTGTTCGGTTTTAGAAATTAAAGTTAAAATAGCTCAAAAATTAAATTTTTAGCTCTTAAACTGTTATTGATGATATGTCATCATATATGTGTAGTTACAAACAGCAAAAAAGAACTGCAAGCGGAACTGTAGGAGTTACAATGCAAGGCAAAAACTAACTGCAATGTTGAATTTTTACAGACCAGTGTTGATGTTGAATTAATGCCCGGAGCTTTTGATCCTACAAATAATTCTCTACCTCAGCAGCCGTTACATTTTTGCATGTTCCCTAAGGTAAGATAAAAACAGATTCTCTGATTTACACTTTGAATTGATGGTGAAACCAAGAGACAATGCATCTTTGTGATGAAACAGACTTTTTATCACATTTTACTCTCTTGAAGGATGACTAATCATCATTTTTTAAAAGTAAAATTTTGAGAATATTTTCTAAGAATCTCACTCAAGAATGTCGAGAAAACGGGGCCAGGGAAAACCAAGTTTGAGCAGAAATTATGGAACATTACACTCAAATTACAGGTCTTTATACTTTCACCAATGATACTCAAATCTTCACCCTAAAATCATTGATTTGAGATGAGATTTGTATTCATTCTATTCTGAAAAAATGTTTTATTTCTTTATAGGCTTCAAAAAACATTACTTTTCATGGAGCAACAAATCCACATATGTTTGAATTAGGCAGTCGACTTGTTGTTGGGACATCTGGTCAGTCAGTTGCAGATATTACAGCCTTCAGCAAGATTGAAGATCCTCTTGTAGCCCTTGAAAAAACTCTGGAGTGGGGTCATCTTATGCCAACTGCCCCAGACACCCTAGGTTTGTGTTTTTTATTAGTTTGAAGTAGAAACATTAATATGCATAGGGCAGAACTTGAAAGTTCACCATTTCCATGAATTTAATGTATGACTGATATACGAATAAATATACTGACTGATATAATGGCAGACGCAGGCAGACCAAAAAAAGAATTGAAGAAGAGGAACGTTAAAGCGACTGAACTAAAAGAAATGAAAATTTTCTGTCTCGATAGATCGCGCCACTTAAAATCATATTTCCTCTGCAAATCGAAGCCACCAGTATATTTTTCCTTTCAAGTTGCTATGGTGAAAATTTGCAGGCTACCTAACCACCACCTCTCCACACCAATGAATAATCATCACAATTAAATGAAAAAGAAGATAGAATTTCTAATATCCAAAATTGTTATCTCTCTTTTCATTCTAATGTTTGCTGTCATGCATAGCTGTACAATTGTCATGTCCAAAATGACTGAATTTATTTATTTTGACAATGTTTGCTCTTATCCTTCTCTCATCAGAATATTTTTTTACAGCATGTTATCCTTTTTACAAAGAAGACCCATTCATAATGAACAACAAGCCTGATATTTACTTTGTCGGAAATCAAGATTCATTCCAAACGAAATTAGTCAATTCATCAGATGAAGGTAAGGTCTAAGATGCAGGTATCTGTTACATTAGAAGCAGATTTTGTTAGGTAAAATTTTGTTCAATTGTAAATTGTGGCCATGCAAAAAGAAAAAATAAAGAAAGAAAAAAGAAAAGAAAAGGAAAAAAAAACTCTGCAGCGCACGAAGACAAAGAAAGTTTTTTCTTCGTTGTGTACGATCATACCACTATTAATTTTAATAATTAAAATCAGTGTGTAAAATCAATCCCTGAGAAAATGATTAGTAATCATAACTGTTGATATGGTACGAAACTGAGGAAATAAAAAAAAACGTAAATAATTGAAACAAAGGGAAAAAACGAGGTAACAAATTAATAAGCTGAATTAATAAAAACGCAGGTTGGAATTTTTTAGCCAACGTGCGTTAAAATTCCAACCTACTGTCCTTAAGACTCGAGCGTCTACCACAATCAGTTTGTGATGAGAATGCCAAGAGAATGGAAAATTAAACAGTTCAAACTCATAAAATAAATTTGCCCAAAGGCTGATATTTTTTGGGACCACGCAGTACCATCTTCAAGGTCCGACTGTTGGAATTTCAGTCTTGAAGAAGGGAGCATAGGATTCTGAAAGGCTTCAGCGTTTACTTAAATTTATTTTCTATGTTTAAGTTTTTTTAATTTTCTGATTCTCTTTTCATTCTTGTTCTGTTAATATGGTGTTAGTATTGTACGGTTGGAACAAAACAAAATTAAAAATGAAGGCAGTAATGTAAAATTCAAGTATGGTATTGCCCATTTAAACCACTTTCAAGAGATTTTATTCCACTCATAATATTTTTAATTTTTTTTTCGCTTTGAAAATTGGGGATACCTACTTTTTCATCGCACTCATTAATTTAAATTATTCTGTAAAATTTGTCAACTGTGTAACAATTTCTATTAGCTCCACTTTTAAAATTCTAATGCGTGTTCAATTTTTTCTGTTCTCTTTTAGATTCCCCTACCAGACTTGTTTGCGTTCCCAAATTTGCCACAACTTTTACATGTGCGGTCGTTAATTTAGCAACTTTGGATTGTTACCCAGTGTCGTTCAATGTTAAAAAAGTTACCACCGGATAATAAGGACCTTCTTATTGTGTTTTACAATCATGAAAAAAAATATTTTATCGTACTAATCCCATAAGGATTTTTCTCCGATTAATGTAAAGTTTTAGAGTATAAAATTTACCAGCTCCATTTTATTATGTCAATTTTACTTTTAATTTCTCTTATTGCAATATTCAATAAAAATGTTCACAAGCATCAATTTTTTTTCCACGAAAAATTTCATATAAGACAGTGACTTAAATAAATTAAGGATTCGTTTTTAAACCTCTGAATTTTATTTGAATGCTCAAAAAATTGTTTATTCTCAATGATTATGAAACTTTTGAGAATGTCCTTATCCTCAAATTTCGTGGACAATTGTATGGCAGCATCCCTGCACAACCACCGGTTCATCTTTGGATTGGAATTTCTCAACTCTCGTTGCTTCTCTCTCTACAGCCGGTAAGACTTGATCCATTTCATTTTTTTACTAACTACTCCAGTTTTTAAATTTTCTGTTTTATATCGTGTGATTTTACTAAGCACTTTTACTAAGTTGGAGAATTTTTTTTTTTTTTTTTTTTTTTTTTTTTTTTTTTTTTTTTAAATGTGAAAGAAGGGTGTGTCAAGGCCTTTGCAAGGGTACAAAGGTTTGAAGTCCTATCGTTGGTTAATTATTTGCACTACTCTATGGGAGATAGCTCCCTGTTAGACATTAGCCTGAATGATACAGGTATATTTCAAAGTAAATAAAGTATGTTTGATTGAAACCAACGCATTTTAAATTATCAACATTAGTGGATTGCTCTAAATGTATTTTTTCGTAAATATCAGATGATGTGTACATTTTGAAAAGTAGGCATCAAAATATATACATTCAAGACACACCAGCAAAGTGAATGATAACACAAAAAATTAAAATATTTAGCTGACATAGCATTTGAAAAGATGGTAATATCTTTTATTTTTATTTTACATCTTTTTGATAGAAAGTTTACCAGTATAGAGGGTGAAAAATTTCCAAGAGAATCCCTTGTTTCATTATTTGGTGTGGTGAGCTGTATACAGTCAGTAGTATTAAAGGTACAAACAGAATTCCCATACCGCTCACTAATTTCTATTTAAATTATAGGATCTGAAGAATCAGTCTCAGAATTGAGAACATTTTTCTCTCTAGGGGCTTACTTTTTAGGGGCAAATCAGGATCCAGCATGGACAAATCCCAACTCATTTTGAATAGGTCTTCCTGTAAACAGAACATCTTCAACTATGCCGGAAATGCGTATCGCTGAAGTTACTATTAGCATATCAAGGAAAAATAATCATAAGTCAATATTAAACTTGCAACCTCACGAAATGAACTCCCCCAATCAACCCTTCGAACAATTTTTAAAAGTCTTTGAAAATTCTTCGAAAGTCATTGTTTTTTTGTGCATGGCCAAACTTTGTAAAATGTAGCTTCTAACCATATAAAAGTAACTAGGTTACTGAAGTTTTGGACTACGTAAAGTATTATTTTTTCCCAGAAAGTATAAATAGTCTACACGTTCCTGAAATAAAGAGTCAACAACGTAGAGAAGACAAAGGTCTGAATGATACAAAGATTGAAGAAGTGTAAAGTAATAATCCAATTTTTTAAAATAAAAGTAAAAATTAATTATAAGTGAATATATTAATATTTTACCTTTTGTAGGTATGAGGGTTGATTAAAAATAAAAAAATTGAGAATCTCGAAATTTATTATGAGATAAAAATTTAGATATTGTTAACATCTCAAAAAAAAAATCAAATAAATAAATGTCTAGATTTTCTGGCACGAACCATGTAAAATGTCAATTTTACTCTCACGCGATTTCCGCGTCAATTTTAAAATTCGTCCCAAGCCCAAGTGCCCGCGGTTTCGTGACGGAAAGCGGGTGCACCGCGGTTCAAGGTATTCGCGGTTATTCGGGGTGGAAGCGAAAAGGATCGGTTCATTGTGGCTCGGTCCTCCACGTTGGAGCTCGAACCACGCGCCGCACGCGTCAGTGTTTTCTGACGTCACGACCCCCAACAGCTTCAATCTGAGCCCGAGCCCCCCTCCAACCATCCCTTCTCAAAAACACTCAATCTTTGTACTGTAGGTACCCACACTCTAGTCTCGAGCTTTGTTCTGTACACAGTACTTGGGTGCCTTCTTACCCACTGTGGTGGCTTACCAAAGAGTCGACGGACTATCGGAAAGGGTTGATTGATCCAAAGATAGTCATTGAAATTTTGCGTTTGCTCGGGCTCGTTTCGCAAAAAACAGCGGAAGAGCGTATTTTTTAGTTCGTATGATTATGATTCTAAGTTGTCAGTCGGGGCCGTTGACGAAAGCTTCGTAAAATGACAAGATTTAGCGGTTATTTGCACTTTTCAGAAATTCCCAGAAATTTTAATGTCTTCCCGGTAATCTTACCTCTCTCGGTGAAAAAGAATCAGTAAAATTACCGTTTTCTTAAAAGCTTATTTTTGTACATATTTTTAGTGTTAGTCCCCGCTCATGGCTCCTTTCCACCGCAATGCAAGTGAGCGCCCGGTAACACGTGCGCATATTTTGCCAACACTCACCTCATGCAATTGGACCACATTTTGCAATAAGGAACCACCATTCCCGGCTCATCTTAGAAACAACATATCGACGGTGAAACTACCAAACCACGTATCTCGTTTGCGGTGTTTAAAAATCTACGCTCACATTTTATTTTTTTTGAAGTAGACCAGATCAATATCATTCCTTGAAATTTTCACGGAATTTTCTCCGCACAAAGAGGAAAAATTACAGAAATTTTCAAGACTGGATGTTAAGTAGTTTTCCATATAAAAAATAAAGTATGACAGGAAGTCTGCGACGTCGCAAACCGAGATACGTGGTTTGGTAGTTTCACCGTCGATATGTGCCATTGGTTTCCCTATTCAGAAATGGATTGCATTTTGCAAAAAGGAACCACTAGCATTGCAATGATGCTAAGATTGTGCAACTTCATTATTTGCAATAAAATTGCGGAAATCGTGAAAAACTATGAAATTTAGATGGTAATTTTTGTCTTAAATATACAGTTTTTAGCGAGTAAAATAGAAACTATTAATGGATTATCGGGTTTTTCCTCCAAGACAAAAGAAGTTGCACAATCTTAGCAACATTGCAATGCTAGTGGTTCCTTTTTGCAAAATGCAATCCAATATATGCCATTGGTTTCCCTATTCAGAAATATGCTTCAATTGAAAAGCCAAAGATGGTGGTTCCTTATTGCAAAATGCACTCCAATTAAGAAAGATGAATATTTTAGTTCAGTAACAACTCATACCAAGTTTCATTCCGTCGTTTTTCTCCGTCCCAGCTCCGTTCCCTCGAAAGCAAAGCAGGCAATCCCCGTAATTGGGAGAGACCGTCATGTCCCCTGTCGTGTGTGAGCCCCATCCCTTTCTTATTTCATAAAGAGCCCCGCGGCTCGCGATCAATCTCGCGTGCGGGGGGAGGAAGGGTTAGCCCGCGATTTCACATGAGCTCAGGTATCGTAAGCGGGGGTACGCGGGTCGGGTCGGGTCAAAGTAGTCATCAATGAAGGCTCGACGCGAGCCCCCCGCGCGCAAGCTCGAGCTTCCCAGTCACGCGGGAGCCCGGAGCCCTCTCCGAAAACGGTCACCGGGGGCGGGGAAGGGGGGCAAGAGGCAAAGGCTTGATACAAACTCGTAGTCAATTAGCCCAAGTCGGAGTCGACAATGGTCGGATGAGGCCGACGTGAATAGGGCAATTAAGACGAGAGCGAAAGATAGAAAACGACTGGAAATAGCGAATTGAATTCCGAGGGGGTGAGGGGCGGGCGGAATGGGGTGGCCGCGGCGGCCGGGGCGGAGGAGTAGAATTATTGATCGAGGGAGTGCGAGCCGCGGGCGAGGGGGAGCGGAGGACGGAGGGTCGCGGTGGCGAGGTTTCGGTCGAGCTCCGGCTCGGAGTCAGTGTTTTGTGTACGTTGGTGTTGCGCGGCCCGGCCCGCGCTGCCTCCCGCCGTTCGGCCCGCGTTCGCGACCTTTGACCCGTGCCATGTGAATGAGGATGTCCGGCCAAGGAGTCGTCGAGAGGGCCAGCGCTGAACTCTCCAAGCGGATCAACGGGCTCAGCCTGCGGAGCAACAAGCACCACTCGCGGAGTGGCGGCGGCGGCAAGTCCAGCGTCATGGAGAGGGTGACGAACGTCCTCTGCGGGAGCGGGCACTCGCCGCCGGACAAGCCCTCGCGGATGCGGAGCAAGTCCGCGACGCCCCCCGTCCAGGGGGCGCCGACCCCCCAGTCGGTCCGCAAGCTCATCAAGGTCCACCAGCAGCTCCAGCAGCAGCAAACGGTAACGATGCACAGTGTAAACAGGGTGACAATTTCTTCGAACCTATACCAAAATTCAAGAGGCCAGCGGACTGATTATTGAAATTGATAAACAAAGCTATAGACAAAGAAGACATGGGGGGTATGGAGCGATCCTATCGGTTGAAATGTGTGGTTCTTATAGACTAAGGGAGAAAATGACAGACTAACTGTCGGGTGTCTCTTGGGTTGCCGTTAGTTAGTCTATTCCTACTGCCTTTGTCCATTGCAACCACCAGCTTCCACCAATATATTCCCTCCATATAGCTTTTGTCATCTTTGTCTATAGCTTTGTCTATCAATTTCAATAATCGGCTCGCAGGGCTTAATCATATTGCAACGCTGCCAAGTTTCATCTGACAATTCTTCAATTTCCCCAAGACAGCCTCCTGTTTTCCCTCCATGATTTTCCCCCGAATCATTCTCGCGGTTTTTTAAAAAAAATATCCTGCTAGTAGTATTATAATTATATCAAATATGTCCTCGTCAACGAACAAAGGAAACAGTTTTTATGTAACTTTGCAATGTTGCGATGCAAATGAGCTCCTCTGGTTTCGCCATTTTCAATTTGGAAAGTATAGTGAATCTCATTCCGTCTAAAAAATTCCGGAAATGTTGCCAGTAAACATTGGATTTTTTCCGCCCTTTCGTTCCTATTTATGCGCTCTACCGAGCAGATTTATCTTATGGAGACTCTTGTTCCCTCTGCCCTAAACTCTTGAAAATCATGAATTTTTTGTTCATGAACTTGGAAAAGTTGGGCAAGTTTAAACTTAAAAGAAATTTGTCACCCTTGCCTACGATCATGGTGTCAACAAATCCCAAAGCTGAGCAAGATGTGAATGTTATTGACGCAGTCACAACTCAAACCGACAGTGAGCATTAGGTCAGATTCACGCAGCTAACAAACAGTAACATCTACTGTATGCACCTTGCAAGTAAAACTCAAAATTAGGTCAGGTTAGGTTATGTTGCTCGAGGTCTGTGGGTCAGATAAAGTTAGGTTAGGGCAGGCTGGTTAATTTATACAGCTATATTAGTTAATAACCGTGGGGAGGGATTTTTAATTTTAAAAAATGAAGCTCGAAATTATTCGTGTAAAGAGTTTAGTCCCATCACGTCATGCATTCCGAGAGGAAGCGTTCATATACGTAACGCACTTTTTCGCCATTTTTAACCCCCCCTCCCCTCCTCGCAACGCTTTATAACGCAACCTCAGATCCCCCTAATAATTACGTAACGCTCGATGGATTTCCCTTAAGACCCCAACAATTGTGGAATAATTATCGAATATAACTGAACAAAATTTGAAATATGTTTAATGACAATGTGACAAATAACGTCGAAGAAATTAGGATGATGCACTTTTGATTTTGTGGTTTTTTATCGATAGAGAGAGTTCCATAACCTAACCCTTCCTGCGGCCTTCCCCCTTGTAACGTAGCGTAACGCAGGCTCGTACCAGCTCCCTTCCTCTTGAGCGTTATGTAATTATGAAGGCTCCCGAAGATGTGTCCTGCGTCCCTATAACTCAACATACCCTGGTAAAAATTAGCGATAGGAGCTGCGTTTCGAAATACTATAAGAATTCTTATAGCCGGCTAAAGGAGGCGATAGAAAATCATATAGCTGGCTGTAAAAAGCGGAGAAAATCATAGAGCCGGGCTATACGAAGCGATAAAAAATTATGAAAGCTGGCTATAGTTCCTATCGCCGGATTATACACCTTATCGCCATCTGCTATGAAAGGCTGTAAGAAATTGTGCAGAAATTCGTGTGCTTTGAAAATCATTAAGTTTGATACGGATAACCACCTTAATATTTACAAAACACACATTATATTTTCCTTTAATACATATTTTTTTAAATCAATTAAAATGAGAATAATCCATACAGAGCGTGCAAACATTTAAAACTCATGAGTTGAAAAACGCTGACTCCGCCAGATTAAATGTTAGAGCCTAACACAAAGCGGAGCGGCGACGCACTGGCGCCTACAAACCTAACAGGGATACTTCACGCATTGCGCAACGCGTGAAGTATTCCTGTTAGGTTTGTAGGCGCGTTTCGCGCTGGCCGCCCGCCCGCCGCGCTGCAGCGTGCCACGGCGCTTGAAGCAACTATTTCACATCAGAGGTATTGCACAGTATCATACGAAATTGAAGGCGCGCTTAACTTATTAGGAATGACAGGCATCCATCAAAAGTACGGAGCTTTCCTCGTGAAATAAATCAAGATACTACGGCCCAAAAAGAGAGCGGTAGTCCAAAAACTCACTAAGTCCTAGCATCCGTAATTAGTAACATTTAGTATACACTTTATCGCCTGGCTTTTGCTTAATCGCCATCGGCTATAAAAGGCTATAAGAAATTGTGTATCCGGCTGTGGAAGCTATTGGAAATCTTACAGCCGGCTGTAGGTCTATGGTATTTTGGAACCCAGATTCTACTGCCAATTTTTACCAGGGTAACGACACGCTTTTCCAAAGAGAAAGATGGCGGTTTGTCGACGTATTACTTCGAATGTAAGTAATAGAAATCTAACTCACGGTGCTACCCAACATTGCAACTACCTCGCTCGGTCAATGGGTTGATGAGTTTTTTGCCGAGCTGCCATGTCAAATACTGAGTAAAAATAACTGAGCTCGTCGAAAAACGTGGCATTAGGTACTTCACATGAGTAGTTGGGAAACTTAAAAGAACTGATCTAACAGTGGCACTTCAAAAGGTGAAACTTTTTGGTCAAGCATGGCATCAAAAGCCGTTGACGTCTTGCTCAGCTAAACCCCCCTTTGACTCGCGAGACAAATTGAGACCCTTCACTTGTATTTCCTTCGTGGTAGAAACTTCACACTTGGGTGAAAATTTACCCGCTGCAGCAACTTTTATTACCGAGGCACCAGTGGCGAGGCGTCAATGATTGACTATCGGTATTTCCTCATTTGAAGCTATGGTAAAGAATCTATTATTAAAGTGTTCGTTGCGAACACCCTGTTCGTCGATTCTTCTCCATAGGTTTAAATGGCAGATCAATCGATATCTAAATCGCAAAGCACCCCCCGCTACCGCTAGGTACGCACATGATGAACAGTAACGCTGAGTTTTCAGTTTAGAACAGGTAATCATATTGTTCCAGTCCGTCTAGATCTCAACACGAGCAAAGCAATCTGCTGCCAAAAAATCAAACTCTCAAAAGCGCGTCATCATTTAGTTCAATGCTGTGTTCGCGTTTAGACTGATACGAGGCTAGAACCTTATGTTTACCTGATCAAACCGAAAACTGAGCGTTCATGCTATGTTGTCCAACACGAGTGCGGCCTCTCTTGTTGGCTGTGCCACATATTTAGCTGTGAGTCCGGAGTCCAACAAGATATCTAACAATAGACCCGTGAGTTGATTGTTGAAATTGATAGACAAAGAAGACATAAGGAGTATGGAGCGATCCTATCGGTTAAAATGGTCGGTTCCTATAGACTAAAGGAGAAAATGATGGACTAACTATAGGGTCTCTAGTGGGTTGCCGTTAGTTAGTCTATTATCTACCTTCTTTGTCCATAGCAACCACCCACTTTTACCAATAGGATCCCTCCATATCTTTTTTGTTCTCTTCGCCTATAGCTTTCAACAATCAGTCCGTTGGTTACATGATTAATCTACTCGTCAATATATGAAGATCATGCAGCTTCCTCATCGACTTCTCTTCAGCGGACTGATTATTGAAATTCATAGACAAAGCGATGGACAAAGTAGACATAGGGGGTATGGAGCGATCCTATTGGTTGAAATGCATGCTTCCCATGAACTGAGGGAAACAATGATGGACTACCTAACTATCGGGTCCCTCGTAGGTTGCTGTTAGTTAGTCTATTACCTACCTCCTTTGTCCATTGCAACCACCCGCTTCCACCAGTAGGATCCCTTCATATCTCTTTTGTCTTCCTTGTCTATGGCTTTGTCTATCAATTTCAATAATCGGCCTGCTGAAGAGGTTGCGTGACCTTTATTTAGTAACGAACAGATTGATCGTGTGATCAAGGCAGACGTCTCGCCAAACGGATCGGTAAACATGTCACCCAACAGCCAACTAACCACCCCGCCGAAGGTGATTTGGACGTATTTCTATGAAACGGAACTAAGCGCCAATTTGAGTTCCTTTTGAGGAATTTAAAATCCCGGATAGCGCATTCTGTCAAACGGACCTAAGCGCCATGGAAAAGCATTGCGAGTATAGGACGGAATAAGCCAAACGCCCGATTCCGCTGCCAATCCAGGCCCCCCTCTACCTTCCTCACCCTATGGCGCTTAGGTCCGTTAGATAGAAATACGTCCATTTCACGGGTTGAGTAGTAGAGTTCAAAAAGTGGAAGTTTCTTCTTGTGACCAAGAGGCAAGTGGAGGGTCTCTTGTCTCTGTTTTGTTGACACCATGATCGTTGACACCAAACTCTGTGCTGCAGCAAACGCGGGTGCTGCACGCGCCGCACCTGCAGCAGCGGTGCTTCAAGTCGATCACGGAGCTGTTCCTGGACGACAAGTTCCTGGCGGACCACTTCTTCGTCTACTTCTCCGCGGCCGATCGGACGGCCCTGGCCCAGGTGTGCAGCAAGTGGCGGGACGTCCTGTACAAGCAGCCGAAGATGTGGAGCGGACTAGTGCCTGTGATCCGGTGTCGCGAGCTAAGGACTAGCAGCCCCAGTGAGAGGTCCGTCCTCTACTCGTCGCTCCTCCGACGGGGCTTCCGTGCAATAACCCTCGTGGGCGCCACCGACGAAGACGCCTTCGACTTCGTCAACTCCTTCCCGTTGGCCACCAAGCACATCCACTCGCTCAGCCTCCGCTGCTCCTGCATCACCGATCGAGGCCTCGAAACTCTAGTCACACATTTGCAAGTAAGTTCAACTCCTTTCAAAGACAGAATTACCATATTTTTCGCCTTATTCTTCTTGTTAAAATTAGTCTTCTCTACAGGGTTGCCACGGTCAAATAAGACTAGGGAAGTGTCGACAATGACGGGACGAATAGGTGAAAATGACGAAAATGTCAGGGGAAAATTGTAAAGTTACCTCTTTTGCTTTTTAGACTGGGTTTGACGTTTTGAATAACAAATTTTGCCAGATAAATATTTCTAATCATGTTTTTTTAAGCATCTCGTATATCGACGGTTAAACTCCCGTGCCACGTCCCTCGTTTATAGTTTTTAAAATCTCTCCGCTCCCTTTTTATTATTTTTTATTGAAAGCAAATCAGCAATATTCCTTGAGGATTTCACTAAATTTTCTTCGCATGGAGAAGAAAAATCCCGGAAGTATTGTTATAGTTTCTCATTTAAAAAATAAAATATGATAGGAACTCTGCAACGTCGCAAACCGAAATACGTAGTTTCGAAGGTTCACCATCGACATCTTCAATTGTCAGGGAATTTCAGAAAAATGTGTCCGGGAATTTCAGAAAAATGTGTCCGGGAATTTCATTCCCTAAATTTTGTAGCAACCCTGAACCTATCGAATTATGGTTTGGCTCCAAGTCAGAGATAAATTGAAGGGAAAGTCAGGAAATCAAAATAAGGACGTTTCTGGGACGACGACAGTTAGCTACACGTCCATGCGGAAAACGCAGTCCTGCAAAAGATTGATTATGCAACCCGGATAACATGTCAGCTTGAACTGGAACAACGCAATGGCGGGACGGGGTGCTGGAAGAGTGCACGGTGCGTTGAGCGTAGTATGCTTCGAGATTCACGTTGCACGCATTTTTCGCCCTTGTACTGCCAAGCAACAACCCCATAACTGTATTGACGAACTTCCAGTAGATACGCAGTTTTTGATAGGCATGTGAGTCTCATCCTCAGAGCTTGTCCCGGTGGACACTATTCGTTCCGTGTGACTTTTTCCATCCTTCGAAAAAAGTTTTCCGTTGATTACTTGTTTGTCTAACTGGTCGAATGTTTGCTCTCGCTCTTGTGGTCGCACTAGAATCGTTGCCATTAAAATAATGAGATGTCAATTAGGATCGCCTCAAAGCGTCACGTGGCCAAGTTTATCCTAATATTGGAAGATATATAGGTTTGTTTTGCCAAGAGTTCCATAGTAAACTGTAGAATAACTATAGAATTATGCTCATTTCTTCATCCTCTTTCTCTTTTCTCAGAAGTTAAACGAATGAAATAGCTCGTAAAAGCACGTATGTATTGACATCTATTTTCAGTAACGGTGTGGGGGAAACAAGGCCAAAAAGTTCAAAATTTACAATTAGAGTAAAATATTTTGAGCTGTAATGATCCAAATTTGGACTTCACTTGAAGTTTTTAAACTTTTTGTCCCTGTTTTCGCCGTAAAATGGTGTGGAAGCAGAACATTTTTACCACCTAATTATACGAGTATACAGTTCGGGCCACGTTTCTTCGTGTTTTTTGTTTTTTGTTTTTCAAATTTTTGATTTATTACATTAAGTAATGTTCCACTAAATGCTGAAATCAATGTTTCTTTCAATGGTAGGTACCGAGGGAATTGGGGAGAATTCAGCTGAACATTCTACTAAAAGTATAGACTGCAGAAGGTTCTCGGGTACCTAGTTTTTTTTTATTGGTAGAATTTTTCACGAATTTTTTTCGCGAGTTCTAGCCAATCGAGTTTTTGTCTCTCCTTAGCGTTTATGCGAAGAAAAGCGCACATTTGACATGAATATGTTTAAACGCGTGTACATACAATTTGTTGGTATCATAAAATGTAGTGTGGACCCAGCACTTTTCTACCACTTCAAGGCATGCACAATGTGGCGAATCGTTTAAAAACGGAAAATATTCAAACGAAAAATGTAAAAGACGAACATTTACCTGCGTTTAAGACCTACTCGCATACGGAAAGGGAATATTCAAAACAATATAAAACAAACTCATACAAATTTAATCTGGCCTCTTGACATAAAAATGAAACCAAGAAGCTTTCCCTGCCTCGTAAATTAAATGCTTTTTTACAACGATAATGCGGTGGTATCTCAAAGAGTTTGCGCGTTCTTTTTCACTAACAATTTCCTCATCTTTTCTGCTTTGAGGTTCGCGAATCTTTTTAATCCAACAACCAATGCCGATACAATCTTGCAGCAACTTATTATTATACGTAACTTTTTTCTCAACAAACATCTCCTCAATTTTTGGAACTCGTCTTCACATCCTGTAAATAAAATGCAGCGAGAATGCCGAGGCAGTTACGGCAAGATGAAATTTTCTTTTCGCAATCCAGTCCAATAATTTTTCCAGAAATATTGACGTGCAATGATCTGGCAATATTGGCTACAACTAATTCCTTGCAATATCACCAGTAACATTTTGCCAAAAATAGTATTGCACTCTTGGGTAGCGATTTGCTTGGATGTGTCTCTATAATGTATTTTCCGAAGGTAATACACTTTTTAAAAGTCATATCGCGGTACAATTTTGGTAAAATATTGCCAGGCTTCTTGTTTTCTTTTTCTTTTATTTTCTCAGAGAGATCAATTTTGTAACTTTTTATCACTTAATTTTTTGTTACTTAAATACTTACTTACCTATAAATGTAAATAATAAGAGGTTGAAATTGAAATTGCGAGGCGGGACTGCAACGAAAATTTGAGACACTCGGGAAACGCGAATATTAACTCGCTCTCCGGTCCAATGCAGCGACCTCATAGCGGCACTCCTCCTCGTACTCAGATGAAGTCACCTTTGACATTTTTTGGAACTGTGCCATGTGCCGTTTTCGTGGTTCTCTCTCGTGAAAAATTAAAGATGTGTGACCTTTGAGCCTCAGAGAATTCCTCAGTGCGGCAAGTGGTTACCGTGGCACTTGTACTCACAAAAGTTTGTATCGTGAATGAATAAACATATGAATGCAAATAAATAAATAAAAACAAACTTGGAAGAAAGAAATTAAAGAAAATAATCTTTCGAGATTTAAAAAAATAAATACAAAAGAGTCGGCAGATGTTCATATTCTAATCTCAATACGTTACAAACTAATACGCTCAATGTGCAATTAAACCTTACGTTTTTTCTTTAATATTCAGAAAGCACCAGGAAAGTGGATTGCGTGGTAATTTATTGCATATTTTTGGAGGCAAAATCCTGGATAAGCTTACTTTTAAAATGTTCAAAGACTCGAAAGACTTTCAAACGCGATAGAATGGCAGGAAAATGATGGCAGTGAAGTACTCAGCCGTGCTAAGGAAGAAGACCGTATGAACATCCGAGAGTTGCCAAATTTCCTTCGATAATTCGTTCATTTTTAGGAAAGATATGCATATTTTCTCTTGAAATTTTCAGGACTTTTCTATAGAATTGCAAGCATAATTATCTGAAGAACTGGAAGAAAAATATTCATAAGTTTTAGGAAATTCGTGTTTTATCAAATGCAATTTGGCAACGCCAGAAGATTCATACGGCGTTTTTCCTTAGCACGGCAGCGCAGCTGTCAAATCGCTAGGTATTCCCTCTATTTCCCACCAATGTTCGTTAAAAGAAAACTTATTTGAATGTGGGATTGCTGCTTGTTAACTACAGATAACATGAATGAAATTCGATATTTTGATTCTGAAGAGAAAGTTTCGACTTTCCTACTGTTTTCATTTATGAGGAGTTGAAAGATATTTGACGGAAAGTCGTGGAAGCTCGTGCCGCTCGTGATTGGTGTCGGATGACATCATTCGATTCGGCGCAAGACCGTGGCATTTTAAATTTGTGGAAAAGTTGCGCTTTTTGAACTGCGTATTTCTCGGTTTCCAAGTTACTTTTTTCAGTTTTCAATGTGCGCACTGTGTTCTACACGCCATTTACCTTCAGAGATTGTATTCGCAAGCAGGGCTGGATTAAGGGGGTGGCCACATGGGCTGCAGCCCATGGCGGCAAATCTATAGGGTGCGGCAAATTTTGCAATTTTTTTAAACGTAGGTATAAAAAAAATTCGGATTTAGAAAAAAAAATTACAAACGAGAAAAGGCGACAGAATCTCTAATTTTCTGAGAGTATAGTCATTTCTACTTTTGTCGTCTTTCAGTGATACAAGAGCCAGCACATTTACTTAGTCGAGTTAAGAGAGAAACCAAACACACAATTTGGCCTGGAACGGCGCGACTTAGGGAGAAATGGTGACGAGGACTTGAGATGAAAAGGAGAAGCCCTCGGCGCGGCGATCGGCATGTAACACATATTAGCGCCTACAAGACTGCACGAATACTTCACGCATTGCATCAAACACAGTGCGGTCATAGCGGACAGCAGCGTGAAACGGATAGCGCCTACGAGAACGCATGAATACCTCACGCATTGCGGCAAACACAGTGCGATCAGCGTGAGACGCGTAGCGCCTACAAGACTGCGTGAATACTTCACGCATTGCGTCAAACACAGTGCTGTCTGCGAGGCGCGGCGGTGGAAGTTAAAATCATTAATCCACATTTATGTTTGTTCTCTCATAATCTTTTCATTCATTTCTTATGAATGGAAGACCTTGTCCACACAGAGATAGGTTTACGAAACTTAACTTTCGCGCAAAGTTCCGTGAACTTTTGCTAGTAGTGTTGACAGGGCTTTCCCAAAAAATGTGTTCAACACCAGTAAACGCGTCTCATGCACCCCACCCCACCCCCCCCCCTTGCTGGCACGTTCATTGGATGGTTTTCATTGATGTTTCAAAACGAATGAGAAGGGGGCGGCAAAATACTAGCGGCCCATATGGGCGGCAAGTAGGTAAATCCGGCCCTGTTCGCAAGTCAATATTCGTTCATGTTCTATTGACCCATCATATTTGGGCAGCGTTTTAGCGAAAGGGAATCGAGCAGAATAATTTTGAGTTCGTCTGGAAGCATCAATGGCTCTGCCAACAATTTAAAATCTGCACAGAAGTCTAGTGTGTGAACA